AATTCTTTTCTTTCTAATTGGAATAATTATCACTTCTTCGTTATTACCCAAGGATATATGTTTAATGTGCAATTTATTATTAAGTTGGGGTGATACCTCTGCATCTCTTATTGGTAGAGAATTTGGAAAATATACTCCAAAATTGAGCACCAACAAATCATTAGCAGGAAGTTTGGCAAGTTTTGCTACCGGAGTAGGTAGTTGTTATTTAATGTACGCGTTTATGATTCCCAAATACCATCATTTGGTTGATTCACCAAATGATATTATGTGGAGCCCTGAAACATCTTCATTAAATATTCATTGGTTCGCACTAGCGTGTGGATTTATTTCTAGCATCTCAGAATTTATCGACTTATGGGGTATGGATGATAATTTTACAATCCCTGTATTGAGTGGCAGCTTCTTATATAGTTTAGTTCACATTTTCAAGAATTATCCTTGAGTCTCTTATACATTTTTACTATACCATATTATTTAATCGAATTTCTAAGTTCCATAAATTCATTGTAATCTAAGCATTCCTTTAAGCCCTCATATCTAACTAATTCCAACCAACCTTCATCAATACCTCTTTGATAGAACTCGGTAGTCTTTGATTTCAGAACTCCTGTATAATCAGCTTTCTTCAAAAGATAGGCAAGCGTGGTGATTTTATCCCATTCTTGTTCAACCGCAACACTAGGCAAGAAAGTCCCCAGGTACATTTCACCATCTTTACTTAAGTTGACCTTCAACCCATGATCACCTATTGTCCAGTCGTCCCATTCTTTAGTTGGTTCAAAATTGTCTAATAGTGTCACTGAAACTGACAAGAGCTTGAATTCCAGTTTGCCAATTGGGGGAAATCTTGGATCTTGTAAAGAAGATGTGAGAGAAAAGCGTTTTGTACCAGATTCGATTGGCAATGGCTGAAAAGTTCCTATGCATCCTCTCAACTGTTCATTCTTGTTCCATGTAATGAATAATGGAGCTTTAAGAGGCAAATCAGCATTCGAATGAATTATACTTTTAAATTTATCATAAGATATACTTGGAGAGTCTGTAAATAACTTGTTATATAAGGATTCAAATGCTAAACAACACAACGATTTCGACATGATTATTTACTTCAAACTATGATTGATAGTAAGATAGTAAGGGATAAATTGTACAATATATGATAAGGTCACGTGTTGAATATGAAAAAGCTGGATCTATTATAGGATCGACTTATATGATTCTATATCTCAACCTATGAATACTATCCAGTGGATATTGCTTGTGATATCCGCTCGAGTCTTTATGACTTTTCGCGTAGATATAGAGATTTCTGTGTGGTATATTACATAGACTCGTAAGTAGATTTTGCTATGCCGTCAATGCCCATTCTCGTGTGTTTACCAACAAATTTTATTGAATAAAATTCGAACGATAAGAAGAACCAATTAATTAGTTAGTATGAACAAACATGGGGGTTTGTCTTTCATGTTTAAGAGGTGACGAAGATGACGATGAAATTAATGAAACCACGTCATTACTAGGTCATGGTATATATAGTGATGAAAATTATCAAGAAGAGGTTTTAAAACAGCAACAACGTCAGAACGAATTGAACGTTATAGTCAACGAATTGAACGACAATTTAATTGATGTTTCTACATTTTTGAATAAGAACAGCTTTGATCAAGCAGACTATCCAGTGGTTATGAGTGATAAAGAAAAGTTGAAAATTGTTGACGAGATAGACAACCTAGACGTGGCAATTAAGAAGCTGTGTCAAGTTGAGGTGAAGGACCCATTGTATTTGAAATTTTGATAGCACTGAAGATAGGTATAGATAGAAACCGAACAATTTTTGGATATATAGTTTAAAATTTTATATAACAAACGATGTATATTTTAATACCATAAATAGTTGCAATTATTGTAATCATTTGTACTTATACGAGAGTTCTGTTGTATTGGCTAGCATAATTCTCGGAGGACCACTTTTGTGTAATTACCAATAAAAAAGATTCTTTTCTTTATCCAAGACGAACAGCCTTAACCCACTGGCAGCAAAAGACATTAGTGAAAGCCTATTCAGGTATATCTCCATGCAATCAGAAATGACGATGTCTGTACGAATCGGGCACCCAGGCCTCAAGTTGATGTACCCCGAATTTTTCTCTTGCAATGCGTCTGCGGTCTAACGGAATATCATCAAAAGTGTAGTATCTGTTTGAACGACCGAGGCCTCCAGTTTTTGGCTACCACACTTCTGCATTTTTTCGCGCACCCAGCCTTCTAAGCCTGTTCTTACATCAAAAAAAATAAACGAACAGAAGTACCCCAACTTTGCTTGCAGTATTCTTACTTGGTTAATCCAACCAACTCCGGTCCAGTTGTTTCACTAATTTCGCAATCTTTAATCGTCTAGAGGTGATGTCAGCAACCAAGCAAGATTTTGTGAAACGCGTTCATCCTTATCTTAGCCCCATAGGGTAACTCCGTCCTTATCTCTTTTACACCATTTCTGCTGCCGTATTTGTTACATTCATGCTTTGCTATTGCATGGAAACAAAAAAGATTTGATGCGTTTACGTCCTCTTCATCTACCTCCACCATTAGACACTTCAGCCATTTTGCCGCAGAATACCACCTACACTTCGCCTCACTTTTTTACACATCACGCCAAATTGACGTTCCCATCTGGCTTTGTTTCAAACAATTCTTGTTACGAGATAATTTGTTACGAATTCGTCAAATTGGCTTATTATCGTTTGTTTCCATTCTGCTTATCTTCGGACCCGCTTCAACCCTATCCCTGATTGTACCCCAAATTTCCTCTATTCATCGTATTAGAAGATTCCCTACTGATGCTTCCATGGGCCCGACATTTGCAGCCCGCGTGCATTCCCGTAAATTCTATTGCCTTAAGTTTTTCCTTCTTGATCTCAAACCGAGGCCTTTGGTCAATTTACAGGTTATGTCCCTCCTTTAGGGCCGCGCGACATGTAAAAGAACACTTCGACGCGGTCGCCTGTGGTGGGACCTTCCGTTTAGGCAATATCCATCAATCCGATTATTATGCAGTGCCCCTATTACGCCTGTAGACAATACAGAAACTCCGGTGAGGGCCTATTTCATGCAATATTATACGCAAGATTTAGCTTGTAATAATAAAGTATGCATTAAATCCGTCCTAAGTTAACCGATTAACCAGAGGGGTCAAAGGCCGTTAAATCCGTCAAAACCTGTACAAAATTTTTCCAATGCGATTCTTAACTATGTTAACTAGTTTAAACCATTCCAGCACATAGGTGGGTAGTATGCACAAATTGGAAACAAGAGTTTAATTTTAGGTCTTTACATAAGTCAGGTAACCATCGAGAAAATATATAAATATAAAGGGAAATCTTCATATGTCGAGATGAGCAAAAGTAATAGTCGTGAGGTCGGTAATATTAGCGACAAAACATATGAACATATATACGGTATTGACAAAATAGATATTCCAAAGATTGACGATAACGACAGTGATATATTTGAAATGAGTTATAAAAATATGGATTTTAATGACATGGATTTCGAGCAAACATACACCATGTACTCGACATTACAACAGAAAAAGGCATTAAATGTAATGGATCAGTTGCAGAAGGTGCAGATGTTAAACGAGCAATATTGTACTGGAATTGGCCAGTACGAACAGGCGGAAGACATGAAAGGAGGATATGGCCGCGAGTCGTCGAAGACAGTGGAGTCACAGCCCAGAGATGAATTTGACCAGTTTTTTTCGAACACTGAGTCCAATGCATTGGAGAAGTTTTTGGACAACTTGGCGAACTCGAGCGGGTCCGCCAACCCAATGCATATGTACAACGATGGTCAGTCGAACTATCAGCATGATTTCCCCGTGTTTGAGTTGCATACCATGAAGGCACCTGCTATGCCTATTCCAACACCACCCCAGCATTCGATATCTCCTAGCGATCCCCAGGTGATAGGCGATGATACCCAAGGAGCCATGAACAATACCAAAAAGTCATTAATTGACGCATTCGGACATCCTACGTTGAGAAACTTAACAACTCCAGATGTGTGCCAATTGCCTACCCCTTTGGACAGTAGACAATCGTCTACTTCATTCAACGTCGTTTCCGATCAAGACTTAGATCAAGATTCTTTCAGCAGTGCATTATCGACTCCTCAAGCTGGTTCTCCAGGAGCGAAGAAACGCAAGAGGTCTTGCCACAAGCCGTTATTGACAGTTGAACAAAAACGTCTCAATCACTCACTTTCTGAGAAAAAGAGAAGACAGCTGTGCAAATTGGCATATGAAAGATGCTTACGTCTTATTACTAATATCAACGACTATACCGATGCGAGAGTCGATAATTCGAAGGGAAAATCAAAAAGAAAGCAAATTAACAAAGACGGGTTACCAAATTTATCAAAACACACCGCTTTAACCAAAATTACTAATGAGATGGTTAAGATTAAAAGTCAAAATGATGGGTTGAAAAAATTATTAAATTTAGAATAGATTTCTAGGTTGGTGGTTTAATCCTCCCAGGTGATGATTGTCTTGATGATCTTGTTACTATTTATTATTATTTATTATGTATTATTTATTATTTTGGTAAGAAATTACAATTCAATTCTGGTAATTGGCTGAAGACTGGTCTGGCTATATATATATATATATATATATATTAGTGTATTAGTAAAAGTGATGTTTAGAAGTAATATTATGATTAACGAATATCTACACCAAAATTTTTGTTGTCTCTTAAATAGAAAGTTGAACTCTCCTAGGTAACATCAATTTTGGTAGTTACGACTATTAGTCTGCAGTATAGTGTAGAGATTACTCTCCTCTATGTCCCATACTTAGCACGTACAATATACGTTAGATTCGAAACATAGCAGTTGCCTGGTGATAATATTATATACAGGAATCATCTTTTCTTCGTTGAATAAATGCTCCAAAATATTCAATAACAATATGTTATTGATAAGTTGTCGTAATGAAAATGGTTTCTAAAAGTAAATCAAATACACCTAATGTTAGTGTACCAGATCATCCAGCAAATGCCCTTTCATATGGGAATGAAGATCAAATAAATGCGTTGCTAAAGCTTCAGCCTATTTACATGCCGACCAATAAACATACAAATGAAGAAGTACTAGACAAAGTAAGATCCAGTTATAAATATTTATACGTGGTTAACTGGTTATATCAATGCAGAGGTTATATAAAATTACAATCTGAGTATTTTGACGTTGATCTTTTCGAAATAGAATTACTCAACATGGTCTATCCACCTCCAATTGATGAATCGATTTTATTTATCAATAAGTTGAAGTTGGCATTGATCTCAACCTTGCAAAATTCCAAGTGTTCCTCGATTAATAATTTTGAAAAGATATTTAGACTCTGGTTTGGATTTGAAACGCCGTTAGCTGGTAACGAAGATGAAGAAGATGAGACTCCTGAACCAAAATTCGATAACTTGTTGATTGAAGACAAATTTGAAATATTATTTACATTGATCTCTTATATCACTCAATACCAAAATTTCAGAAATTACATAGACAAAAACAATGTGTCTTCGGATATAATAAGGGTCTCGTCGGTCTATTCTGAAGAAGTAAAAATGGGAACCTCGGAAGATTATATTTCACTCTTCGATCATACAAGATTATACAAAAGAACTATCAAATTCCCAGAGCTTTCTATTCCGAAGAAACGAAAATTGGCTCCGGAAGTACCTGAAGAATTCTTTGAACCCGAACAATTTGATATTGAGTCTACCTCATTTGAAATAATTAGTAAAAATATTTATGAATTCAATTCATTTTTGCTTGATATTTATGGCAAGAGGAAACAGAAGAAATATAAAACGTTATATTCCAATTTGGCGGACGATATGATATTTGAATCTATTTTCAATGCAGAGATTAAGAAGAGAAAGATATTGACGAACAGAAGGAAGGAACTCCAGTTAGCAAACTTATTGGCGACTAGAAAAAGGTCTTCAAGATTGGAGGCTAAAGAAAAACAGAGACAAGAAGAACTCAGATTATTGAAACTTCAGGAAGAAGAAGAATTAAGGGTTGCTGGCGAAAAGAGATTGGAAAGAAGAAGATTGATGAAAGACCAAGGGTACAGTTCGAGTCATGATATTCCGCTGAGCACCAATTCTTTATCTAGAGAAGAAAGATTAAAGTTGAGGAAGCTTACAGGAGAGTCGAATAAGACAACAGCTAGCCCTGAGGTCGTATCCCAGACGATTATAAAATCAGAAGACGCGCCTGTCCAACATGAAGTTGAAGCCAATAAGACTAATGAGATAAATAATGATATAAACAAGGAAATTCAAGTACCAGTCACAAGCGTTAGTAGTGAGAATTCTCGTGCACAAGTCGATTCTGCTGTTGGTTATACTCTGGAACAGAACAACCGCGCTAACATATCGAATGTTTCCGATGTTTCAAATTTGCTACCTGAACATCAATTCGCGCATGTACATAATGATAATGAAGACGCTACATCTTATCAAGGATCTATGGACGGATTACAAGCTTCTAACACAGCTTCATTTCCAGCGCATTCTGGTATTTACGATAAGCCAAATCAAAACTTTCATAATGTTCCTATTCATCCCACTCAAAGCTATGGTAACGCACCAACCCAGAGCTATGATAGCGCATCAATCCAAAGCTATGATAGCGCACCAACTCAAATGGTTCAAAATTTGGGTAATTTTCCGGTACAACGAGATTTTAATGCCAATGTTGGTCAAAAAAATCGTTTTAATGAACCAAATCAAGTCATCAATGCTATCAATACCAATTCCAATCAATTTATCCAACGAAATGATATGCCTAATGCAGATTCGAACCAGAATTTTAATCAACTGCAAAGCTATGAAGCAAATTATGATACCAATCATTAACAGAAGCTTAATTGTTCCACTGTTCACTTATGGGATCCTATGTATAGACTAAATGTTCGTGTAACCTAATTTCTTTTAAGAACTGTTTAGATATGTCAAAAAATGAACATTATTTTCTCATTTGGTATGGAGTGCAAATGTTTTACGATAGGAATATCAAATTTCTTTTATTAAACGCACGTAAATAAGTATCACTATATCAAAAGAGAGTATAAAAATGTGTATTAAAATAAATTAATGTAAAAGTGTGTTTAATGTACTATGATTCAATATCATATAACTAGTGAATACAAAAATAAAATTAGCCTTTCGAGAGCATCAATATATAAATCATTAAAAATGCAGATCATAAATTCAATTCGTTTAAAATTTGGCCTGCCAAGGTTTTGTAATTCCATGTATTACCCAAAAGCTTTTTGAACTGAACTCCGTATAAGCCAACTAAAGGAACTTTAACAATATGTATTTCGAACTTCAAAGGTGACCTCTTTGCATGATGAGAATTTCCTGAACTTGGAGAGTGTTGATGTTTTGCCTTATGCTCTAATGTTGAGGAAATTAACATGTCACTACCACCGCCAATCATTAATCCGTTTAATGAATCAACGGAATCATCCTCAGTGAAATGCTTAGAAGTTTCATCTTCATCCTCATCTTCTAATTCATCCCCATCCATCCCATACAACAGCTTATTAAGCTTAGCTGTAGCTGGCGTGTTCGGAGGCATCATGACCTGTGATCCATTCTTTTTGCGGTACGAACCCAAGAGTGAATTACCAATCGAAAACTTACGCCTATGTCCACCAACGGAATTTGATGGCCTATGAGTTTTACCGCTATTCGCAGATGGAGGTGAGAGGTTCTGCGTATTGAGATGCAATGATGCTTGTCTAGTCGGACTTTTCATTTGTGATTCAGGAGGACTTTGTTCCGGAGTCTTGATTCTTGGTGGTATGTCAGTATTTCTCTCAATAGATGATGACGTAGATTTAAAAGCGTCACCGTATAACCTTTGTTCTTCCTTGGTCTCTTCGGATTTCTTTTCCTCCTGTTGCGAATCGATCATAGTACTCGTATTAGTTGATATATCATCAGGTTGTGCGGCCTTGGTTTGCAAAGAAGGTGCATGTGCACAAACAAATCCACCCTTTACTTCCTGAAACTTTACTCCCAATTTACTCAAGACGTTAATTATGTTATATCTAATAACAGGCAATGGCTTCGTAGAAGTAGTTTGTACACTGAAAAACCCTTTCAAGAACAAGGTCTTTGGATATTCAATCGATGGCATACTATTTTGCTTAGCATGGTTAAATTGATCAATGATTTGCTCTTCTGTTAAATGGGGAATGTCTTGATAGTCAATCTCATCCAACGTAACATCATCGAAGAAACCGTCATCGCGTGTTGAGCCTTCACCTATTACCTCATCACTATTTTGAGAAGCCAACGCATTAGGTAATGGTGGATGTGGTTGCTTTTGGACACGGTTACTGCGGCCATATGATTCTTTTCTTACATGACCGCCTACTGATTTAGCTCTTGCAGTTGGATGTAATTTTCTCCCCTCGGCACCTGGAGCAAGTTTCAAGGGACTATTAGATCCAGAAGCAGGTGGAACTAATGTGTTTGTATTAGGATTGATATTAGGTAACGGTGGTAAATACTGCTCTGGAACATATCCACGATATTTGTTGACCGCATTATTTGTTGAAGTCGAAGACGAACGATTATGAGAAGCTTTGGCAGGTTGCGTTGATACTTCTGGCTGTGGTTGTGGTTGTGGTTGTGGTTGTAGTTGTGGTTGTGGTTTCGGAGTATTTGAGGTTGATGAATGCAAGTCAACTTTGGAAGAGGAGGATTTTTCTTTCGCAGTTACCTTCATACTTACACCACGACGAACCATAGGATCATTTTTATGGGATTTGTTCGAAGAGGGTGATGGTATTTGTTCTTGTGAATCAGGAACGATAGACACTCTAGGTATTGGAGGTGGAGCAATATTATGATCAGAAGCATCTGGAGATGGCTGGTATCTGTTAGGAGACGAGGGTGCATTTTTATACTTCTTCGAAGACAAACGTCTAAACAATGAATTAAATCCTCCAGACTTTCCACCGTTTGGATCCAATGTGTCTGCATTAACAGTGGATTCTCTTGGGCTATGTGGCTGTTGTTCTGGAATACTTTCTTCCTTTTGTTCTCTTGGTGGAGAAGGTGAACTTTTCTGAAACGTAGCTGGTGAAGTCGAAGTATGTGCTTGCTCAGGAAACGATAATCTAGGTAACTGTTGTTCCTGTTTATGTTGCTCAGATTCATATTGCACAGTTTCATCTTGACGTGGAGCTTGGAGGTTACCTTGTTGACTGGCTTGTTTAGAACTAACTTGTTCCAATTGAGCTCTCGCGGAATGTTCCTTAGCCTTCTTACGCATCTTCATTTCATGCACTAAATAATAAATTGAAATTAATGGGTGGAAACCCCCAGTTGGATCTGGTAAAATATGAGCATTCGGTGCAGATGCATATTTTCTACCTTTTTCAGTAATTTTATACCAGTTTTCGCAACTCATCTGGTATTCGACGCTCGTAAGTATACTAGTCATTTCCTCTGTAACGGATTGAACTGTACCTATATCAAATGATGCAATACTTTTAACTATTTCTGGATCTAATGGTAGTTCCAAAGGTTTTCTCTTAGGGAGATAGCAAGATTGGGGAGCCTCGTATCCCCTATTCATCCAAGGATGCTGTACAACTTCAAATAAAGTTGCTCTTTTAGCTGGATCAACTACTAACATTCGACTTAATAAAGAAATACACTCTTTGGATAAAAAGCTTGGGTATTCAACATTACCTCTTTTAATCTTCTCGTGCAAAACTGAAACAGATTGATCATCAAACGGGACCTTACCACAAACTAAAACATACAAGACAACACCGAATGACCATACGTCAACTTCTGGTCCGGTATAAGGTTTAGCGCTTAATAATTCAGGCGCCGCAAAGTATAATGACCCACAATAAGTCTTCAACAAAGACTTTGGTGAATATAAATTTGATAATCCAAAATCAATAATCTTAATATCACCTTTTGAATTAATCATAATATTTTCAATTTTTAAATCTCTATGAACAACATTATTATTATGACAGTACTCTAAGGCCAGTGCTATACCACGGGCAAACTTTCTTGCATTCTTCTCTTTCAACGAACCATGTGAAACAATATAGTCTAGCATTTGACCACCTTCAACATACTCAAATAACATATAATAATGATTAGTCATAGGCACCATTTCGTATAATCTACATATAAAAGGATGGAATAACAATCTTCCAAGTGCACCTTCACGTATGGTACGTTTATCTCTTGTAACTTCTTTTTCAAATTCTTTTTGCCTCTGAGCAGCAGCTTGTGCATTAAGAATAGGCGGATCATTAGCATGGGCTCTTTGAAACAACTTCGCAGCTCTTGGAACAATCTTCACTGCGCAAATCTCACCTGTAGAATTATGCTGAGCTAGTTTCACTTTACCCATTGAACCCGCACCAATGGTTTTTATGAAATCCCAATCACCAATAGACTTTCTATGAAACTGTTGTTGCAGCTGTTGTTGTTGTTGGTTATGGTGATGTGAATGATGGTGGTGACCATGCTCATTATTTTGGCCAGGATGCTGTTGCGGAACTGGGCGTGTTTTGTTTGCTGTGGCAGCATTGTCCGCTGTCGGTTTGGAGGAGGGAGATGAGATAGCAGCTGGTGGTAATAGTTCTTGTTTCCTTTGAGGAGATGTAATCGGCTGTTGTTGATTTGGGAACTGGGAATTCCATGTCGGCGGCGTTGGCGGTGGCTGCGGCTGTCTGTTAACGCTAGGTGTTCTTGAATGACTTGCGGATGTACCACGTTTTGAATGCTGAGGTTGATTTAAACTGGAATTCCTAGAATGAGACGCGTCCATCTGGTAATTGGCTGACGATACATACTGTTGATACTTATCCAATTGCTGAGGAGTCATAGAACGATCATTTTCCTCCGCAGGTTGATCTTCTTGGTTGTAACTATCACTCCCAGAATTCTTTTGATTACCACTCACACTTCGTAACATTCTTGGTGTGGCTGGAAGTGCTGATTGGGGTACTACTTGCTCTTTATTTGCAATTTCTGGGACCTGATTAGGGTTCTGATATCTCTTTTGTTGATATTCTTGTGGTGGAACCGGATACTCGTAATTAACCAGGGGATCCATTTGCTAATTTTCTAGTCAACAAATTTCTGGTTATTTCGAATATGAGTATCTCAATCTAATTAAAAAAAATACTAGCACTGATAATTCGATTAATGATTATAATTATAGCGTCAATCACTTATACTTAGTAATTTAATGGGCGGCTAAAGTGAAATTATGGAATATGGCTGGTCGTTCATTACGTTTTAATGAGGTAGATAAAAATCAAAGAGTCGTGCACATGTTGATAAATTATAACCCCTTACATTGCTTAGAATTTTATAGATTTCAACGAAACATTCGGGCTGATAAAGAGTTAAAACAGGTGGCGTTACGAGACATATAGCGTCAGGACTACGTAGGTAAGTAGCAGAAGTAGCAAAATATCTTTTTATATTTAGAAATTTAGAAAATATGTATATGTAAGTAGCATTGTGGCCACATTAAATATGAAAAATGTAGGTTATCAAATTGACCCAAACCATAGGCGACGAACACATATAGTCAAAGTAATCATAAGTATCTAAAGTCTAATGATTTAGTGACCTTTGTGGTGCTTTAAGTGAGATTGGTATTCCCAAGTGTAGCCCAAGATACCGACAATAAGAGCCAAGTGGAGTAATGGCTTACCGGAAGCGTTGTCACCTTCGAAGTAAGCAGCCTTGTACTTACCGAGAGGAGAAGTAGGCTTCTTGAAAGCTGGAGCTGGACCACTTGGTAATTTCTTGTAGAAAGAAACGACATCGGTCATTCTCTTAGCATTTGGGTTTGAACCAATGTTCTAAAGTTTAGTTAGTACGCCGTACAATTATTGTTCGCTATTGCAAATCCATGTCACAGAAGGATTGGTTGAAATGATATCAGCATCCCGGTGCCATTTTGTTCTTGTTTTCTACAATCGTGTTTACTTTCATTTTGTATTTTTCCATCACTCTGGGTTCATTCTCTGTTGAAATATCTCTATAAATTCATTGAGACTTCAATTTTCATTAAATAACGATCACCATTCCAACAACGAGCCGATACAATCTATCCTTCAGATCAATTAATTTATCTCACATCATTCAGTATAGGCCTTCAATCTACCGTATTCTGGTCTATTAAAACGGAACATCACGTATGTATATCTTAGCCGTGCCATAGCACAAATTATGCATTCAATATTTCTGTAATTGCTTCAAATTCAATGCCCTCCTTCTGTTTAAAAATTCTCAAGCTATCAACCGGTAATTCAAATAATTTTACGTACCTTAGCAGAAGCAATCTTTGGTGGGATTAATGTAGATAATTGTCTTCTAGCGATGAATGACATTATGGATAATTGATTTAATTAAATTAACGTTAAGATACAGTTATTGATGAATCTGTTTTTTCAGTTCGGTTTGGTATTCGGCCAAGTGTAAGACGAATTCCTATTCGTTAAATCATTGCACAACAATTCTGCGAAAAAACGTTGTGATTTCTTGTGCATTTGGTTAAGTCCCGTCACGTGCACATGCTCCTACATTACTTTAATCAATTGGAAATATTACTATTACTATACTATACAAATAAACTCAAAACTCTAGGCTTCACTAATATATAACACTAGAATATTGTTAGTAAGGATTTTATACAAAAAAATAAGATTTTTTTAGTTTTGACAAACTCAATTTGTAACGTGTTCTAAATACATTCAGATTGAACTGCCGTAAAGCTCAGTAAAAACGAAAAGAAAAAAACACTTACCATTATTACCTCTTATGAATACATCACCGTAATTCCTGGCTTGATCTCCGCCGACAAACTCCTTGGTTTCATCTAATACAATATTCATGTATCCATCTATACTTTGTAAGTTTCCCAAGTATTCAACACCATTGTGCAATCTAACAGTCACAGAGCTTCCAATAATCTCACTTAAGAACACAGATGGGCCTGTATTTTCTGAACCAGAGGACGATTCCTTCTTTATTGATGACATTATATAATACTATTCAACTGTACTTATAGGTGGCTGTCTACAATATCGAATTTTCTTCCGTGATAATGTCGCAGGTTAAGTCGTGCGAAACACGATACCTTCACTAGTCTACATATCGAGTAGTATTTATGAGCCATACGTCGTATTTTTACATGCAACCTTCTCCAATTCTACATTTTGAATGAGCTGTAACTGTAATTAGGCGTCAAACTTTAAAAGGCAAAAGGCATCTGATCCTCCAGATCTTTGTTTGTATAACATTTCTTCCTATTGGTCACAATATATATGGTTTAGGCCTTTAATATAATGCCGCAAAAAATATCTCCGTAATTTTGGTAGTACTAGAGAAGCAGTATCCATATGTATACTAATCTCACTCATTAAATGATCCTGTTATTGTCAAATCGTGTAACCCTTGCATTATCTAATAGTTATGTCATTGTTAATTTATACTGCCCTAAGAAAGAATCAGTAACCTGCTACATAAACAAATATGAAATATTCTTCTTCATTAATTAATCATTGAAGAACATTTCATAGTAACGTTTTCTAGCAAGGATACTAAAACATGTTAGATTATTCTGTCTACATAACCGATTAGAGTAGCAGTACAATTCGAAAACCACCGTCGATGAGGTGCACTGCCAAGCTAGGATAACATTTTGCAGAATCCTAAATTACTCGATAATATGTGTTACCATAGATTTTGTCCTGGATTTCGTGGACATTTACTTTATCAGCCGTATCACATACTGTATCCAATAATCTTCTCGAAGATTCTCTGAGAGATTTAGGTGTAACGATTCCAACGTCTTGGCCTTGTTGGCTATACTAAGATATTATTTTGACCTGTTTTGAGTGTCAATTGCATCATCATCATCCTCTTTTCGATAGAAATGCCATTGCCGATCTTAAAATGATTACATGTGCAACAGTTTCTGGGTCGCTAATGATGTAATAATCTACGGACATTGGCCCTCAAAATATCACATTACTGAAAATGTTTGATGGATCGAAATTAGAACTCTCGTCATTCTGGATCCTAGCAAATAATGTTGGTTCCACTGCAAGACGATTCATGGTTGGTTCATCGAAGGTAATATCATTGCTGTCTTCATCTGAGAATTACATACGAGGCATTGCGATTAGTCCTGAGAGCTGTCTTTATAACGTTTATCATTAAACGACTTGTTGGGATAACTTCAATTAAAATGTATAAACGTTGATAAGCACAAAATAAGGAGAATTATCTTACATATGCATGCTTTAATTATGTGTTAAAATATGTTTTACTGATTGGAATAATAATGCTTATCAAATCATTCGAGATTATTCTAATAATACTTGTAGCCACCAAGTTCCCAGAAATACTAAGTTCAGTTACATTCTTTTAGGATTTAAAGTCTTAACTAGAGCATTTTCAACTTTTAGTGCGAAAAATGCCCTCTTTTCAGAATGCTATACAAATTATGCAGCAAAGGTATCCTACGCTACGAACTACTTATCCTAAAACATCAGACACCATGAGTATTTATTGTTTTCTTGAAAATAGAATCTACAAGAGTATTCTGGTGAAAATGCTTCGTTATTCCCCGTTCTTTTTTAGGTGTGCTTTACAATTATCTTGCACAATAGGAGCAATATCGCACGAAACACATTATTCGCAATAGTTTGCACCCTACTTAAAACCAATTCATTTCATTTTACAGCACAACGTAGAATATATGAATTTTGAGCATACGATGAACTTTTCTCTTGAATGAAATGGACTAAATACTTTATAGAGCTATATATTTCACAGAATATAATGCTTTTCTTAATCATTACTCAATCGAATTACTACTAATGAGTAGCCCATGTGATCAGAGTACTAGCCGAAGAACATTACAATTCTAAAAGATTGAAACCAGTTAGTTCTAGGAAAAGGTAGTAAATCGATAGTTACAGTCATAACCAGCCAATAAACCTAATGCATCCCGCAACCTTTCCTTTAGCTTGACTGTTTCATTTGGATGAAACATAACACAGTATCCCTTCAAGTATTTTTGACATTGTTCTTTGCTTAGTCTATCAATGTCATGTACTGACAAAATTGGGGGCAATTCTTCTTGATTTTCTTGCGTATTTAAGAATGGTATACTAACAGCATCATAAGAGTCTGTCCTTCTTAGATAATTAAATAATCGTAAATGGCCATACTCTAAAGTACCAAGTCTTGATTCTAAAGCACCAAGTCTTGATTCTAAAGCACCAAGTCTTGAATCGAAAGAATTAATTGCAGCCCCCATTGCGGCAAATTTGTCATCTACTTTAGCTTCCAACGCGGTCAAACCAGACTTTATATTATTCATTTCCGATGTAAACCATTCTGGCGCTTCACTAAATTTCTCATTAACCATTGTTTGTAAAATAGGTGGAACAATCCTAGTAAGTTTTATTTCTGCTATCTTAGAGATTGCATCATCTAAATATATGCTAAAACTTTCAGTATTGGCTGCTTCTGACATTCTCAATTTATACTAATTAAAAAAGGAGTTGAATTATGTAGCACGCTGCATAAACAAGCATTAGATAGCTCTTCCTTTTATACCGCAGAATATTAATTGTTTTGTACAAATAGGAAAGTACAAAATGTATATTTATGCAACTAAATCCACAGAAGCATACTCAAAAGTCTTTTACCGAACATCATTTAATCCTATCAATCGTATTACTCGATGAAATACATAATACACAGATCAGAAAACGTATTATGAAAATACCAGGAAACTTATGATTCAGTTGCAGTAATTAGAACTACTAAAATAGTACTATTGGAATAAAGATCTCAGCTCTTTTTAGAATATGCAACAACATAACCTAGCATAATTTCTGCATACCTTTAGTATAATTACTGATGGTGATACCTGAGTAATAAAGCATGTATGTCATGATGTAAAAAAATTACTCCGCGACGGGGAATTGAACCCCGGTCTACCATGCGACAAACGGTAATTCTAGCCACTAAACTATCACGGATTGTTTTATATCGTATTGTATAGACTTTTTTATATTCGTCTTTTACAACAACATTAAGATTGCAAGTTTGATACTGGAGACTTTATACGATCAAGTAAAATAGTATACATTGATTACTAATTTTTTAATTTCGAGATCATAAATATACAACTTCGTTATTTATATCAGGTCGAAATTTTGTCACTAGATTGTAATATCTCCCTAATCGCCTTCAGTAACTGAATATTTACATGAATTATGAATATAACTAGGTCCATTTTAGCTACGCATAACTATGGGGCTATCTCTAAAAGGTATTTTTCTGTATCTTTCAGAAATTTCAATCGAACTGTGCCATCTTATAAAATCGCCATAGTTGGAACTGGTCCAGCCGGTTTTTATACTGCCCATCATTTACTACATAAGGCAGCGCCACTGGAACAGTTCAAATTGAAGATTGACTTTTTTGAACGTCTACCAGCACCATATGGATTAAGTAGATATGGTGTTGCTCCTGATCACCCGGAAGTGAAGAATTGTGAGGATTACCTTAATAATATAATGGAAGACTATCCCGCTGAAAGGGATAGTAATAGAGAAAGTAATAGCCATGAAGTTAGATTCTTTGGTAACATAAATATCGGCAAGGACATTACGCTTAATGACCTAGAATCCAATTATCATTCAATTATATTGTCCTACGGCTGTACTTCGGATGATAATCAGTTGGATATCCCTGGTGCTCAACTCCCTGGTGTTATTTCGGCTCGTGAATTTGTTCACTGGTATAATGGACATCCTGATTATTATTCTGCAGGTGCTCAGTTTACTCCACCGCAATTTGATAAGATTGAGGATGTTACAATTATTGGAAATGGGAATGTTGCATTAGATGTAGCTAGGATATTGTTGGCAGAACCAGAAAGACATTGGTCTTCAACTGATATATCTAAGGAAGCTTTAGAATCGTTGTTCAAAAGTAGCGTTAAGAATGTTAATATTGTTGCAAGACGAGGGATCCTTGAATCTGCATTTTCCAACAAAGAAATTAGAGAATTACTAGAGTTATCCAAGGATCAAAAGGTGAGATTCTTACCAATTGAAAATTCCGTGATGGAGAGTATTCAACCAGTGCTTAAAGATTTAGGAAGAATAGATAAAAGGCGTGTAGGATTGTTAGAGAAATACTCTAATCAGTCACCTGAAGTGGATAACTCAATGAAGACTTGGTCTTTGCAATACTTGAGAACTCCAATTGAATTTAAAGTAAGTGAGAATTCTCCTGACTTACTTTCCACAACCACATTTCAAAAAAATGAATTAATTCGTGACCTGTTAGCCAATACAATTCAAATTAAACCTATTGATGGAGAAATTGAATCTATAAAAAATGAATTGGTTATTATGTCTATAGGCTATAAAGGATCACCGCTTGTTGGTTTTGAAGAAGCTGAAATTTCTTTTGATACTCATCGTAATAGGTTGTTGAATAAAGAAGGACGTATTCTATCAACGTCAGCATCTGGAGAAGAACTGCATAATTTAGTCTATAAAAGAGGATGGTATACTTCAGGATGGATTAAAAATGGACCTAAGGGTGTTATTGCTACTACGATGATGGAGTCATTCGAAACTGCAGACAATGTTTTAGAAGATTTATCAAACTGCATTCATACTAATCCATCGTCTGACTCTACTGCATTAGAAGAAAAGTTAAAAACTATACCAGCTATAAGTTGGGAAAATTGGTTAAAATTAGAGCAAGAGGAATTAAAGAAAGGTACTGAATTAGGGAAATCAAGGGACAAACTTTCGAATACTGCCGAAATGCTCAAAATTGCCTGTAAATAGAATAGAATCATATACAGTGAATATAATTAACATACATTAAGAAAAAGATTTGATATACTATATCTGGCATTTTGTAATCCCTATAAAATAATTATTATGTTCATATTTGCCAACATTATCAGACCACAATTTGTTATAACTAAACTTGGCTATACCTATTTGGTCTTCAGCATATTGTTCATCGAGACTTGAGATACCTTTCGGCTCAACATCATCAGAAGTATGGGGAAAGTATTTTTTGTTAATTGTATATTCAAATCCACAGTGTCGATAAATTGTGGTAGGTGGTAATTTGGGAATCATATCTCCTTTATGTACAACTCTAATATAGCCTGTGTTAAGATCCCTGTTTTCATAGATATATTTTGCAACCTCAGAAGTGTAGAATATTCTATCAATGTATTCCGCCATATCTTTATTGCCCACTTTAGGACTAGCGTAAGACACAACCAACGGATGATGGCCCATCAATTGCAATTCAATGCCGCTTAATACAGCTAATGCACCTCCTAACGAATGTCCAACTACAACTAGTTTATAATCGGAATATTCACTATGCAAATCCAATACATCTTGAACAATCGAAACACAATGTTTCTTCAAAGTCTTGTAGTATCCCCGATGTACTTTGCAGTTTTCACATTCAATATTTTGCAGTCTCTTTGCCAAGGGTAGACCATGGTTAAGTATTGGACTGTATTTCACTGGATATATATCCATATTTCGTAACCAATCTTTTCTTGATGCAGTGCCTCTAAATACTAATAGTATTCTTTTGCTGTCATGATCTATCGCATAGTATCCGGAACACGCTTCACCCCAAGTATTGAATTTAAACCTTCCTTTAACCTCTATACTCTCATAAGGCTTGGCATTGCAAATTTCCAATAAGCAATTGGTTTTATCCTCGCCAAGCAACCCCGTAGACGATTCGTTCTTGAGGCAGTAAGCAATGGCTGCAATATGAGCATATTCAACCAACATTTTGTAGTCTTCCGGGATTTTTTCAGTTTGATATTCAGCCTTATACCCATAGGTAAAAGCAAGAAAACAAACAAGTAGTATAGCTATATACCTCATTGTGTGCAAATTGGAACCTTATTTCCATAGCATACAATTTAGAGACTTAAATATTAATTTCATTTTTTGGTATGTTGACCGCTGATAAATATCAAATTTCTTAATAACCATAAGAATCCCCATGAAGTGTCATTGCGTTCTCTTGTCATATGCCACATCAATTACGTGTATAGGCTTAAAGTCCACTAATAATCATGAATATGGCATATATATTGGCAAAGTTTGAAATCCACTTACCCATTTTTCACAATTACGTACGTCTATAATACAACAAAAAAAAATCACGAACCCTATGATACATATACATTAAAATCTCATTTCGATAAAACCGTATATAACCCATAAGTTCCCTATGTGCCTTGAAACTTGCTTTTCTTTCCCGTACATTATGAGTTTGTGTCTTCCCATATTGAGTCAAGATCACCCGGGCAATTCCACCCTTGAAACCGCTAAATACGTGCACCTTAGTCCAGAACTCACTCTATACACCCACTATATATCCAAACGCTAATTATAAAAAATACTTTGGAAGACCGAACAATAAAAGGTATTTTCCATAAACATTTGGTGTTTATGTCCGATTAGACCTAGTTGTATTTAATTCTGATCTCCTCTCGCCTACGTTCCTATTTAGTGTCATTTAAAGATCTTCGTCTATTATTCTAGCACTAAGTTTTACCTATTTTGTAGATACAGAATTAAATTCCCAGTCAAATACTTTAAAACAATAGCTACATAGAGATGTTTTAATCCGAAATGCAGACGGTTGTTTGCAGCTTGTCTAGTTCCGGCGAGTTTTGTGTAACATGGCGCATGAGCATTTCCCATTTCTGACTATAATAATAACTTCAAATGATTTCTCCATAAATATTAGATCATTTATTAATATACCAAAGATAGAACACTTTCTACCGCTTTATTACCTTGATCCGAAGGATATTATTAGGAAGGGCAACATTCGTTTAAATTAATTCCTGTTTTATTCAAAAAAAATTTTGTATTTCGAGATAATACCTCTAGGACACGTCTAGACGCTGTGGTCGTACAATCATTTTATACTTATAAAAGATAAAATGCCGGATGCTACGTTACAAAGCACGCAGGAAATAACAGATATAGATGAGAATAACTTACAGCCGTGCAAAAAGTGCAACTTGCCGATTTATGAAGGACATGCGTATGAATTGGGTGATGATAGGTGGCATATAAACTGTTTCAAATGTTCCAAATGCAATTCGTCATTGGGATGTAATTCTAACTTTTTGGTTTTGGGAAACGGAAATTTGATTTGTTCGAACTGTTCGTACAACTGTAAACAGTGTGGCAAGAAGATCGATGATTTGGCTATTCTTACTGGCGATCAGGCATACTGCTCGTCTTGTTTCAAGTGTCGTTCGTGTAAATTGAAGATTGAGGACTTGAGGTATGCTAGAACATCGAAAGGATTGTTCTGCATGAGCTGTCATGAGAAGTTAATTGCAAAGAAGAAAAAGTATGATTTGAAAAGGAAACAGATTGCACAACTACAACAACAAAAGGAAATTGAAGAGAGAGATGGGATTGAGCACCAGCAAACACCACCACAAGCATATGATGTGCTCCGTCATCTTCAAGAGCGTTCCAATTCATCTACATCTGTTTTAAGTAATACGCCGAGCGCGAGGGATAGTATTGACAATGCCAGTGATGTTTTCACTCAACCAAATAAATCGAATTCGAGTTTATCAATGAAAGATAAAGTTTTGCCTCCTCCGCCGAGCAATCCCCCAAGTCAACCCAGTTTATTTGCTAGAGAGTCTTTTAATTCTACAAAGACAGATAATTCACTTCCTTCGACAATGACTTCGAGATTTTCAACGCCAACAAGCGAGTACGCTAATGCAATCTCTAACCCTAACGATATTGAAAACGATTACTCTATTGAAGAGGTGAATGACAGCGATGATGAATTAAAGAAGAATAATGCAACACAGTCACAGGCCCATCAAGATCAAACTTATGAGCAGATCAATACGCCACCAGCATCATCGGCAAACGACAACCTGTCACCAGTTAAAAATATGGCCAATGGAATTAGACTCGATATTATTGATTCTTCTCAACCATCCACTCCAAGACGTAATCAATTACAACCAGCGGCCATCTTTACTCCACAATCTAAGGATAAGGATCTGATCGATGAATACAGAGCACAATCGCCAACGTCAGTGTCAAAAGCCAATTTCAAGGGAAAGAACCTCCTTATCTTATCACCCAATAACTTACAGAATGAAGAATTTCATAATCCATCTAGGGAACATCATTCGTCGATTGGCTCACCGACATATGATATGATGTCAGAATATGATGATAGTAGGCCAACACTATGTGCACCAGTTGATGAATCAAAGGTAAGATCTGGTTGCCCTTCACCATTTGCGAAGGCAAATAGACAAGCAAGAGTTGTTGAAACAAATGATTATTCTCAAGACAATGCAGGAATATTTTTGGATAATGAGGATAATAGGGAAGACGGATATGATGTAATTAGGACGCCAAAGAAATTGGGGTTGTCGTCATCAAATACAAATACTACATCTCCACCCCCAAAATTACCATTGCCAGTGATACCATCAAGCCCAGCCAAGAAAGACAAAGTATATGAAACGCCTACAGTACTGGATACAGCTAAATTCAACAATAAGATAGAAACAACACCAAAGGGATTAGGATTAGCCGGTGTCGATTATAATGAACCCAAAGATGAAATTGGGTATTTCAGCCTGAATAACGAAAATCAACACGAAAAATCAATACCTCCTCCATCTCAGACTCCTAATCAAAAATCGCCAGCAACTCCAGCTGTAACGAATCTTGAAACTACGACAAATGTGGATAAAGATACACCAGAGAGTAAACAAGAGTTATCTAGAAAATCATCTTTGATAAGAACTCCGAAACTTAGTTTGAAACATAAGAGGTCTATATCAGGTGGTAATGGTAGTATTTCTCAAAAATTTGGGTTTTTTAAGTCCAGCAATAAAGATGAACCAATAGTCAACCCTGAGAAACCACGCCATGGGTCAGTAGGGTCTATTTCAAATGGAGGATCTGCATTCGTTACACCTCCTTTACCACGTACATCTCTGTCAAACCACCAATTTCAGACAAATAATGGGTTTATACGAGAACATAATAGGTCCACTTCAGACACTCCGTTTTCTTCTGTTATGGACAACAGATATAGTAACGATATAGTAAAGAATGATTTTGACATGAGAACCTTAAAATCGGAAGTTTACCAATTAGATTCTCAAAAGCAAGTCCTATTCAACGAGAATAGGGCATTGAAGAACGAAAATGAGAAATTAAGCGAACAACTAAGGAGTTTACAAAACAATATAAGCTTGGAGTCAGCTAATCATGAAAGCTTAACAAAAGAAATCATTGCCTTAGAAAAACGTAAGAAAGATCTATTAGAAGTAAATCAGAGTTTATCTGAACAGAATCATAAATTGGAAATTTCTGTTAATAATTCATCGGCAATTAGCAAAATGCCGTCAAATGACACAGGTTACACTAATTCTATTGGTGGTACAACTGTTGGCAACGCGCCTGCTTCTCTTCCCTCTCAAAATTCATCATCTTCATTAATAGCTGGAGCCCCATACAATGAAAATAATTACTCGGAAGAACATACAGAAACCCAAAAGGCTACTAGATTGAAATTCTGGAGAAGACCAAAAGTAGCTCCCAATTTGGTTTCGTCTCACAATACTAATAATTTGTACGGACTGCAAAACTCAACTTCAACTCAGCATCAGATTCAAAATAATAACCAGAATCAATATACAAGTCCGCTTCACGGGCAGGGAAATCAACCGCCTCAAAACTGGAATAATGGTACTAATCCAAAACTAAGCCAAACTTATTCGTCCCAAGCGATTCGACCACCTAATAGCAAGAATTATGTGAATGCTAATGGTATTAATAACCATAGTAATGTCAATGCCAATACCAATAGTAATGATTCGTTAACAGCCGAAGGAAACAACAAGAAGGGAATAAGTTCGTTTATGACAAAATCTAGATCAACCAATATTCTTGACTCATTCTTAGCTGGAAATAGTGCTCACAATTCACCTAATGGTAATCATGAAACTATTGATCCAATCCTGTTAACGGAAATTGACTCTGCTCCCCTTTTTGATTCATCTATTCAGAAACGGGCAGAGTATGAGAATGAAAAAGTGCCGCTCATTATCACGAAATGTATTGAAGAAGTGGAGAAAAGAGGATTAGATGTGGAAGGAATATATCGTATTTCAGGTGGTAATTCGGCAATTGTTGCGATTGAGAATGCTTTTGCTGACTTACCGCCTAATTCAACCAAGGATGAGAAGCAAATGCGCAAGTTAGAAGATGCCATTGGTGGAGATATAAACGCTGTAACCTCTGCATTGAAGCGCTATTTACGTAAGTTACCAGAGCCGCTACTCCCTTATGCATTTTATGATGAATTTATTAAGGTGGCCCTGTCAATATCGGCAAACAAACAAGATAAAAGAATTAACGAATTGAAGCTGAAGGTTATTAACAAATTGCCACCGACTAACAAGCATGTATTGTTTTTGATCTGTAAACATTTGGACTTGATTAGCTCCTACGCTTCGGTTAACAGAATGAATTTCAAGAACTTGTCAGTCGTATTTGCACCAACACTAGTAAGAGATGAAACTGGTGAAAAAGAAATGATCCATATGGGTTATAGAAACGATGTTACTGAATTGATGCTTACAAACTACCAAAAATTGTTTTATGATTATTTACATTAAATAGATTACTTTCTAGATAAATAAAATAAACTTTCTTATGACTGTATTAATCATATTTATTTGACAGGAAGTTTAAGTCTATCTAGTTTATTACAGACGTGCAAGTCTTCTTAGTCGTGCTCTGAAAATGGTGCAATGCTATTTGTGCATTGCAAATCAGGAATATGTACAATTAAATGCTAGTATGGTAATACCCATAGAATTGTTTGTGGAATACAAGCAAACTAATGTATATCTTTAATATTTGGGTTCAGGTACATTTCATACCTTCTATGGCCCACTCGGATTAAATGTTCAATAACACTGAACAGCTTCTTAGGAAGATGTCTGTGCTTACCGAATTCTTCCCTAATATATAATCTCCAATGTTCTCTATTCTGCTCCGGTTTAGTCTTAACTGACCGTATACACGCACGATATAGCTTTAAAACCTCTCTTTGTAGTCCTGATAAACGTGCCATTATACTATAAAAATTCAGATATAGCGAAATAAGAACCTTAGGCTTCTCTGGATAAAGTTCTTAACAATATGACCTTCTGGAGTACATGCTCACAATCAAGATAGAGACATTTTATTTATGTCGTAAGCACTATTAAAAGTACGCGACATTATTTATTTACTATTACACTAGATAAGAAATGTGCAACATTCCATACATTCTAGCCTTACAAATTCGCTATGTTACTCAGTTTCTATTACTTATATTACCTATATTGCTTTAATTGAAGACTATTATACAAAAAACCCCATGGCCAATGCCTATTTTTCAGATATATGCAAATTAAGTTCCGGAACTACCGTGTTCTAAACTTATTTAATGTTAGTGAAATCAACTTCACCTTCTCTGCTGACTTCGCAGTGGCCACTAGCACCACATGTGCAGCCGCTCTTTGATCTTTTACCGCAAGCACAAGCATTTCCGGCTTCTGGAACAACGTTTTCAACTGAGGCCTTCTCACAGGTACATTTTAAAGCTGGTTGTTCACCACAAGAACAAGTGGAGTTCTTAGCACAAATACATTCTTTAGCGGAGCAAGTCATTATTGTTAAGTTTATTTATTAATGTAATATATTAATGATATTATAGTTTGGAACTATTATTGAATACTGTAGAGATCTAGAGACGTATTTATAGTCGGATTACAGTTTGCAGCTATCTTTCAAGTCACGTTTTGGTAAGACTAATTGCGAATTTCAACCAATCAGAATCCTTGAATTAGTCATACAAATAATCCTTATTAGTAATGGCCTGATGTCATTGGTTATCTATGATCTGCTTACTCTGCAACCAAAATAACACGCGATTCAACATCTTGATGACTATTCTGATCCAGGTCAGGAAGAAAGATATGATCGTATGTGCTATTGTGCTATAACATGTAGATCAGTCATGCAACAAAAATATTTAATTTTTGTAATATTACGTACTTTTAGTAATTTTCGACTAAGCTTGTAAAAAATAGTAATGCTTCTATGACTTTGTTGAATATAGCTGCTAAAAGGTTATTCAAAAGTTTTATGATTTCTGTAAAATTAAGACTTTTTGTATCGCTACGTTTATTCTATGTTTACTTTACTTCTGAGTGATTGAAAAGGTTAGGTTGCAAACATTGTAATATATAGAATAATGGCGGTCAAAGAATGTTTTGCATGAATGCGGAAACCTCGTATTGGTAGTAAAAGTTACCATTATTGCCCAATGTTTATTTACTCTAGGTTACAATATATACGATACACAAAGGAGTCATTGACCCATATTTTGAGTGTAGTTGGTGAAATTCTTGAAGCGTTCGCCAAGCAAGGACCCTAGTTCGGATGTAGAATTCCCAGTCTGATCAGAAGTGTCATTTGGTGCGACTTCATATTGATTAGCCTGGTTATTGAAACTGTCAAACAAGTTTCTAGCTTGCGGGTTGGGTTGATTATCTGGATTATTAATATCACCTTTATTATTTATTTTGGTGTTGTATAGAACTTCTTCGAACAAATACGAAATGGATCTGGAATTAGATTGGTTGGAGTTTTTCGATTGATTAGCGGTGTTATCCTTGGACTGGTTCTGCAGTGTATCCTGATTATTTATCATCGAATGGTATATGGTATGTGCTGAGTTATTCTGCTTGTTGGAAGTATTGTCCAAGAAGACGTTTTGGTCGTCATCGTCGCCCGGAAGTATACTCTGTCTCTTCTTGTCATCATGCTTTCTTGTACTAGACAGACGCCTTTTCTTGTTACTATTTGGTAATTGTATTGTTTCAAGGTCTGGTAATGGTACTTCGTCTTCATCTACCTCGTTTCTGGCTCCCAGATGATTGTCATCATTATTTGAACGGTCATTTACGCTTGGATTGTTCTGCAATTCTGGAGGTGGGAGATCACTGTCATCTTCTCCATATCTTATTCTCACACCTAACGGCGTTCTCATTATATCTACACCACCACCTTTCTCTCTACTTCCAGATGGCGTGAAATTTGGAGTTCGTGGGAATCGTTGCATTGTATTTTCCGAATCAGATCTTCTGTTTTGCCTTCCAGGCGTAGACTTAGGGGGTAATAAAATGGGGGATAGCCTACCTAAATCCTTTGATTCAGATGATTCTTTAGACCCACTCTCTCCGTTACTATTGCTTCCACTATTCATATAGCCCCTCTCGGATAACAATACTGGTGGTTCCGGTAACGTAGGTGAAGAATCAATTAAATTCTGTATTAAGGATGACCTGCGTCTGACATCTTCGGACATACCTCCTTCCCTTATTGGTGTCCGATGCATAGATCTTTGAGGCTTTCTAGGTGATATCGATATTTTGTGGTAGTTATCTAGCGATTGTCTTATGGTATGTGTCACTACAGGAGGAGATGCAAGCTTCTGTGGAGATTTAGTATTCATCGACGACTGTTCTTCGCTCGATAACGTCGGTGCTAACGTATGTGTCGATTGTAGACGGTCGTTACTTGTCTTTCCAAGGTTCAGTTTTTGGTTATGTATAAACGACGACCTCTGTTTCAACTGCGGTGTCGATGCTTGCATACCATACTGATGTGGAGGCGCATTTTGTTCTCCGGTGGACCAAGTTGGGGTTTCTTCAACAGTGTTAAACCCCTTGATCATTGGCTTCTTGAATTGTTCTATTGCCTCTGCACCCTCGCGAGCACCCTCGCGAACCTGTCCGGGAACCGCATTTTCGCCCTCTTCTGCTTCTTCATCATCCAGAATCAAAAAATTATTTTTCGAATTGGCTATTGTATTCAAATCAGTATTCATATTCGCCGGCGCCTCGTAACTTGTCAACTCCACATTGGCCGCTTGTTCTAAGAAATACTTCCAAAAATTTACATTATTCCATACGTTTGACGACGATCCTGCGTACTTCTTTAAAATTGGGAATATCTTATCGTTAATCACTGCATTAGATTTCGACAAATTTTTATCTATTTCTTGTAATACTAACGTGATTTCTTGTTCTAGTCTTTCTAACTCCAAAGTAGCTGATTCTCCATCTATATTGTCATCTCCTTTCAAATTTAAATTAGGATTTATCGTCGACTTTCGACGTGAAGACGATGGGGCAATTGAATACCTCTTCATTACTTGATATTAGATAAGGACCACTTCCACTAGTAGGTGGTCGGTTGTTTATAAACGTCTGAATTTAAACGCGTTAAGCGGTTTACAGGTTAGCTCATCGATTTACTGCTCATAAAAAAATTGCAGTTTCCTATTTATGGCTAAGGGAATTACGGTACTAATTAAACCGTAGTGAACACCTATATTCGTAAGAAATATAAGGAATAGAAAATAACCAAGTAATGGGAAACATCATGTCCGTCTCATTTGCTCCAGAATGCACGGAGGCTAAAAACCAGTATGATGACTGCTTTAACAAATGGTACACAGAAAAATTTTTACAAGGTAAATCGTTAGAAAATGAATGCACAGAATTATGGGATTCTTATATCACATGTGTCAACACCGCATTGGCCAAGCAGAAGATAAAGCCAATGTTGGATAAGGCCAGAGAAGATCAACCATTTTCATCTGAAGAAATCAGACAGAGTGCTGGAACAGGGGATTCCAACCCGGATACCAAACGCTGAGATTAACACCCGTACGTCTGGGTGACTACTTGTATATATACTACTATGTCGTTAGGACATAATACATGCTATAAGGGTACTTAATCGTAGAAATATCTCTCTGACCCAAACATTTGATACTGCATATAGACTGATATTCCGTGGTGGAAAAACTGAACATTAATGTAGTCTGAACAGAGGAGGAAGCAGGTTTGGTGCCAGTCAGTCCGTAATGTTAGTAGAGGAGGTCCCGAGAACTACAAATTCGAGTAGCACGACGGTATATTTTTCGTCGTCAATTAATCTCAGTGCTAGGCCATCTTCGTACTCGTCCAAGCAACAAGATAACAATCAAGACCAAGATGATGGGAATGCAAACAACGCTAATAGACACAATAAGAGCAGACCTAAAGTTAATTATAACTTGAACCATTTGATGAATGCACAGACTCAGGCCAATGACCTATCTGCTTATTCTGGTCCTTTAAAGTCATCACAACAAATCCAACTAGAAAGAATAATAACTAAAAGATTGAATGAATTGAACAAAGAATCCGCCATCAACACGTTCGAAATACCGAAGAATTTCACATTTCAAAATGCCAATGCTAGTGGAGATAAGAGAAAGGCGAGACAGGGAAATACACCTACTACTAAGAAAATTTTATCTTCTCGTAGAAATTTGAATCTGTATTTTGAAGAAGAGCGAAATTTGATATCTATAAACTCAATATTGTGCCTTAATTATCAATTCATTGACCAAATAGATGCAACCAGTGAAGATAAATCAAGTACAAAGAAAAGAAAATTAAATGAAAGGGCATTCAAGCCTCGATTAAGATTATGTTGTATATGCGGATCGAACTCTAGTTACGCAAGATGCACAAATTGTGGATTATTTGCCTGTAGTGTTAAATGTAATAAATTGCATGAGGACCTGAGGTGTAATTAATGAAAAGTATAGTTATATAGTAATGAATGATGATAAATTTCTAAAGTTCCACAACCCCTAAGTAAGAATCAAGTCTACAATGAAATCTAAGATAATATAATAATCTAATAAGTATGCTCTAATTTTTCTCACTAATGTCTAGATAGGTATTAATGAAATGCTTATAATTCTTCAGCCGTCAAATCTTTCTTGATCTTGAATGGTCTGCCTCTCCAATCGATTTCATGGCCACACATCGCCATTATCCATATAGGCAACGCCAAAACTTCTCTCATGACCCAAATATAAAACCATTTACGGAAAGGTCTAGTTAATGGAGGTAATTTTGATCTTTGTAGCCAATTTAACTGGTAATCTGCTTCTGATATATTCTTAATAAAAGTATAATATTGTGTGTAATCGGTTAGCACCCAGATCGAGATATGAAGGAGAAAAAACTTCCAATTAAACCACGTATGCCACAATAAAGTAGAGATAGCATATGTACCAAACAACCCGCAAACAATTGACTCGGTGCTTGGTTCAATTAGCGTAGCCATCAAAACCATGTATTTTCTAACACGTAACCATCTGACCCTTCTAGTGATATAATCATTGACCGTGTTATCGGCTCCACTTAAGGGCTGAATAACAAAATCACCTGTTAATCCAGTTCTGCTAAACAAGTTTTCCCAAAGACATATGGCAATCATATTATCTTCTCCAATATAACGAGAAAACAATTTGAGAGAATTCCCAGGTCCCAACGAAGTATAGTATTTTGCATCCGATAGCACTGAGTTGGAAGAAAAAAAGTTCGAATTGAGCGACGGAATTTTGGCAACGGCAAGGTCTAAATCTGATTTTCTGTAGATATTTGACTTCCCATTAACGCATGGAGCCACCGCAAGGTTATTCAACGACACGTAGAATTTCAGGTGAGACGTTAACATGAACATTTCGTCCAATTTGGCTCCAAGTTTTTTCAAGAATCTCTTCTTATACTGACCTGTCGAGTTGACGGGACTCAACGTATATTCCAAGTCACTATCGGTATCGGTGCTAGGATTAACACTCAATGCCAATGGCACATGGTGCACCAATTTGATCTTTCTGTTACTCGTGTTAGGCATCCCGTTGTTAGTATCCTCATTGAGTGCCTTTATCGAGTTCCGTAATATATTAGGTGAGGCCCACACGTTAGAGTCCATGATCCACAATATGTCATGCTCTGCATTCAAAAACCCTTTGGATAAGTTGTTGACCTTGGGATTCGGTCCAAAGTGTTCAATCGACCGTCTCGTATCAAAATTATACCCCTGTGACACCAAAATCGTCGCATTCACGTCTGGATATCTCTCTATCAATTTCTGGATGATGGGTATAGACTCATCGCCTGGATTATCGACGCAGAACAAGATTTGCAACTTCTCCCGAGGATAATTCTGCTGAAATGACGATTCCAAGCACGAACTCAACTCAGGATCCACTCCCTTAATTGGACGTATTATACTAACGGCCTCGAGCGTATCATCGTTCACCTTAAATTCCGACGGTCTAGTGAACTTGCTTCGAATTTCAAAAAATCCTCGATACGACACTACCAATATAATAATGTACCATATAAGAAAAATCACTCCTGTTATCAATCGGCTGCTAGACAAAGTTTCTATATCCACCGACATTGAAATCGTGTAATATTTACTTACTGACTTCCACTGACGTTTTTTACTGATCTGAAAAATTCACTTTTCGCGATGGTGAACGTTTGGGACCTGCTTAGTTAACTTGCATTGGTGTCTTTTTCCATCGGTTCCGAAGAATCTATGCTTCCGACGAAATACTGATGCATCGGTGTGCGAAAATGCGCCACGTCTAGCGACAAGTACGACAAAATCGCGAGGGTCCTCAGCGGAAGATTTTCAAAGTTACTTAGGAGCTTACCATGTAACCGCTAAAAAAAAAAGTCGCATTCTGGTCGCTGAGCACACACCCGCCAGGAATGTCCTGCCGGCTTTCACTTCCATGGAAATACCCCAGATCCTCGCGACAAAACTACGACATTTTAGTGACCTCGGGAGTGAGCTCAGGACTTAGTGTGTAAGTTCCTCGGTTAAGGAGTTTAGCACCCCCGCGAGATATAGAGGATCTGGATAGTATATAAGCGTCAATAACCCCAGAAAAATTAATTGTTGGGAGAGCAAAAAAAATCAAGCATAAGTATTGCAATATATTGATAGATAATGAATATTGATTCGAAAACAATGCTTAAGACTATCAGAATGAACAAAATGCCAGTGTCGATGAAACAATTTTCCACGTCTTCCTTGAAAGGGGACTTATTCAAATACCAAAAGGATTTACCCAAATTGCCGGTTCCAGGGTTGCAGGATACTGCTAATAAATATGCAAGATCCGTGGAGCCATTTTTGACCAAGGAACAGTTGCAGAGCACTAATGCCAAGATCAGCGATTTCACACAGCCAGGGGGAAGTGGTGAAGTGTTGCAACAGCGTTTGATTGAATTTGCGCAAGGAAAGGATAACTGGCTTGCGGAATGGTGGGATGAATATGCCTACATGTCCTATAGAGACCCAGTTGTGCCATATGTGTCGTACTTTTTCTCGCACAAGGACATTAACAACGTTATTGGAAAGGACCAGTTGTTAAAGGCATCGTTGATTGCGTATTACACGCTTGAGTTCATGGAACTGGTTCAAAGCGAGACTTTAGAGCCTGAAATTATCAAGGGCAATCCTTTCTGTATGAATGCCTTCAAATATATGTTTAACAACTCGAGGGTTCCAGCAGAAAATTCCGATACCACTAAAATATACGAGGGGTCGGAACACAGATACTTTACTGTTATTATCAAGAACCACTTTTACAAGGTCTACCACCATACTAAGGATGGTCAGCAATTAAGCAAAGCCGACATTTACAAGCAATTGCAATATATTTTCCAGGATGTCACCAACAAGCCAAGAGGCTTGCCAGTTGGTGCATTAACATCGCTCAATAGAGATGAATGGTTGAACTCTTACAACAGCTTGATCAAGTCGCCAATCAACAATGCATCATTGGAATCGATTTATGCTTCTTCATTTGTTATTTGCTTGGACGACAATAACCCAATTACTATTGAAGAAAAATCTAGAAACTGCTGGCACGGGGATGGTCAAAATAGATTTTTTGACAAACCATTAGAATTTTTCGTTAGTAGCAACGGTAACTCTGGATTTTTAGGTGAGCACTCTAAGATGGATGCCACCCCAACTGTGCAATTGAATAACTTTGTTTACTCTCAATTGGTCAAAGAAAACCCGGCTGCCGTATTATCTGAAATTGCCAATGATAACAAGCAATTAACTGATTTACAAGTCGAAGCTATTCCTCAAATCTTACAATTTGACGTTAACCCAGTCGTTAGAAATGAAATCAGCCAGGCTGTCGTCAAATTTAATGAAACTATTTCCTCTCTTGATCAAGAAACATTCCAATACTTCGGTTATGGTAAGAACTTAATTAAGCAATTTAAGGTTTCCCCAGATGCTTATGTTCAGATGTTAATGCAATTGGCTTACTTTAAGATGACGGGGAAGATCAGACCAACTTACGAATCAGCTGCTACTAGAAAATATTTGAAGGGAAGAACTGAAACTGGTAGACCAGTTTCCGTCGAATCTGCTGCTTTTGTTAAGACTTGGACTGATAATAATGCTACTACCGAAGATAAAGTTGCTACTTTCCAAGCTGCTTGTAAGCAACACATCAAGTACTTAGGTGATGCTGCTGATGGTAAGGGTGTTGACCGTCATTTGTTCGGTTTAAAGCAAATGTTGAAGCCAAATGAACCTGTTCCAGAAATCTTTACTGATGATGTCTTCGGCTACTCTTCTTCGTGGTACCTTTCCACTTCTCAAATTCCTTCTGAATACTTCCAAAGTTGGGGGTTCTCTCAAGTTACGGATGATGGTTTTGGATTAGCATACTTAATTAACTCAGATTGGTTAAATGTTCATATTTCCTGCAGAAAGGGTAACGGATTGAGATCCGATGTCTTAAAGTGGTACTTACTCGAATCTGCCAACGAAATGAAACAGATCTTAACTTCTAGTTTAGCTCCAAAAGCAAAATTATGATTGTGTCTCATTTTTTATTTATTATGATTTTATTTCACCGAGACTTGTCTATAAATCTTTATTAAAATTTAACCCTTATTGTTAATAAAATCTATTCATTTAGAATTAACTTATATATTTTGAAGTGTAGAAAAAATACAAAATTTGATTTAAGCATATCGTTAATGAGATTTTCAAATTAAACAAATTGACCTACGGTGTCTAAAATAGTACTCTTGAAAGATCTATATTTAATCCCAAGCACCTCTTTAGCTTTTCTGTTATCATATGTGGCATTAGTGGAAATAATATTTCCAAAATTCCAAGTCTCATTTGGGAATTCTTTCTTTACAAGCTCAAATGCATTCTCAAAGTTAGTTGAATCATTGGCAATAATAAACCTCTGATTCCCTTCAACAAACGCATTTAAAGCCCTTAAATGAGCATCTGCAACATCACGGACATGAACAGTTTGTTCCATCATACCGCCTTGTGCACCGTTCTTCAAGATTCCCCATAGTAATGCATTTGTACCCGATGGCTTATTGTCACTTTTAATCAACACATCGCCAAAAGCATATGTCAGTAGAAGGGTTATAATGTCAAACGATGGCTTTTCCGTTTCAACAAACTTCCATACTTTTTTTTCGACGATAGCTTTAGATGCAATGTAAGCCTCATACGGATTGCACCCTGAATAATCATGAGTTGATTCAGCGTCAGACCAGCTGTCTTCGTTTACCACAGCGCTATTATCGCCTGTTCTAATAACATTAGAAAGCGACGAAGTAATAACTACCCTCCTTATCGTAGGAATCATTTTTGCTGCGAATAAGACACTATTCGTAATTTCAATTGCAGGCTCAATTATGTCTCTAGTAACATTCTCTATGCCAGGATGCGGAGTAGGTGATGCAACATGTACAATGAGTTCTATGCCCTGTAAATAGGGGATTAGGGCAGAACTGTCGTCCAACTCTCTAATCAAAACAAATTCCACGTTATCATAGTTCCTATTAGACTTGAAAAAATTTTCAAAGCTAGTAATTTGTTCTTGACTTCTTACGCCTGCCCTTACTTCATAGCCATTTTGGAGTAGTTCGCTGAGTATGTGTTGTCCAATAAACGAAGATGATCCTGTAATAAAAACCTTAGTCATTACTGAAAGCAATTGAGGCATACAGTTTCGGATCAGAGCCTTTTGGATTTCAGTTGTTTAAATACGAAACTGTGATGACTAGCTAGCATAAAGATGTAATCAGGGTTCAGATTCTAAATTTAATGTAACCTAATCATCTCTCCCCGCATCATTTGGTGGATGCAAAATGAAGCATATACTAGTAATCCATATCCCTCAATGTGCATTGAGATTAGTAACCCTTCTGTAAGATTAAGCATACTTAAAATAATTTTCAACTGGGACAGGCTTCTTCTTCACACAAAAGAAGTCTAGCATATAATGAAATTGATATTAGCGTATGATGATGACGATGACAATGAAAATGAAAATGGTTGATGCTTTGATTGTATAGTCGAATTGTTTTGTTCCGATTGAACGTCTAGTTCAGATTCCATCATCTGTTTCACCTTGGTCTTGGGTTTCATACGTGTTGTAAGACTGGGATTTAGAATACGACGTTCTGACGGTGATTGATTTATTGTTGTCGTAGTATTTTTCATTTTTTAAAATAATAGTGTAAAGCTAAAGACCATTGTTTTATAAAGTTCAGAAGATTTTACATCGGTTTGTAGAGACTCAGGGGTTCGGGTGTGTTCAGTTTGAATTATACATGTCATGTCGGCCCAGCAAATATCCGATGTAATTTTTACGAAAAAAACTCATAATATGTTAAAAAATATGAGAAGGTAGAATTAATTTAGAAATTATGTAAACCGGCTGCAAATTATTCGAGTAAAAAACTAATTTCAGTAAAACCATAATACTAGAAGGCATCATTGTTGTTTTATGAAGAGTACATGTGCCTACATTTGTTCAAGTGTATGCGGAACTATCATTGGATAGCAGGGTTTTACAAACAATGGACGTTGATAAATTGCCCTACGGCTTCTCATTCATCTAATTTCCATTTGCCGTTAAGGTGAAAAGACGGGAAGTTTATTTCTATTCTTGGAATACAAAACGAGGCCTGAGACCTTTAGACCTCATAAATGTAGAGATTATATATATATTATAACCTTTATAATATAATTGAGACTGAATAAACTACTTAACCTAAACAACTAGTAGACTGATTTGACGAATATGGATTTGGACAATTTACTTCAACAGTAACTTATAACAACATCATTAGAGTAATGATACCTCCGATCAAAGTTCTAGGATATCTCACTTGATTACCAAAAGATTTGCTTCTGTCATATTCCCTTTGGTTTATTAAGTTGGGTTCATTAAGTAAGAAGAAGCACTATAGTCACCCAATTTCTTTCCATCACCATCGAGCGCTTCAATTTTAACATATGGGTAAAATTCCTTAGCAGTGTAGATACCTTGGAATCCATCCTTATCAACCTGAGTGACCTTGCTCATGTCGGAAGTAGAATTACCACCATACAAGTTGTATTTCTTGACCTCTGTAGCACCATTGTATGAGAAATACATTACAGTTGAACTGTTAGATTCAAATGCAGTGGCTACAATAGCTGGGTCTTGCGATGGCTTACCAGTCCAGTTACCCTTGAAAGCTCGGTAAGAATTGGTATCATCCTTTGGTACTGCTTCAAAGATTTTATCACCATCAACAGTATATTCAGATACGCCGGCTTTACTTCCCCAACCAACAAACACATTACCATTGTCTAATACTTGAACAGAACCTTGTGAAGTACATACATCATCAATAGCATCACCAGATTTATATTCTTGGAATAGTTCGACTTTACCAATAGTATCATTACTCTTGGTAGTAAAACTGTTAATTTTAGTAGTGGTCAATTTAAGGATGATACCTCGAGATCTGTCTCGAAATCCTTCTGGGGTGCGACCGTTGCTTTCATTATCAAAGAGAGAAATGTATCGAACAGAGTCATTGGACTTTTCACCAATAAGTTCAGCATCAACAAATCGAGCATCGTGTTGGTATGCAAAGGTAGCATCATCATCAACGTCCCAATTGGTAGTACCTTCAGGATTAGAGTTCAAAGTCCAGATCAAATCTCCGGATTTACCATCAATATAATAAAGAGACCAAGTGTGTCGGCATGAGATCAAGTAATTTCCATCGCTATCTTTATCGATAGAATTCATATGCAAGTAATCGAATGGACGTTCATTAGATTTACCTTTGCCATCGTCCATCTGTTCTAATACTAATGATTCGGAGATTGGAATATGTTCAATAGAGTTCCACTGAAAAAGTACTTCATCGGTAGAACTATCGATTTCAATGAGAACATTTTGATAAACCCATCCCTCTTCCATGGATGACTCCCAAGTAGACAAGTTATATTGAATTGCTTGATAAGTAGAAAATGCTGCTGTACCATCGCCGAAATCGTGGAATTCGTGGAAATCGTGTAAAAATGGAGATTGGAGTCCCAAATTTTTTGTAATTCTATAGCTATTGTCCATTTCTCGGTAGCTACCAAAGCCTAACCCGACATCGGACATAGCACCAGTCCAATATGAGAGTCCAGTGGTATTGGAAGAATTTCGGTGGTATTGAATTGGCTGGAAATTAGAGATAACTTGTGGTAGCCCGTATGCAGTCCATATCAAGTTACCTTCTTTGTCGTAAATATGTGGGCCAAAGTATGGAGCAGCCCGAGGAATATCAGAATTCCATGGGCATAAGAAGATATACGAATCCTCTACACCGCCTTTATTAATTTGAACATCGAGCTCGGATGGGATTAGATCTGGTCGCGAAATGTATGGGGCATCACTTGGAACACTTGCTGCCAAAACGGAGCCGAGTACTGCTGAGCCGATAGCTATTTTTGAAAACATTCTTCGTTATTCATATATAAGTAAGGATTAAAAAAAAAGTTGACAAAAAGTGTGGATTTAATCAGCCTTATATAAAAAGTATGGTTGCCTCATTTAGTGGAGTCATTACGTAACAGCCGACTTTAGGGTACTCACCTTTTTTACCCTTATATAGTGGGTAATAGATTCTCTTACTGTAATCTCTCACTTAAGAGGCATACGTACCAAGAAAAAAATACAATATGTAGATCCTCGTCAAAGCACCGCGCTACGTAGTTTGTGTCTCTGTGCCATGCCGATGTGAGGTAACCCTGCATGTGGGATAGATGGGGTATTTATTATGGTAGATATGAACAAGAAGCTCAAGTTCAGAGCTGGATATCAAATGGAAAGCCTCATGTGATATCATTCGGGAACGGATAGCGATACATGTCTTGAATTCGAAATTGAGATGTGAATTTTGATTCTTGGATCGAAATGGTCCGTTGTGAGTCTGTTGGTATGCTATGAAGGAAGAAGTTTGCTAGATAGCTAATCTGGCTAGTTGTTTATTTTTTTTTTTTTTTTTTTGCTTATTGTCCACAACTTTAACGTCATCTAGATTAGGAAATCGAGCTACTGAAATAAGGCAATACGCGATGCCCGAATATCGTCTGGGTAAATTCATCATGATGTTCTGGGAAGGGGCAGGATGTAGACTGGTTCTAACTGAACGGTCTTTTCAGAGTTATTCGAAATTGTGGGAAGCTGTGGCTACTGCAATGTATATATTCTATAGGTTCGATCTTGAGATTACTTCTTATTGTAGATATAAGATCGGCCCATAATACAAGATATACTTTACAACATGGTTACGTATGTATCGTCTAACTCTCTAATCAAATACTTTCTATTAGACTTGAAAAAATTTTCAAAGCTAGTAACTTGTTCTTGACTTCTTACATCAGCCCTTACTTGGTAACCATTTTGGAGTAGCTCGTTAAGTACGTGTAGTCCAATAAACGAAGATGAACCTGTAATAAAAACCTTAGACATTACTGAACAATTGAGGCATACATTTTGGGGTTGTTGGAATTTCAGTTGTTTAAATATGAAACTATGATGACTAGTTAACATATAATCAGGGTTCAGATTCGAAATATAATGTAACGTAATATCTCGAGGCAATGATTTACTGGATGCAAAATATAGCATATGCTAGTAGTCCAAATCCGTCAGTCAGCATTGAAATTAGTAACCCTTTAAATTAAAAATACTTCTAAAAGTAATTTTCAATTGGGACAAACAAAAGAAAAGGTATAGTATATATTGTAATCCAATTTGGCGGTTTTACTTGTAAATTAATCAGAATATATTAGCACAACGTAAATATAAGTTAGAGATGCCACGTGGAATATATATTCAATATCTTTATAGATGGGCGAAACGAGGAACTATTCGTCTAAATCGATTTATCTGCAATTTAAAGTGAACATTTATTATGGGATATAGGGTTCATTAAATGTTGCACTGAATTCATTTGTTTTTAACTGTCCTTGTAATTTTCAATCAAGGATCGACGAAATGTTACTGGTAGATTCTGAATAGCTGGTAAGTAAAAACTATGTCTTCGGTCGTAGGGTTTTTATTTTTTGAGTTACAATTTTTTTAACCCTGAAATGAACTTTTTCCTCGCTTCGGTAACATCTAGGTTTTTACAATAATAAATAATTGCAGATCGCTTAAATTTACTATATTTAAGACCGTATAAGGGTACACTTCGGCTGGTAGATACCATGGTATCACAGCTTCAATCTCCTTCTGAAGATCACGTAAATACGATAATGATAACCTCTGGGATGCTATCTGCTAAATTATATCGCACGCGACACTGCTCGCAAATCATGTACTCTGGCGATACTCCAATTAACGAGCTTCACTCTCGTAAGAGATCCAAAATACAAATCAAACGCTATCAAATATGACAGCTAGGTAGTTCGTCTTTGTTTGGCATGTTTTGTATTATCCCTTTCAACAGTTACACGAGAACCACGGTTAAACCTGCTACACAAGAACGCGCGAAATCTATTTCATATGTATAGCTTATTCCATAACTATTACCTTTATCAAATTCAGCAAACCCGTATTGTAGGTAATATCGGTTCGTCGACGGTCTTGCGGCTGATCTATGAAGTACCATATTGCACGTATTTTTAGTATTCATTTCCCATTTTGCAACCTTTTTACCCAATTGGGACACGCGCAAGTCATTTGTCCGCTGCTGAGTATGCCCTTTCTAGACGAGACCCGTCTCTCAAATCGCCCCCAGCGATTTGCTCGCTTAAATAGCATGTTGTTAACACATTTAGTGCCTGCTAAAGGAATAGCAAATGTGGATTCAAAGTTAATTACTCGAGTGGTAGTCCATTGCAGGGGGCAATGCTTTTGATCCGATAATGCGGCTTTATTGGCCCCCACTCACTAATAACTGATGAGTTTTACCATTAGGTATTGATTCTATTTGCAATGGTATAACATCAAACATAGCACTGTCTATTTTTAATTGAAATACCTTTTTTTTCATGTAGGCCCATTGTTATCACCAAATTTAATTGTGGTGTAACGATGAAATTTGTATCGTCGCAGTAAAAATTATATAAAATCTGATCTGATTTAATTTTACACATTCCGGTAAAAAATTCGACTAGAGTAGATCATTGATTGCCAGCATACGTCCTTTCATACCTTGTATTTTGTAAGGCTTATTTTCTTACACTTTTTGTTTTCACTTGGCTGTTTATTAATTCCAGGAGTTTTATTTATTTCTAGTTATTTAATAACTAATAATTTCAACATCTTCAAGATTTCTTCATTTCAATTGCATCTGACATCCCCCCTTATGGTATTTTATGATTAATGTTTCGGGAAATAAATAATGAGTGATAGATCTTCAAAACCACATAGATCACATAAACGACAGAAGTCATCTTTAACAAACATAGGCTATTACTTCCCGGATCAACAAACAACCCAACAGGCATCACAACAACCGTTTCAACAATTCCCGCAACAGAGACAAATACAGCAGCCACAACAACAGCAGTCACGTCAGCAACAACAGTCGCGTCAACAACATCAGGGGCATAACAGACAGTTGTCTCAATCTTCCCAATTATCACCACATCAATACCAACTGGCATCGATATCATCACAATCGTCACAGCCATCACAACAATCACAAGCACAACCGTCCTTCTACGATTATGATCCCTATAATACAATGAATTACAATTTTAGTTCAGCTACTGCACCGAGCTCTAGTACGGGTACTGGACATAATATCATTCAGGGCATTCCCCCTGCCAAAGCAAACCCGTCTCCAAGCAGAGGCCAGTTTGGTCCTATTACGTTTTTACCATACCAGTCGCCTACTCAGTATACTATACCTGGGTCTGTGGATCAGAATTTTGGGACGATTCCCCAGATGCAATTGCAGTCTGGGCAATATAACTCAGAAGCCCCAAATGTGTATGAACAGTTCACATACCCGAAGTCAGTAGCAGAATTCAACGATGTACCCCAATCCGAAATTAATACAGGTGTACAAGAAAAGCAGCCTATAAAACATAACAAAAACTTGTCTGTATCTACCAGGTTTAATTTATTTAATTTAAATGAAAACGAAGGTCAGAGTGAACGAGAAACGGAAGCTAAACCCACGGCTATAAGTCCCCTTTTCAGTGATTTCTTGCAGAATTTGGTTAATGTGGATGGATCCAATATTAATAACTATTTATTACAGGTACTAGAGAAACTAGGATCGCCATTACCGATAGATGATTTTTATAATTTTTTATATAATAACGAGAAGCAAGCCTCTCCTACTCCAGTCATCCCAACTCATAAAATTGACAAGACAATGGTCAATTTTTCAGTTCAGTCGCCAGCTTTCAGTCTTTTGGATCAATTACTAAACATATTCAAGATTCCAAATCTGCTTATTGAATACTTCCCAAATATCGCTAATAGAGAGAATAAACTATTTGGAATAAATTACCATGAATTATTAAGAACTTTTTTGGCTATCAAAATTTTACACGACGTTTTGATTCAATTGCCATCAAATAACGATCCACAGAACTATACAATTCCAAGATTATCAATTTACAAAACATATTATATAATATGTCAGAAATTAATAAGACAATATCCTTCTCCTACAAATACCTCAAGTGAACAACAAAAATTAATTTTGGGCCAATCTAAGTTAGGAAAACTATTAAAATTAGTTTATCCTGATTTGTTAATTAAAAGATTAGGTAGTAGGGGTGATTCAAAATACAATTACTTAGGCGTAATTTGGAATCAGAATATCATTGATGATGAAATTAAGAAACTTTGCGATGAAAACGAATTGGTTCATTTACATCGGATTTTTGACACTAAGGATAAAAACATATCTTTTCAAAGAAGAAGAAATCACTCGACAACTAGTTATAATTCAATTCCAGGTCACAAGATTAAATTGAAAACGAGGTCTAAATCTGAACCTCAGATACAACTAACACGTTCGCGTACTGAACCATATAGTAATGAGAATATAATATCTCCTAGCTTTTCATTCATTAAACCACATTTGAAATTTCCAGAATCAGATAATTTTACCATTTTGGAAGAGAAGAATAAAGATAACTGGTTTATAACGATAAAGCAGAGGGTGTATGAATGGTTCAAACGTTGTAACTTATCATTTTCAATACCTGAAGCGATCCAGCTGGTTTTCCTCAATAGTGATAACTTGGTTGAAAAGACTTTCCTATGTAATGGTTTGATAAATAAGATAGTTAAGCCTTTAAACTCGGATCTTGCATATGTCGAAAACGCTGATTTATATTTATATTTAGTTGCCATCTTGGAATTGCTACCGTATCTATTATTTCTTAAAACCTATCCCCAGGTTAATTATTTGAAGAATCTAAGATTAAATTTACTATACTTGATTGATAATTTTAATGATGAATTAGCTACTATAGATACTAATAATCACTTCAAGATTGAACATTCAAGAAGGTTTCTCATTTTGATGAAAAAGCTTATAAATATTAATGATCTATTGATAACATTTATTAAGCTCATCAATAAAGATGATTCATCTAATTCCTCGGTGATGGTTCTGGATATTGAAAACTATTTAAACGTTTCTGATGAGAATCAATCAGATAATGGAATCGATGAAGATAGTGAATCTAAATTAAGTTTCAACAATGATATTCTATCAAAAGATCTTATTTATGCCTTGAATGCGTATAATTTTGATCCTACTTTGGACCATCATTCCAAGTCTGCTTTATCCACTGACTTTATATGGAATGAGGTTAATTTAATTGGAAACTTTTTCAGAATAGATTTATTAAATTTTTTGAATGATGAGGATTTAGGAGAGAAATATGAACTGGTGACATCCAGAGAACCCAACGATGAAACAGACTCCATACTTTCAAAGAAAGAAAGCACAAAGCTTGCGTCATTACTCACTCTAATTCATGATAAATTACTCACCAAGCATTTCAAAGCAAAGTATCCGATTCTAGTCTATACAAACATATTGAGTCTTATACTTAATGACTCGTTGAAGTATATTTTCATTAAATATCAAAAGCAACAAAATAATCAGCATAAAGATGAGAATCAAAATAGCTTTGGTAATTGGTGGGTATTCAATTCGTTTGTTCAGGAATATTCAAGTTTAATGGGTGAGGTTGTTGGCTTATATGATTCAGTTTAGCGGCGTCATTTGAGCTTTGCATATCAATCTTTTTACAATGTGCTTTTCATTATTTGCAAACCCTTCACCTTCACTTCGTGCATTTAGTTATTGTTTCTATATATATATTTTATAACTAGAGAATCCAGCTATTTTCTAGAGGCTTTGATATTTGTTTAATAATATTGCATCCTACATATTCAATTACAAAGAGCTTTACATGCCTATTAACAAAGAGGAATGGATCTAGTAGCTTACTTACAATGTTAGAATCCCGATAATAGAATAGTTACCCGGTGCGAAAGTTGTTCCATACAAGAAATTTTCTTGATACATCAACTGATGTACAATATGGGGGAGATAGCCCAAATTAGTATTCATATAGCAAGACGATGACAGCATCTCAGAACGCGATAAAGCTCTTACATGGTAATTCTCACCCTGAACTTGCAAAGTTGATTTCGAAAAATTTAGGTATAGGTTTAGCTAAGGTGGGTGCTTTCCAGTATACAAATAAAGAAACAGCCGTTGCAGTAGGAGAATCCGTAAGAGATGAAGACATTTACATTATACAAACAGGTTGTGGTGAAGGAGAAATAAATGATTTTTTAATGGAACTACTCATCATCATAAATGCTTGTAAAACTGCTAGTGCAAGAAGAATCACTGCTGTTATACCAAATTTCCCTTATGCCAGGCAAGATAAAAAAGATAAATCAAGAGCTCCCATCACTGCAAAATTGATAGCAAATCTCTTACAAACAGCAGGATGTAACCATGTTATAACATTAGATTTGCATGCATCTCAAATTCAAGGGTTTTTCAGAGTGCCGGTTGATAACTTGTATGCTGAGCCCTCGGTATTAAGACATATCAAAGAGAATTATGGTAAAGAGGACTTAATTATTGTTTCACCTGATGCTGGCGGTGCTAAGAGAGTTGCATCGATTGCTGATAAATTGGATGTTAATTTTGCTTTGATTCATAAGGAAAGACAAAAAGCCAATGAAGTTTCAAAAATGGTTCTCGTAGGTGATGTCACTAATAAGTCATGTTTATTAATTGACGATATGGCTGATACTTGCGGTACTTTGGTTAAAGCAGCTGATGTTTTATTAAGCAATGGTGCTAAGAAGGTAGTCGCAATAATTACACACGGTATATTTTCTTCGAATGCAATTGAAAAACTCAATAATTCGAATCTCGACAAAATCATATGTACCAATTCTATGCCATTAGAGAATAAGTTATCTCAATGTCCCAAATTAGAGATAATAGATATAAGTGCCACTTTAGCTGAGGCCATTAGAAGGTTACATAACGGTGAAAGTGTATCTTATTTATTTAACAATGCTCCTGCTTGAGATAGTATATATTGAATTGTACATTAGTCTCTGACATATACTAAATATTTAATAAACACAGTTTAAAAACTCTCTTCCTTTGCATTAACGACATACCAAACAACTCCAGTGCTGAGGTGGAATGGGTTAGCATCCTTGTCGTTAAAATTTGCGTCTGTCACGGTGTGTTCTTCGATATATGTCACACGTCCTACCATCCATTCTTTATCCTTTATAGAATGAGTTATGTCAGTCTTGTTTCCTTCATTCGTTTGAACCCGTAAAAAGTAATGAGGAGCACCGATATTAAAAGCTGCCCATGGTTGGAAGTCTTCGTCTATATCTTCTGCTCTATCAATCCTTGTTGGTAAAAACAATACTAAATCATCCACTTCGAAATTATTCATTGAAATTTTACAATTTAGCTTACCAATTAACTGACTTATTTCGTGAGCCTTACTTTTGTTTTCCTTAGTGAGTTTTTTTGCAAATCCTTCGACATCTCTAAATCTCTTCGTGATCGCACCCAAGAAGAACTTATCGCAGACAACTGAATCATCTTGGTTTTGGTTAATGCAGATATTTTCTTTAAATCTAATTGCATTAATAAAGTATTCAAATTTAGAAATCGATCCACTACTAGATTTAAAAATGTCCCTAAACAATTTCACTAATTCTAAAGATTGACGGTTAAATTTACTAGTTTCTTCGATCGATAAATTCATTAATTCTTCAGGGAGGTCATCGATTACACTTGATGAAACTGACCCAGCAGTATTAGCCGAGTACGATTTTTCGTCTCCGTCTTCGCTTGACTTCGTCGAATTATTCTTGAAAGACTGTATATCATCAACCCATCGTATAATCTCATTTATGTCATCTACAACTTTAGAAGTAGGCATATTCCCCATTGTAGATACAATCGGAGTTTCATCTAATACATTACCATTAGCCGATGTAGGTACAATCTTATCATTTCTCTTTGATCTCAAACCTTTCACTCTAGTAATCTTATACTCATCAAGGTTTTTGTTATTGTTATGTTCTTTTATTAATAAAAGACCCATGGATTCTAAAATAAAGCAGAACTCAACGAAGGTTTCAAATTGTTGTTCTACCAAGCATTTAATGCTTGAAAGAAGGTGAATTATTATATTGTTCAAATAATTAACCATGATATCTAGATTATTATGCTTTGATTGTGTCAAGTCCATGAGATTTTCATAATCCTCTGTTAATTCCTCTATTTTGCTATGCAATTTCTTGATTTCTTCTTCAAGCGAAATGCGATGATTAATCGTATCTGTCTCCTTGGAAGCCATATTGGAAAGCAAATCTTTCTTCATATCATTAACATCATTTATATCATTTTGTAAGGTAGCGATTTTTTCATTCAATTTCGTAATTTCTTCTGTGTATTCTTCGTTAACATCATTAAGTTTTGTGATATCCTTCCTCAAATCTAAAATTTCAGCATCTCTTAAACTGAGTTTATCTTTTAGGTCAACAACTTCTTTGTTATTTTGAGGTTGGAAGGCTTGCAACTCTGCCTCTAATCTGGATATCGTCTTCTGGTTTTCTTCATCCCGCCTCCGCAACTCCTCTTCATGATGCTTATTTTGTTCATCATTTGCTGTCTCTAAATTGGAAATCTGCTTATTTAAAGCTTCAATTACTTCTTCGTTGGTCTTATTCGTATTTGAAAGCTGAAGATTATCATTTGTTAACTCATTATTCTCTTTTTTTAAACGAATGTTATCAAGATGTTTATCAATCGTGGTAGAGACGTCTAAATGGTTAGACTGTTGGCTAGTTGTCGGCTTTTCATGGCCGATTTTTAAAGGAAGAGTTTGTCTTCTTTGGAGCAAATTTGTGGGATCAACTTTAGCGTTGCTCGCGGTAGAAGTTTTTTGGTTCAGGTCAAGTATTAAACTGAGCTTTCCATCAGTTTCAGAAGTCGATGTAGCATTCGCACCATTAGATCGGGTTACCGGCCAGTTTGAAAGATCCTTATATTGCTGTTGATGAAGCAAATTTTCCAACTTTCTAATCCTTGTTTTCAAGCCTTTGACCAAATTTATATCATAATCAACTTCGCCAGGTTCACTCGTGTTTCCTGAATCTTCTGCATCCTTATCATTGTTTTCATTCTTCAGATTGACAAGCAACTTATCATTGTTTTTTATTTCATTTGCAACGGGTGAAGTGAATGATGATAAAGAAGATACCATTTTTGTTACCCTCTTCATGTTATTAGTGCATTTAATTAAATCTTGGAAATTCTTTTTCATTAATTCTACAAATTTCTTACTGCTTGGTGATGAAGTTGTTCCAGCATGACTGTATTCTTCTAAAACATTGATGTACGTAGAAATGTCATCCCTTTCAATTTGAATATTATTAATAATCCCAAACGTCAAATTATTTTCAACATTTCCGTTGACTAATGTCACATCAATACTTGGTAATACCGTTCGCAATGCATCTTTCTCATCTTTATTACTTAAAATTGACAAGAAATTACCAAACTTCTTAAGCCATAACTTTCTAAATATCTTCTCATGATCAATTATCACAGATAGTTGCTCAGATACATTATTAACAATTCCTTTGGAATAGAATTCATGCCACTCAAATTGTCGCCGCTTCTCAATAAGCATAAATCCAAATAATAAAGGTAAGTCAATAGTCAAAGATAAATAGTCCTCGGCAGATTTAATGTTATTGATGACATGAATTGATATTTCGTTTTCATTTGCAATATTGTTATTATCATCAGCATTAGTTAGTATTCTTAAATCATTTTTAATGTTCACCATACGCATTTGTAAGTTTGCTATCTTTCCAAAAATAGACAAACTTTCATTAACTATTTTATTCTTGAAGAAATATAAGTTTTGAAGAATCTTATACAATTCAGTTGCTTTATCAAAAATCTTCGGCGAAATCTCATCCTTGTGGATACGATAAACCCAGTCTAAGGATATTGACACATTTGTAGATAATTTATCTATGTCGTGAGATATCAATTGACTTAATCTTGATACATCCTTGATTATGTTCTCCGAGCCTGTATCATAATGTTTGAAGTTTTCAATGGATTCATTTCTTAATGACTCGATAAGTTTATCAACGTTCACTTTATCGTCATTCACAGAATTAATAGAAGCTGACATTTCATTAAACTTGTTAATAACAAGTGGTAAGGTTTTAGACACAAACAAGGACGACTTTTCTAGCTCGCTTGCACTCAAGTGGTCCGATATCTTAACATTATCTGTACCATTTTTCAATTGAAAACTGGGAAACTTTCGCAAATTATTATAGTAACCGTTCCAGCTTCTATGCAACGTTTTTAAATTCAATAGCTTAATATAGTTCAAATAATTGTTAAAACTCTTTTCGATGCCATTAATAAAGTTCGAACCAAACTGGAATATAATATTTAGGCACTTGAATATTGCATTGATCTGTTTGACGTATGCCTTCATTTGGTCAACGACGCCTAAACAATCCTGAAATAATGCCTTCGACCACCCATCATTGACTTTTAGGCTACTGGTCATTTGCTTTATGTTTGTCTTTTCTAACTTTACTAAAGACGAAGGCGTAGGCTTGATCATCTCTTTATATCCACCTTCGTTCTGATTAACATATGCATTTATAATGGATTCATCTCTTGCTCCCGAAAAAAGCCGCTTATCGAACACATATATATCATTGAGCTCATTGATGATGTTGAACTTTACCTTCATTCCAAACGAAGTTAGCAAGAAGATGTTATCAATATCTGATATTATATAATCAGTAAAAGACTCATGTATGAATGATTTGAGTCCATTCAAACTGTGGAATCGGATTGGCTTTGGAATCTTAACAGACTCCCCATTATGTGCATTATATAGTGTCAAATACGATATTGGCGATACCATAGGTATATCAGTCAGCATCTTTTATTAAGATTCCAATATACTGATAAGCATCAATTCTCATGAAATAAAATGCAGAACTTCAGAAATTTGAATTAAGCGTTTCAAAATGCTTTAGTTATTCCACTGGTCAATATTGTAAAGTATTTTCTTTCTAACAAGTATCTTGAAATGAATAATAAACCTTTCCTTATGGTTTTGCCGCTCCACTATATAGAAAATGGCAACTACTAGAAATTCCTAAACGACGTACTGCAGATAGATCATCACCTTTAATCACTACTTTTTCATCCTTACTGCCATAGTTGGTCTTAATTAGCCAGAGCCACAACTGACATACTGGAAGCTTGTAGATGAATAGACATCGTCATGTGTTTGTTTAGAACCGTTGTCGGAGATGTATACTGTTATACTTCTTATTATTGTAAAGAGACTATATATTTTATTTGGTACTGTATATAGTCTGTTTCCATCTTAATTATCTTTACTTCGAATTTTTGAGTGTTTAGATGGGATATTGTTATTTTAAGTAGTAACGCCGACGTAAATCATGTTAGATAGCCATTCATTGGATATAATATCACGGTTTAAGCAGTCCGTGTTGTCGAAGGCTTTGCCAGGACCAGGACCAGAAATTGGAGCTACCAGTAGAGGAAATAAAATTGCTCCAGCCAGGACAAGCGATAATTCATTAATACCCAAGATTGTTGATTATGAAGGATCCACGCATTTGGTATTGACAAATGATGCTATAATGAAGAGTACTTACAGAAACAAGCGCAGGTGGCATGAGATGTATGGAGAAAGAGACGAAGAAAGCGATGGTGACGAATATGAGGATGAAGACGACGAAGACAGTGACGACGAGCACCCGTTTAAAAAGCTCAAGTTAACTGAAATTTTATCGCCTTTAACGCATCCATCGGAAGTTATATCGCATCCTGCTATTCTGAAGACATACGAACTGCCAATTTTCAATAAAATGTCTTACGAATTGATTGAATCAATCGAATTGGAGCAAAACAACTTAAATTGGTTGAATAAGTTGCTTCAGGTCTTAAATGGCGAGGATTGGTTTTTCTTGCTTGAAGAAAATCTCGGATTACTAAAGTATGATCACGGACTAAATGATGAATCTAATAATAACACTACTGCCGAAAATGAAAACGATGACGCTAACGAAGCCAAAAAAGAAGATCGCAAATCTGGAAATAACTCACTGAAATCCCTGGCTGAAACCAATGGGCATCAAGATAATAAGGAGGCCAATGAGCAGCAAGAGGAAGTGGAAGATCCGCCAAAACGAATCACAAGAACCTCGACATCACAAAATGAAAAAGAATCAACCGAAGTTAACGACCCATTCTTTGCTCTTCCAAAAACTTTAGCCAGGTACGAAGCTCATCAGAATCAAGTTGTGGACGAATCGAGTGATGAATTGCTTGTCATTCAAGAAGATTTAATCAACTATTTACAAGTTAGTGTCCAAAGACAGCAAGAATATATCAAGAACTTAATGCAAATAAGAAATGGACTAGTCAGAGCCGAGAGGATAAAACAAGATTTACATAAATGGGGTAAAGAGATGTACGATAAGAAAAGTAGCTAATACATTGTGTACGCAATACAATAATTTAAATATATGCTTGTACGTTTAGAGCTATAATGTAACTTTTTCAATAATCATAGAATCTATTATATAAAAGACAGCATCTACGTGTAGTGTTTCTCTTTTATTTGAGCAATTAACGTAATCGTATATCTATTGATTCGGCCATCTTGAAGATAGATATATTATACCGATTATGTAATAATCGCGTTGAGCTCAAATTGTCAACGCGTATGGAACTAAATATTTAATTGCAATAGTTTTCACTTTTTTCTTCTTGCTTTTTGTAATTATAAGTAAATAAAGATAGGTAAACGAGATGCTTGAAGGTAAATTTGATGAAGCTTCCCTTTTGAAGAAGATTGTCGACTCGATTAAGGATTGTGTTAAGTTGTGTAACTTCAATTGCACAGAACACGGTATCACCGTTCAAGCTGTGGATGATTCCAGAGTTTTGTTGGTTTCGTTATTGGTTGGTCAGTCAGCCTTCAGTGAATACCGTTGTGACAGAGACATCACTTTAGGTATTGATTTAGAATCATTTTCTAAAATTATAAAATGTGGTAATAATGAAGACTACTTAACATTGTTAGCAGAAGACAGTCCTGATAACGTGATGACTATATTCGAAGATAAGAAGAAGGAAAGAGTTAGTGAATACTCCTTGAAGTTGATGGATATTGATTCTGAATTCTTAAAAATTGATGACATGGACTACGACAGTGTTATAAATATGCCATCTGGGGAATTCTCTAAAATTGTGCGTGACTTGAAGAACTTGAGTGAATCTTTAAACATTATTGTTACTAAAGATTCTGTCAAATTCAGTTCTGAGGGTGAAAATGGTACGGGTTCTGTTGTGTTGAAGCCATACACTGATATGGACCACCCAGAAGAAAGTATTAATGTCAACTTGGAAAACCCAGTTGACTTAACATTCGGTTTAAAGTACTTAAGTGACATTATCAAGGCTACCAGTTTAGCTGGAACCATTACTATCAAGTTAGCTGACAAGACCCCAGCTTTATTCGAATATAAGTTAGATGCAGGTGGATATTTAAGATTCTACTTGGCTCCTAAGTTTGATGAAGATGATTAATTGATTAATAGATTAATATGACATAGTGTATATTATGATGCAGTACTAAATATTGGCTACCGCAAGTAGCACTGAAGATCGCCGGGTCTCAATTTGATCCTGATCTATTGTAGAACCCCACCAACTTTACTATGTACACTCAAACATGCATGTGGGTAGGCACCTGGTTCCGAAACGCCTACGAAACACCTTCAGTCCCTACCATTTGACTCCGGTACCACCTTACGTCGCCATTGCTTCAGAACCCTCAATTGGTGGTAGAAATGCTATTCTTGTGCCTGACTTCGAAGAAATGGGCAAGATCAATCGATAGGCATCGTGTGTATTTAAATAGTACCTATAGAGTCTCTTGGACCTGACAAACCCAAGCGACTCATACAACCCCAATGCTCCCTTGTTAATTACCTCCGTTTCCAACATCACCTCGTCAACCGCATCCAATTGGACCATCCTGTCCACCGTTAACTTCACCAAGTGCGTTGCGATTTTTCGTCCCCTGTACGCTGGATCGATAACTAGCATCCCAATGTACCCTCTCATTCTTACATCCCGATGAGCCTCCACCTTAGATATAATCACCCCCACTATATCTGGCGACTCGGCGAATTCTTTGACTATATAGCAGTATTGGGGCCAAGTATTCAAGAAAAACCAGTACACATAGATCGAGTACGGCTCCAGCAAATGCCCTGATATCAACGTTGATATCTTACTGAACTCATCCTGTGAGTTTACGTTGAATTGGAAATAAGACAACCCTTCGATCTGCGTAATCAAGCTCATTTTATGCTTCTTGTACCTGTTCCAGTATCTTCTAGCATTCTCTATTTACATTGAATGTGAAAAATTCAGCAATCGGTATTCGATTTTTCCATCAGTTACGACCATATTCCGGGGTTGTTCCCATTGCTCCGACCGCCCTCGGACTTCGCCACTAGCCACCAGTATTGCGTCGGAAATCCTACTTGCTGTCCGAAAGTCGTGTTTTCCATGAGCGCTCACTCACTCACTTACTCACATCTCCAAAAGAGTCCCGGTGTAATACGGAATAAACTAGGTGAGTGTAACTAGATTCCGGATATAAGCTACTATCATTGCTTCAATTGCTACTAAACCTCGTCGTTATAATCAGTCTTTATTCAGGTATAACATCGTCCGTTTATATAATCGAAGTACGTACATGTAGAGCTATTACGTAGTATAAGGCACGATGACATAATCCACTTCAATAATAAAGATCATATGGTTCACAGTCTCCCGGGTTAGTAGTGTAGAACTTCGGACTTTTTTCATTACGTCGAGCACCCCCGAGGGTAGCGTGTTCAGGTTGATTTGCAAAAACTATATAAGGAGGAGCAAATCACCATTAATTTAATCAATTGGATTTGTAATATTAATTATACATAAATTATACTAATTAAGCAACATGTCAGCTACAGACGTTTTATCAAGAAAGTCCGGTGTCCTTTACGGGGATGATGTCCGTCAATTATTCTTATACGCACAAAAGAAGGGATTTGCTATTCCAGCTATTAATGTCACTTCTTCTTCTACAGTTGTTTCTGCTTTAGAAGCTGCTAGAGATGCTAAGTCTCCAATCATCTTGCAAACTTCTCAAGGTGGTGCTGCATACTTTGCTGGTAAGGGTGTTGACAACAAGAACCAAGAAGCTTCTATTCAAGGTTCAATTGCTGCTGCTCACTACATCAGAGCCATTGCTCCAGCATACGGTATTCCAGTTGTTTTACACACTGACCACTGTGCTAAGAAATTATTACCATGGTTCGATGGTATGTTAAAGGCTGATGAAGAATTCTTCAACAAGACCGGTGAACCATTGTTCTCATCTCACATGTTGGATTTATCTGAAGAATCCGATGAAGAAAACATTGGAACCTGTGTCAAGTACTTCGAAAAGATGCACAAGATGGGTCAATTCTTAGAAATGGAAATCGGTATCACCGGTGGTGAAGAAGATGGTGTCAACAACGAAAATGTCCAACAAGATTCTTTGTACACCTTGCCAGAAACCGTCTACAAGGTTTACGAAGCATTGAGCCCAATTGGACCAAACTTCTCCATTGCTGCTGCTTTCGGTAACGTTCATGGTGTCTACAAGCCAGGTAACGTCCAATTGAGACCATCTATCTTAGGTGACCATCAAAAATACGCCAAGCAAAAGTCCGGTTCTTCTACTGATACCCCATTATTCTTGGTTTTCCACGGTGGTTCTGGTTCTTCCCAAGCCGATTTCGACGAAGCCATTTCTCATGGTGTTGTTAAGGTTAACTTAGATACTGATTGTCAATACGCATACTTGACTGGTATCCGTGACTACGTCTTAAACAAGAAGGATTACCTTATGTCTCCAGTCGGTAACCCAGATGGTGAAGACAAACCAAACAAGAAGTACTTTGACCCAAGAGTCTGGGTTAGAGAAGGTGAAAAGACTATGTCTGCTAGAATCACTGAAGGTTTAGAAATCTTCCACACCAAGGGTCAACTCTAAATTTGAAATACAATTTTTACTCTGTTAATAAATACTTGAATGTGTATGATACGAATTATTTATTTGTAATAATGCTTCTGTAGTAAAAAAAATTGCCGTATATATACATGATATTTAGCACTGCGCTACGTGGAATGATGTCTCTTGTCCGTCACCCAAGACCTGTGCTTATTCAAACCTTTAATTATTTCTTTGTCGACCTACTCCTACGTCCTTTCTCCATCTTATACTAATAATTTCTAGCGTATTCGTCATTTCTGTTTTCGTTCTGCCTCAGCCAACATACTATTGACTTTTTGGTATTCTGGCATACTATAATTTGGATTAAACCCTTTTGTCTCTATATTGGTACCAATAAAGGCATTTGCCTTGACATATTTGGCAACACATCTATCAACACAACACTGTTCGCCGGTGTTTAATTCACTTTCTCCGTATTCAGCAGGAATACATTTATTCCGACAAGTATCCAACACCTTGCCAAACGTAGTCGACATTGCCGTAAATTGAATTTCTGCAAGTTTAATCTTTTCAGGATCAACTGCTGCTTGGGAGTATTGTGAACTACCTCCTATAAAAAATGACATCTTCTTATATGGTAATTAATCTAGTGTTTTAATTATTTGTACAATATCAGTTTTATTTTCCATTGAAAATTTATCTCTAAAAAATCTCCTCACAAAATTAATGTTCACATTTACTAGTCTGAAGACCCACGAATAGAATAATCAAAATGCATGTGTTGTTAACGAACGACGATGGTCCATTGAATGATATAGCATGTCCTTATATCAAATACCTTGTGGACGAAATAAACGAAACTACAGACTGGGATTTATCAATAGTAGTTCCAAATCAACAAAGATCGTGGATCGGTAAAGCCCATTTTGCTGGTAAGACTTTGTATACTACCTACATTTATACAAAGAATTCTACAAAGGTTAAAAATGATAGTATTAATGCTTTTGAAGGACCGTTTTACTCTGTGAATGAAAAATTACAAAAGGATCCTGAATACCAAGAATGGTGTCTAGTTGATAGTACTCCGGCTGCTTGTGCTGATTTAGGAATTCACCATTTATATGGTGAAGAAAAAGAGAAACCTATTGATTTAGTCTTAAGTGGGCCTAACCTTGGTAAGAATTCCAGTAATTTGTATATATTGGCTAGTGGTACGGTTGGAGCAGCAATGGAAGCGGTAACACATGGTATCAAGTCCATTGCCTTATCTTATGCGTTTATCAGTTCGGACCATGATTATGATATTTTGAAAGAAGCAGCAAAAATATCGGTAAAGCTAATTAAGAAATTGTATAACCAATTGCAAGAACTGAAAGACATTGATTTATTTTCAATTAATATTCCTTTAATTGAATCATTGAAATTAGGAAGAACAAGCATACATTACACGCCAATCCTCGAAAATTATTGGGCCTCTATTTACTCTAAGGCTTCAGAAGTGAATGAATTGGGACAGGAACAATTCCATTGGAATCCAGATTTCAAGAAAGTGTATAAAGATGGTCTAACTGACTATAGACATACTGATAGTCGTGTATTGTTAGACGAAGGTATTAGTGTCACTCCTTTGAAAGCATCTTTCCATATAGCTGAACCTCGCTCAGGTGAAATAATATTGGACGATAAGGATGACGAATCTAATGGTCTAGTAAATAAATTATCGCTCAATGATTCTTTAGTATTTTTAATAACCGTTGGAAGTGACTCCTATATTTACACTCCATTGGTCGAAGCATTCAAGAAGAACTTTAATAATGTTACTATCACTGATGATGTATCGATTTTGTCTGAGATTAGATCCAAACCAAATTTAAAAGTTTTCCACTATGGTGAATACGAAGATTTGGATATAGATTTAATATCTGAATGTCCAAAACAATACTTCATTCCATCATATATTTACCGCAAAGCATTGATTCGTAAGCACTATTTGGCTAATACGATTCATCATTTTGTTGCGAAAAATCCATCACTGGTCTTAGCCAATGCCGCTCCAACTAGTTATCAATTAGAGGTTGATTATGCGGAATTCCTCGATGATGCGTTGGATGAATGTTACGAGTTAAGAGATGAAATAGAAACAAGTAAGAAAACGTGGATTTTAAAACCAAGTATGTCTGACAAGGGCCAAGGTATTAGAATTTTTAAGACTATTGATCAGTTACAAGAAATATTCAATTCCTTTGAAGAAGACAGCGATGATGAGCAGGAGGAAGATGAAGACAAACATGGTATCATAATCTCACAATTACGTCACTTTATCGTACAAGAATATAAGAATAAACCATTATTATTATCCACATATGCCAATAAAAAGTTCCACTTGAGAACATATGTTGTTTGCTGTGGTAATCTCAAAGTCTACGTCTACAAGAATATCTTAACCCTTTTCTCAGATGTCCTGTACGAAACACCAGAAGAGGACGAAAGTGGCGAAATTCCAATGGCCGGACACTTAACAAATACGTGCTTACAGGAAGAAGCAACTCCTCTTGTTGTTCCGTTCTGGGACCTTGATGATAAAGAATTCTCTACCGCGAAAAAGGAACTTGTATTTGATCAAGTTGCAAAAATCACCGGCGAACTATTCAATGCTGCAACAAGTGTCGATAAAATGAATTTCCAGCCTTTAGACAATGCTATTGAAGTTTTTGGTATAGACTATTTGGTAAATGATGATTATTCGGTGACCTTGTTGGAAGTCAACTCGTATCCAGACTTCAAACAGACTGGTGACGAATTGAAAACTATTATTTACGAGTTGTTTGATAATCTTGTTACAGATACAGTCAGACCTTTAGTTAATGGTGATGTATCTTTCTCGCCTGCGACTTCATTGGTTCCTGTATTAGAACAAGCAAGTAGATATTAGGTATTCTTGATCACAATACACCCATATAAATGTTAAATATGGTCGTGTGCTATGACTATGAAAATTTTCTTATTTTGTGTCATTTAAATTTCGACGACGATCGAAAGAAATTAATGAAGACTATACTCGAAAGGTATAAACTGCCAGTAAAGTAGCTAATTTTAATTTACATCAATCAATTAGATTAATTAGGAGCTAATTGTTATTGTATTTAAAAAATACATATCACACATATTATATAAAATAAAACAACATGTCTACACAACGAAAAGCATATAAGAATCATCTGAAAAGATTTAGTAATAATTCATCGTCATCATCTAATAATAATAGTTCTTCGACTGAATTAACTAGTTTGTTAGAAATGTTCCCTGATTGGGAATCAGATGATTTATCAAGTTTATTGGCTGAACATAATAATATTTTAGAAGTCGTTATTGACTTAATTGTTAACAATAAAGTTTCCAAATGGGAACCAATCAAAAAGGAAGCCAAAAATAAGAAGAAAGAAAAGGAAAATGATGAGTTTGTTAATGTGCCTAATACTAATGTTACTTCAAATAACACAACACACGGTAGTTCTGCCGATCATGGTCATAAATTAAATAAATATCACAAGGAGGCACATCCATCCAATAGTAAGTCTAAATTTAGTTCAAAGGGACCACATAATAAGAAGCCAAATCCAAAGTTCAATGGAAAGGATTCATCTCCTAGCGCACCAACTGCAACTACATCTACATCTACATCTGGAGCTACATCTGTGCCATCTTCAAATTCATGGGCAGCAGCATTATCCAAGGATGGAGTGAAGGTAAATAACAAGTCACATAAGGAATCAAATTCCCAACCAGAAACTGAACTTGAACCAGAACCAGAACCAGAACCAGTAGCTCAAGCAGGTGAAGAACCTGAAATAATCATTGAACAGGCAACAACAGTCATCGAATCAACAGAAACACCAACCTCCACTACTAAACCAGTCTTAAAAGAAGCAACAGTTCCACAACCTAAGCAAGGATCCTGGGCATCTGCCATTACACCAAAACCAAAGTCAAAGCCGCGCACCAAACAAGCTGTATCAGAACCCCAAGAAGAATCCTTTGAATCCAAGGGTCAATTTGAACAAGCTCAAGAAGAACCAGCCGAAGCGATCATTATTGAAGAAACTACTACCACTATTCCAACTGAATCTATTCCATCTGAAGAAGCCAGTGAACAACCAGCACAAGTAGTGTTACCAACTTCATCTCAACCATTAGGTTCGGTTGGCGTATCTTTCGGTTCATTATCATTAGGAGACGAGGAAAAGGAATCCCAACCAGAACAAGCTACCGAGGAAATTGGTGCTCCAGTTGGCGATCAATCTCAACAACAGCAACAACAACGTTACGGCTTATACAATAACCAAAACCAAAACCGTTACAACCAACAAATTTATCAACAACAACAGCAACACGCTCAACAGCAACATGCTCAACAGCAACATGCTCAACAGCAACACGCTCAACAGCAACAACAACAATCTCAACAACCTCAACAACCACAACAGCCTCAACAACCTCAACAACCTCAACAACCTCAACAACCACAACAACCCCAACAACCTCAACAACCTCAACAGCAATACAACCAAAGTAAACAGCAACAGCAACAACAGCAACAGCAATATGATTACTACAATCAATTCCAACAATCCCAGTATCCTCAACAAGGAAGCCAAACTTTACCAGGCGCGCAATTTGGTGTTTACCCAGGTATGGACTATTCTGCTTATAACCAACAAGCTGCTGCTGTCATTAGCTCTCCTGCTGCTTCTCCAGCAGCTACTGCTAATTATGCGCAATATGCTCATGCGGCCTCTCAACCACCATCAAGCGGTGCTCAAGAAGGTAATGTTGCAGCACAATCTCCAATTACTTCCCAAATAAACCCAAACACCTTACAACAACAAGTTCCAGCAGCCCCATTTGGCTATCCATACTACAACTATTACTACAACACCCCATTCTACGGTAACGGTGCCGGTTTAGGAGCTCAAGGTGGATTTGGTAATGTTGCTGCTGCTCAAGGTACCCCAACCTCCAACTCCAACGCTACCCCAAATAGCGGTGTTAACAGTGGTTTTATCGGTGTCGGTAACACCGGTGCCTCTCAATACTATGGGCAACCAAACCAATTCGGTAACAGATATCCAGGCTACAATTCATACCCTCAACCAGGTCAAGCGCAATCGGCGCAATCTGGAAACCCATCGAACAACCAAAGCGGATCTGTCCCAGCTTCCCAAGGTGATGCCAACGATTCTTCAAGTGCTAGCAACCAAGCTGGTAATCCACAATCTCAAATCCCACAACAATCGCAACAACCACAACAGCCAGTTATCCCTCAATACGGTGGTTACCAACAATATCCTCAATACGGTGGCTACCAAGATAACAACCAATATCGTGGTTGGTATTAGGTTAGGAAATACTATTAAATATTAAAAAAATAAATTTATTATATTATGCTAGTGTAGATCTGTTGCATGTCGCTACCTCTTCTATGACGGTTTTTATGCAACTGAACCACATTAACCTCTTCATCGTCCTTCGATGAAAGTTTAGTGCACGTCTTACATGATAGAGGATACTGCACCAATGTAACCAGCTAATTTTTTTAGATATCTTGTTAGCATCTTTTCCGGGTTTTACCTGGTTCCAGCATGTATCCTTATATCCTCTTTCACTACATTAGGTGCTGTTTTTGCATTCTAGTTATGGGTCTGTTTGAAGTCAGATGACATAATAACCTGCATCAAAAATGCCGAGCCAATTCGCCTACATTCGATTATTCCCCATAATTGGTCCGTCTGGAACCTCATCCGGCATGTTTGTTCTACAATGCTTCATCGCTGCCATGTCATGCCTCACTCAACCAGCATTGTATGATCACGCTTTTTCGCACCCAATATCGCAATAGGAATCGCGTATCTAAAGCATCTGGACCTACCACACACACTGCCCAGTTGTATTGGCACTTCCTCTATCTAGTGCTTTTTTACCTTTTTTTTGTTGTCCTTCTTTTGCAACTTTTCACCTGCAGTCCCAAATTAATATTAAGGTCTACCTGTTATTCTTTAAAGCATCTCTACTCTACAATACGATGTATACTTCGAATATTTAATCCTATGCTCAATTATATCCACAGATGCCGACTTCCGATAAATTTTCTTATCTACAATCATTAGCCTATTATATTCCTCTACTATAAAGTCTAGTTCTCCTCACTAGCTGGCACCATGCTATATTGGTAGCCGAAGTCTGCTTCGGTATATACACGAGGATGCTTATATCCTGTAGCCCTGCTCACGGTAAATTCCCGCACTAAGTAATTAGTACTACCGCCTTAGTAATGGGCTAACTAGCACAGTAATTCTCAGCACTAACAAATAATTGAGTACAGCAATTTTAAGTGCCATACAATTCCAGGCAGCGTAATGTCCCATGTATTCTCAACTACTATATAATTTTGCCTATCCCTTTATTTAATTAGTGGTTTTTTTCCCATAGTATATTTTATTACTACTATATATTACAGTATGTATGTAAGAGGTCGCACTATCGAGTATTCACTAAGTACAATTATATTATGACCGTATGGCACACAATGTTATGATATACATCGTACAATACTACAGTAGACTACAATGTGCATTATGAGTTGTGGTAGAATTGAAGTAGAAGTTCATGTTTGCATTTGGTGTTTATCTGGTAGCATTTTATTATGGAGTTGCCAGGTTGCGAAAATGCAATAATGTGATAATACGAAATTTTACTTATCATATTTTAGGTCTGGATATCCCACTGGTAAGTTGAATGGTATGTCGAGTACTAGGATGGACATGACGGGTCATCCCCTATTATTTCAATATAATCAACATGACCAGTGCTGGACCGAATATGAAGGACTCATGGTATGTGCGTGTATTGACCAAAAAATCGCGTTTGTTTACATGGGTTGGTGTTTGTTTATTTATGGTGAATACTTGAAAGCATATAATACGAGGAAATATCCTGGTTTCAGAGAAATTTAGCTCAGTACTAACAACTTAGTTTAAAATGGCCCCAACCGAAAAGAAAAGAACAACCAGAAAGAAGAAGGATCCAGATGCACCAAAGAGATCCTTATCTGCTTACATGTTTTTCGCTAACGAAAACAGAGACATTGTCAGAGCTGAAAACCCAGGTATTTCATTCGGACAAGTTGGTAAGTTATTAGGTGAAAAATGGAAGGCTTTAACTCCAGAAGACAAGACTCCATATGAAAATAAGGCTGATACCGATAAGAAGAGATATGAGAAGGAAAAGGCTGAATATGCAAAGAAAAATGCTGCTTAGGTGATGACACCTTCTTATTGCTTGTACCATATTATTGTTTGTGAATTCTTTTTTAAAAAAAATTAGCCGTTCTTAGTTATTGAAACGACGTGTTAGTTAGAATTCCTGGTATATCTATGTGTTATTATTAAATGTATGATTGTTTACTTCATTTTTATTCGTGCGAACGCTTGTAGAAAATTAAACGTTAGGTATTGAGTTTTATTTAAATGTCTCAGTCTCCTCTAAACCATGTACATATGTTACTCTGTTTTACAATGACTATTAGATCTATTTAATTGCTTTAATTAATAAGGCATTTGGTATTTAAATGCATTTTTGATAATCTTCATTGGATTTTTAAAAATTCCATAAAAATTGCGAAAATGCATAGATTTTGCAATCAAAATTTAATACTTAATAGATAAATTAGAAACAAATACGAGCGTAATATTATTATTTGAATATATTCTTTAATGCTATAATAAAACAATTCTATGTTCTATGTTCTATTTAATTTAATAAATATTTTGGGAAAATATCTATGATATCCTTCGGCAATTTCAAGATTGTAATCATCCTTATTGAACCCACTATCAATCAATTTTATTATGTTATTTACTTCAATTGAATACAGAACACATGTTTTTATCAATGATTTATACCATTCTGTTATTCCATCGCCTATAAATTGTTCTTGGCTATCATTATCAATCATCTTGCTTATCGACATGTAGATTGTTTTGCTATCATTAAATTTATCGACAATTGTCTCAAGCAATTGCTTGATTCTATTAAGCTTTTCAGGGCGAGGCAATTTTCGTAAAAAATCTATGCTAATGGATTTTTCATATTGTTTATAATGTGGTAAATTAGGTACCCCAACCGACGACCATGGCTTCATTTGAAGATCATATATTCTCTCTAGTGAACTTAATTCGAAAGATGGCGTAATATTAGTAAGTTCTAACGCATGCAACATAATAAACAACATTCTCACACCATCACTCAACATGCGCAAGCCCTTATAGGATTCAATAATATAACTATTATTGTAGTCACTAATTTTATTAAGCATGGGTAAATGGATCCTTTGGAGAATTTCATTTTGTTGTTTCAACTTTTGTTTTTTGGGGCCAGATTTTAACTTCTTAATCTTTTTTGGGGCAGATGTAGTAATAGAATACATTCTCAGATCATTGATTGATTTTATCTGATTAGAGTAGAATTCTGCAATTACCTGCGTCAAGTATGTTATGTACCAATACATCCAACTCATTTCAAACGGCTTGTAAATATTCGTTTCAAAACCTCTTAGTGCTACTTCCAACATTACATTTAACTTTGTAACGTATACAAATGACGATAATGGTAACGAGGGGTCATCCCCGGCAGAATCAGGTCCCTCAAGTTTATCGCCAATTCCATATTCTTGCCATAATTCTAGTTCTAAGGATTCGGAACTAACTTGTAATGTATCCCAGATAACTATGCCTCTTGACATGAGCTGTCTTTGTCTACATCTATTGTTAGTAACACAACTCAAGTTATGGTATATTCCAGTTTCAATATCACTCAACAATTGGTTCAATTTAATTAAAATCTCTTCTTTAGTTGTATTTATATGTTCCTCAGTACCTTGAATTGATGTCCATGTATCAGGTTGGAAAATCAGTGATTGCAAACATGATGTATTTTCCATTAATTTCATACCCATAGAAGTGATTGTTTCTCTAGACCCTAAAATCGATTTATCATCTCGAATTAAATATAGCTGAAACAATCCTCTGGAAATTACATTATATTCCGGGTTTATATTGTAAGAAATATCATACGTTAAAAACTGATCAAAATGATTAATATTGAGTAATTCGTTTGATTCAATAACATAGTTATAAATTGATTTAAACATCTTTTGTAAATTCTGAAAGCATTCGTCGTTTGTGGCCATATATAAATCAGCTGGAATACTTCTATTATTGGAATCAAATTGTACGAACTTCGAAAAGCTTCCAGGAGGCGATTTAAAACCTTCAAAATCAACTTTCGATAAACATTCAATATTTTTAAGGCCCAATTGCAAGAATTGTATTTCATTCTTGATCTTTTTCTTATCATCCTTTTCAAATATTGGAATAGCGATGGCTAATATCAGTTGTACATCAAGCATTCTATTCACAAGCTCAAGATATTCACATAGTATTTTCTTCTTTTGGCTTTCAATCCCACTGTCTTGATTAAGCCAATGTATTGAATCATTAATTTTTTTACCTATGAATTCAGGGGGGATATCAGTCAAGAAATCCAAATCCAAGTTTCTAGTAGTTAAGTCCTCTTCTTCGTATAATGTATTGAATGCAATTTGCAATGATATGCCAACAAATTTAACAAGACCTAGAATAAATGAGTTTAACACTTTATGGACTAGTTTCCATTCAACAGTATCTTTATCATGCTTCGTCTGCTTGGGGAGTCTTCTGTTCTCAAATGTACAATCATTCAAACTGCCTTGGTAATTTTCTAACAATGTCTGGACATAACGACATGACATTACGGTGACTGGCAACGAAGAATTATTTAACCAGCTAGTATACAGTCGAACTAACCCATTGATTATTCCAATTACCTTATCTGCGTCCTGAGGACAGGAGGTGTCAAAATTATAGTCTATTTCACTTAAAGGTATCAAGCCAGTGTCTAATTTCTTATTACCAATTTCAACAGCTCTCGTTCCTTCTAACAAATTGAATAATGGAGATTGAACTACCTTATTATCACGTATAGTCCTCACAGACTCGAAAAACTCTCCTGTTATATCGACATATTCATCTAAATTCAAACTATTCATTGCTAGTAACATGTTAGTAAATTGACTTGATATGGTTTTGAAAGTATATATTATATCATCGAACAATTACATACAATGATACAAATCCAGCATATTATAATATTATTCTAAAGAAGTATCTATGCCTATAGATAATACAACTTAAGCTTCAGTTACCATTTCTGAAAAGTTTTAGTTGTGTTATCCAAATACTGTATATTATTAATAAATAGAATATAGTGTTTAAAAAATAATATTTTTTCAACCAAGGGCGATTGGTGTAGTGGTTAACATATCTGCCTTCCAAGCAGGTGACATGGGTTCGATTCCCGTATCGCTCATTTTTTTGGATCATTTTCACGCATCGTCATTACTATTGTTTTTGTTTATAATTCATATACTGATCCACTGATTTAGTATAATACTTCTTTTTAATTCCATACAAACCTGAACGTATTATATGACTACAGAGAAGCCGACTCTAACATCGATCAAGAAGATCAATGATCTTGATAGCATAAGAAATGCGATGGCCCATGTTTTTCAAGACGCCCAGCTAAGTTTATCGGGGCATAGAAAATTGGTCATTGTCTTGAAGAACATACAACAACGAGCAATTATGTTGGGATACGAGGAAGGATTTATATTGAAATTTGTTAAACTACTCAATAAAATATTACCCTTAAAAAAAGGGGAGCAAGTAGCGGATAGAGTCGCCAAGTTTTGCTCTATATTTGTTTCAGCGTTATATAAGGACGAGGAAACTATGAAAGAGAAAAAGAAGAATGATAAGGAAGGCGACAGTGATATGTCATCAGGCAATTCTGACTCTGATGAAGAAGAGGAGGAGGAGGAGACATCGGCTGGAAGGTTTGTTGATTATTTATTGCGCCATTTATTGAGAGGTATTCAGGCTAAAGATAAAAATGTACGTTACAGAGTGGTTCAGTTGTTGGCCTATATTGTTAATTATATTGGAGAGATTGACGAAGAGCTTTTCAAAGCCTTACATTGGTCGTTAAATCGTAGACTATTTGACAAGGAAGCGAATGTGAGAATCCAAGCAGTAGTTGCCATATCTAGCTTCCAATATATTAATTTACCTGAGGAAGGGGAATATTCAGTTGATAATCAAGTTAATAAGGCTACTCAAAGCTTGTTGATAGCTATACAAAATGATGATAGCGCGGAAGTGAGGAGGGCTGCATTGTTGAATTTAGCTAAAAATGAGGTTACTATTCCGTTTCTTTTGGAACGTGCAAGAGATGTGAATTCCATAAATAGAAGATTAGTCTATTCTAGAATCATAAAAGAATTAGGGGATTTCAGAGATATTGATTTTCAATTGAGAGAGAATCTATTAAAATGGGGATTGAATGACAGAGATGAGAGTGTTCAGAAGAATGCAATAAAAATGTTTAGTAGTAACTGGTTAGATATCGTTGACAACGATTTGATTGAATTGATTGAAAATTTGAAGGTTGTCGATAGCGATATTGCTGATACGGCTATGATGACTTTTTATAGGGAAAGAGCAGATAAATTATCCAGCATTGAAATCACGGAGAATACCTGGAAGGAATTGACAACTGAGAAGGCATTTTTAATACGAACATTCTATGAACATTGTAACGATCACAATTTATATGATATAATTGAGAAGAATTTTCCAGAATCTATTGAGTTGGCTGATTTACTATATAAGTACCTCAATTTGAGAAAACAAATCATAGACTCAAATAATGAGCTCATTGAAAAATACGAATCGTACAGATCATCTTTGAAAGAAACTGATTCGAAGTTACAACAGCTTCAATATGAAGAACATGAATTATTCCAAGATATTGATGGTATCGAAGATTCCAACGATAAAAAGAAGAAGATTTCACAGGCGAAAAAGCTCAAAAAGGAATTTCAAAAGATCGCCAATGAAAAGCAACAAATTATGCAAAGAAATAAAGATATGGACGAGGCATATACTTCGTTTCACGAACAATTGAAGGATTTGGAGTTTGTTATTCAGCAATTATTGTTAATCTCCAAGCAATACGATTTTAGCGATGAAATTGGAAGACGTAAAATGTTACAAATAATAAGATCCTCATTGGCTTATGACAAATTGTCTGATAAATTAATTGAAAGCTCTTTAAAAGTATTGAGAAAAATTTCTATAAATGAGAGAGACTTTTTAGCAATGTGTACAGAAATTGTTACTGACATTCGTGACTCTTACATGGATGAAAACGACGAAGATACATTCCATTCTGCTATTTCCGGGTTTCGTAATAGTGATAGTGAAGATGAGGAAGACGAAGATAATGATAAACAAGAGGAAATTGGTGACGGTGCTAATGAAGATGGAGGTAGAAATGGTAGCCAACTACACAAAAAGCGTAAAAAGGAACCAAAACAAGCTCCAGATGATATTATAATCCAGTGTTTATTAATAACTCAACATTTGTTAGAACTCACTGAAGAGTCTTTAGAAAATAACTATTCTTTAGGATCTTTAATTGAAAGTTTAGTACGTCCAGCAGTATTAAGGAACGAACAACCTGTCATAAGATCGTTGGGATTAAAATGTTTGGGATTGTTTTCATTATTAGAGAAACAGCTAGCAATTGAGAACTTATACTTATTCGGTATGGCGGCCACAAAAGCTGACGAAGAATTACGAATAATTTGTGTAAAAATAATTGTTGATATTTTATCTACTTACGGTGTCTCCGTCTTGGATACTGAAGGAGGTGTGGATTCTCTTTCTTTAGCAAGGTTGTTTTATAAAATTTTAAGAATTTATGAGATGCCAAACTTGCAATGTGTTGTTGCGGAAGGTCTATGCAAATTATTTTTGGCCGATATATTGACTGATTTCGGTAAGGGAGGCAAGCTCCACGTTAATAATGATGACGACGAAGAGGAAATTGATGAAGATGAAGATGAGGAAGGTGATGATGACGAAGGTCCGGAAGCTAAAAATGAAAGGAAGGCAAGAAAAATAGGAGCCAGAGAAAAGAAAAAAGAGGAAGACCAAGAAAAGCAATTATTCGAAACCTTGATTTTGACATATTTCCATCCGTTGAATATAGATAATCATGCATTAAGGCAAACTCTAGCCTTCTGCATACCTGTTTATGCCTTTAGTCACCCTACTCACCAGGATAAAGTGGCCAGTATTAGTGGGGACTGCTTCTTTAGAATGTTCAGAGACGGTGGAGAGTTTTCAAAGTACGAAAATATTGCGTCGCCTACTTCAATTATCCAACAGTTGATTCATTGGTGCGATCCAAACAACCTTGTGAATTTGACACAAGTAGAGATCAAAAAGTCAGCGGCACATTTTTGGCAATCAATGGGGTTCCTCCAAGCAGTTGAACAAGATACTCCTAAGAGTATTAAGAAGATAATCATAAATAACTTGAACAAGCTTTATATCACTGAAGAACTTGGCTCAACGATTCTAAAAGGTTTATTAAATGCAATCGAAGATACCAAGTCTATGATTGAATCTAGTCAGCACGACCCAGATTTTATATTTGATGCCTTAACAGAGAAGAATTTTGATAAATTCCATCAATCGATAAAAGACTTGATCAGCAAGGCTGAACAGGTGGAAGCCGAAAACTCGAAGAATGAACAAAAGAACCTGTTTATCTCGGAAAAGAGTTTTCAACTGAATAATTCTCTTGTTCTAAACAAAGATTCATTACTTGAGTTAGTTGAATCCCCCGGAGACAAGCATGAAAAATCAAGCTTAGATGAAAACAAGGCTGAAGAGTCGAACAACGATGCAGAAAAGGTTGAAGAGAATTTGCAAGAAATTGACAAAATGCTTGATGAGGAAGAAAACATTGATTATCAACTTCCAATGGACACGGATTAGGCGATGAGTTGAGAGCATATCATACCCCATATTTTGCATACAAGGTCTATAAATAAACGACCATATGTTACTGTATAAACAGTAATTTCTTAGTTAAGTACCTAAACGACGAATAAATGTATACGACGGGAACGACCGAGTATTTACGATCGCAAAAAAAAAATTTAACGAGAAGCGCGTGTTAGGAAAGAAATATAAATAAAACTGAAAAAGTGTTCTGTGTGAAAATTTCGACTTCTTTAGTTAAGAACATCTCTGTCTAGATCTACACCTATAAGATTCAACTCTTGTTTCTTAAGTTCAACATACATAATAAATACCAACATGCCTTCTGCAGTACAATTAGCCGAAAAGAACCACGAAAAGGATTCTAAATTTGCCAAAGCTTTGCATGGTGAATCTTACAAACAGACCGGGTTAAAAGCTTTAATGGCTAAAGCTAAAGATGCCTCCGAAGTTGCTAACGATGGTTACTTCAAGCACTGGGATGGTGGTGTCACCAAGGAAGACGAAGACAAGAGATTAAGCGACTACTCTAACTTGACTGCTCATTACTACAATTTAGTTACTGACTTCTACGAATATGGTTGGGGTTCATCTTTCCACTTTTCCCGTTATTACACCGGAGAAGCTTTCCGTCAAGCCACTGCTAGACATGAACATTTCTTAGCTCACAAGATGCAAATTAATGAAAATATGAAGGTTTTAGATGTTGGTTGTGGTGTCGGTGGACCGGCTAGAGAAATTTGTAGATTTACCGACTGTTCTATTGTTGGCTTAAACAACAATGACTACCAGATTGAAAGAGCTAACCACTATGCTAGAAAGTATAAGTTAGACGATAAATTATCGTTCGTTAAAGGTGACTTTATGCAAATGGATTTTGAAGCCGAATCGTTCGATGCCGTTTATGCTATTGAAGCCACTGTCCACGCACCAGTTTTAGAAGGTGTTTATTCCGAAATCTACAAAGTATTAAAGCCAGGTGGTGTCTTTGGTGTTTACGAATGGGTCATGACTGATAAATACGATGATGAAAACGAAGAACATCGTAAAATTGCATACGGTATTGAAGTTGGTGATGGTATTCCAAAAATGTACAAGAGAGAAGTTGCTGAAAAGGCTTTACAGTCGGTTGGGTTTGAAATCGAATACGAATCTGATTTAGCTGACAAGGAAGATGATATTCCATGGTACTATCCTTTATCTGGTGAATGGAAATATGTCCAAACATTCAGTGACTATCTCACTATCTTTAGAACTTCCAAGGTTGGTAGAACTATTACTACGGAAGCTGTTGGTTTAATGGAAAAACTTGGTTTGGCTCCAAAGGGTTCTAAACAAGTTACGAACGCATTAGAAGACGCCGCTGTTAATTTAGTCGAAGGTGGTCGTCAAAAATTATTCACACCAATGATGTTATACGTTTGTAGAAAACCAGCAAACGAAGATCTCTAAATAATTTAGTTCTCTATTAATCATTTGCTTAATTTATTTAATTTATATATCTAGATGTATTCCAAATAATTTTCCTAATATTATTCTTTGTGCGTTCTAGAAATATTGCTCATGTGCGGCGTGAGGTTGCTTTAAATCTGAAGCAACCTACTATAAAAAACTCTTCCTTGAAAATTTTGATAACCCACCGATAAGATACATTCAGAATATAATATTCACCACATAGAATGTCACTTACTAATCCCAACCTAGAAGGTTACCACGTTGCTCGTAATATGTGGATGTTGTATTACAATAAATCCGAGAACAACTATATAGCTCCAAAAAAATGTTCAGGCTGTTATGACGATAAAAAGTTTGTTATTTGGTCTGTTTCAGTTGCCTCTCAAGCAATTGTCGATGCTGCTAGAATCTATAAGGAATTCGTGCCGTTAGTTGACCCAGCAATTAATATTTCTAGTAAATATAAAAATAACCACCTAAAGGGATACTCGGCAGCAGAAAATGCCGGAACAGATGAAGACATTTACTATGATGACGACGCACAAGTTGCTAGTGCAATGATTACTGCGTATGAAGTCACAGGAAATAAAAAACATTTGGATCAGGGTAGAGAGTTAGTTCGGTTTTTAATGGGTGGTTGGAACACCAACCCCGATGCAAAGACAAAAGGTGGTATGAAATGGCATTTAACCAATGCTTATTTAAATGCATGCACTACAGGAGAAACAGCTAAGGCTTGTTTGCAAATTTCGAAGTTTATTCCTAATGAAGCAAAAATCTATGTTGATTTTGCTGCCAAATGCATTGACTGGCAAATTAAAGTCTTGCGTAGCGAACACGATGGTTTAATAATGGATGGTATTCAGGATACTGCAACAAACGTCAACGATACCAAATACTCTTACAATACAGGAACCACTTTATCAGCAGCTTCACTTTTGTATAATATTACAAAGGAAACGAAATGGAAAGATATTGCTGATGACTTAGCCAAAGCTGCTATCAACAGAAACGTATTCTTCTACGATCGTGACTACAGTGATGATAAAAGATATTGGAGAGATGCTTCGTATTTTGTGCAGTTGTTAATTGAAGGATTGGCTGATTATTTACTATATATTGGTAATGACGCCCCTGAAGGGTTACCTCAAAGAATTGAAGAAGAGATTAGGAGACATTTAGTTATGTTTTACGAGTATATGAGAGACCCAAATGATGGCTTGTATATTCAAAGTTTCGAACCACATCTTACTTACAGAGATGTTTATGATTCTAAATACAAGCAGGAATTCGGCGAAAGAAAAGGCTGGTCCCTTAAAAAGGAAGATAAAGATGGAGACGGCAATCCTCAAAAGTGTTTAATAGGTTGTGGCTCTGCTGCTAGAGTGTTCTTTCAAGGAGCAAGGGTCATCCCAAAAATCTGAATTATACAATAGGTGTCTATCTCTTTTCATATTTTTATAAACTATATGCTTGATGAATATATATAAATGCAATCAGACCTTAGACCTTTAATTTTGGTAAGTTAAAAGCAGGCGTAGAAGGTATAGAGAAAGATGGTCTTTCAATAACAACTATACCATTACCGAATACATCAACCATCATAATAGGTCTATATTTAGTCGTTAACCAAAATGGTTTTGCTGTGTCATTGACGTCAGTTGATTCATCATCTTGAATCTTTTGTCTTAATCTATTAATTTGACTTTGTTTTAATGAAAGCTCTAATATTTCGGCGTTATCTTCAACTATATCTTGATTACCATCGAATTCATTTTCTTCGTCATTATTATTGTTATTATTCTGAATAGTAAGTCCATCTCTGTTTCTTTTCTTATTAGTGACATTTGAAGTATTTTGATAGGTTTTGTTAATCGGAATATTAACAGATAAATCAAAAAATGATAACCACGTTGAGCCATAAATCCATATTTTACATGAATCATTTGATGACTCGGTAAATAAACCTTGAGGCTTATCTTCTAAAGTTAAGAATTGTTTTGGTAAAAATTCTGAGTTTCTTTTGGACCATGGGGTCAACAAAGTCTCCACTGTAGAATCAGTATTACTTTTAATATAAAATTCGTATAGCTTATTTTCTTCAGTTAAAACCAATAATGTGTTATTGTTGGTAAAACTTACTAAGTGAGGTAATGAGGATAATTTGGTTAAAATATATGGGGACTCATCTTCGTCTAAAGCCATAATTTCTATCGAACAATTAAATCTTGAAATAGCTAAGTACTTGGAGTCTTTAGAAATTGCTAGATTTTTAATAGTCGAATTGTAAGTTAATTTTGATTTCTTGTCAACTGTCGAATTCACAGTTTCAATTTCATTTTCGAGTGAAACCGTTTGATTCTCAGAATCAACAACAAACTTAAGGATCTCTTCTTCTGGAGTCAAAACCAATAATTTATTGTTTGAATAAAACACAACCTTCTTTGCTCCACCAAACGAGGAATCAAAAGTTTCATCTCTGATTTTGGAAACCTTTAACTTATAATTATTATCATTAGGCTGTGACAATTCAAACACTTTCAACGATGTCAATCTTGAAACAGCTAATAAGGTAGCTTCTTCATTAATGCTAACACTGGTTATATTTTCGTCATCAGCCAACGTTAATTTGGCTACTAATTTATGTTTATTACTGGACTCTTCATCGCTGAATACCTTCCAGATCTTAATATGTTGATCTTGCCACATTATAATCAAGTTTTTGGAAGAGTTAATAACAACGTTTGGCTTTTGTTGACTAATTGCTAGCTTCCTATACTTCCCATCATGGAATTGTTGAACTGATTGTATGACAACAGATCTTTCAGCACCACCACTTATTAAGAAATTACAGCCTTTGCTTTCGTAAATAGACATTGATCTAACATCATTCGAATGCAACAATCTACTAAAACTATGGACCCACTTTGAGGTTTTATTCTTGTTCGTAATCAAGTCAAATTGATGAATCTTACGATCAACCCCCGCCGAGAAGAGTTTTTCTTCAGTGAAGTCGCTCGTTAAGCATAAAACATCTGCTTCGTGAACTTTGAAACTCTGCAAGAGCGTGAAATTATCCAAATCCCAAAATTTAATTGAACCAGTAGAATCACCACTAACTATTTGACGTTTCTGAGGTAATACTATCACTGACCATACTAATGTGCTTTCAGTTTTTGACTTATCAACTCTCATGGTGCCCATTAACCTACCTCTCGTCTCACCAGCTGCAGACCAGCATCTCAATCTGGCATCAGCACATCCGCTTACTAATTTTTCATTTCCATACCACTTTATGCTCAAAATTCTCAGGTCTTGTCTCTGGCAAATCAAATCATGTTCTAATGAGCCTGGTCCTCCCGAAATATCGACAATAACGGCTGAACCATCATCACAACCAACAGCTAACTTGTCACCATCTTCATTAACATCGATAGACCAAATAACTCCTGCATTACAGTCATAGTTGATAATCGGCTTTCCTGTAGTTAAGTCCCATTCAGTTATGTATGTAGATCCTCCGATAGAAAATAATCTTGGTGATGGCTCATCCTTAGTAGTAGACCAACATAACCCTTCAATGGAGCGTCCACGAGATCCTGGTAATGTTAACTCATGTGTCCAGTTATACTTAGGGTTCCATATTTCAATGTCGCCGTTACTTCTACCTATGGCTAAACGTAAATCATTGGAAGCAAACTGTGTTAATGAGGATGAATGTGAAAACGCTGTGGATGTAATAGTGTGCGGTGTATAGTCCACAAAACGACAACGATGAATATCCATATTTCACTATCTTCAATGTTCTGACTATTCTATATGGAAATATATATGTCAAATATAGTCTTAGTAGTATCAGTCTTAGCACGTATTATACTCATCTCGAAATTTTTCAACCGAAATAAAAAAAATTGATCACATGATTACACATACTAAAATGAAGACCTTTAGCATATATTGCAAACTACTTATTCTTGGGTTAAACAAACCCGACGAAGCTATTTATAATGTTCAATAAACGGATGAACCATTTATTCTCATCCGTATTCAATATCATATTTATAACCAATTCTTTCTTTGGATGCTTCAGATTATTTATGGGTTGTTTGACGATTGTCTGCTTGACTATAACATTCTTCTTAATGCACCACACAATTACCAACAAAGCTAACAAGCTGATGGAGAAATTTTTTGCAAACTTCAAAGCATTTGCAGATACAAGCCTCAATATTTGAAAGATCCGGCGTTTCAACTTTGCCTTTTCATCAGTGCCCAAGTCGCTTTCAGATTCGCTATGATCCTGGTATCTAGTCAATCCCCTATGAGACGTTATAGGCTTTTTGTGCAATTGTTCTCTTGAAAGCTTATTGATTATCAAATTGATCTCTCCTTGCCATGTTTTAAAATCTTCCAAGCTTACAGATTGGCTGTTTGCAGGTAAGGAATGAATAGATTTGGGATCGATTTTCTGGTTTTCTGCAGCAGGAAGAGAATACACCGAAGCAGCAACATTATGTGGGTTTCCACCAGTTTGTTGTTGTGCCTGTTGCTGCTGTCTCTGTTGCAGCACGTAATCATTGATCGAGAGCATGGTATTTTTCCTCGAATGGGAATATATTTTCTGTAGGTTATTTCTATATTGTAGATTGGAAACTGACGCAGAATAGTTACTTGGCAACGGTAATGGCGTTGTTGTTGAATATCTATCGGACTGAGCCTGCGAAAACAGCGGTGAGTGGGACGGCAAGGGTATACGGGGGTGATCGTATTCTTCTTCTGGTGTGTACTGCAAATCCTTAATTTGGTCCCACAAGTACTCCAATTCACTCAACAACTCCCTTGCTTCCAACGTACCACTGGCATACACCTTCATGGTGTCAATAAGATATGATATATACCGTCTCTTAGCCTCAGTCTTGGACAATCCTTCTTCCCGTTTCCAAGCATCCCATTTTTTCTTAGCTCCCTCGTCTTCCAAACTGAATCCTACGGGCCGTGGCATCACCCCCTCTACATTACCTTCCGTAGCTTGCTTGTACAACCCATATAGCTTTATTCGGTTCTCCGCCGGAGGACGAGGTAATGTCCCATAATTAGACCTAGACGACAATGCTCTAATGGTAGTAATTGCCTTAACAAAGACACGATCTAGAATAGTTAGTTAAGTGTTCTAAATATATTTTATGTGGATAGAGAATTATACTTACCAATTGAATCTGACATGGGTTTCTCCTACTATTCCTAGAATCTCTCAATTATCGCTGTTAAGTATATTTTTCTACTAAATCAACAGTGGAGTATTCTGCAATATAGTTTCTTGCGCTAATAACAACGATTTGTATCAATATAATATCCAAAATATACCGCTTTGTTATGATTAATGTATGGCCTAGCCTAGAGATATCATTGTGTTTACGTTGAAATTGCGGAAGTGGGGGACTATAGAGCACGTGAATTCTAGAGATTAAGACTATTCTAGTCAGATGGACATAACGCTAAGGAACGACTACTATCTACCCTTTTTATATGGCTCAGCATCATTTCAAACGTACTGGATAGAGTTCTTGACGACTAATTGATATAATCGTAAGAAGTTAAGTGTGATGTTCAATTCTCTATCGTTCTATATTAAGTAGCAAGATGTATGATCATGTTCCAATAGAAGCATTGAGTCGGTCTCAGCTACAATTTGGTTAACTGTCCGAGGGTAATAAGAGTTGGAATTGCCTTATCAGCGCATAATATGTGACGACGTGACAAATATTAGGCTTTGTGCCTGTTTCGATATACTTATTCTTACTTGACAAGCAATTTGAAGTTTTCTTTTCTGCAAGCAGAAGAAACAGTATTTAATCAATTGATATCGCTATGAAATTTGAAGTAGCAAATTTATACTCAGAAAGATGCATTGTATGCCTAATAGTCGTGAAGCAGTATTTAGATGGGAGAGATCTAATCTTTTCCAGTGTGTCCCTGATACTCTGGCATTAAGGATAATCATCGATACTACAAAACAAAGGCTAAAGGATGTGGAGGAAAAGACATTTACAGATGTTTTTGATGCTGTCCGCAGGGAAAATCCAACGCCCGTATTGACGAAGAAACGGGCCCGAAGAGCTTGTAATTGCATGTCTCCTATCTATCAGCATAATAAGATGCTTATGAACAAATTGTGGGAAGCCGATGAAACTACGGGTGAGACAGTTGGGTATTTGCGATTGCTTAATTTTGTTCTTAGTGTTGTCGCAGCCAGTACATGGTTTTCTGCTTCAAAAACTTATAAACCGTTAATAAAAGGAAGGAGCAATATCTTACTGAATTTAATCAAGAAATGCGAAAAATATCTTGAAGCATTCGAGGTTGACAATTTATCTAGACCAGATGACGTTCTCAATGCGTGGGAAAACATCTACGTCAATGAACCCGCAATCGCAATAGATCTTTTCCATCTTCAGCTGTTATTTCACAAATGGCAACTCTGGTTGTACCCATGGTTGGCTATGTTCGACGACTCTCATCACTACTTTGACGTATTTGGCAGAGGAGATAGCTACGATGACTACTTGCCAGAAATAGCAAGGGAGATAAGAATATATATGGCTGAGTCCAAGGCACAGGGTGCACGAAAGCAGATGCTTTTGGCACAAGCGGATTTTGAGACAAAAACAAAGTGAGGTCTCTACGTGGATAAGAAACGTCACTGAGTAAAATTATAAACTGGCTTCACTCAGTAAGAATGAGATGTTCTATTCAAATCGCATTTCATCTTAGATCCATCTGTTGATTAATAGTGATTTATACGATATATACCACAATAATGACTAGTATTTAACAAGTAAGCGTTCGTTTCAGTATCCCATGGTCTCTACAAGACACATGTTGTAAAAATGACTACAGTTCAATAGAGATGATAAATGATTTCAGAGTGACTCTGTTTATTTTATGTTAATCCGTCGGGGCAATGGCTAATAAAATGAAAGCTAATGAAATGGACCGATTGTACCCATATTGGTAGAGTACAATGGTGAGTAGTCAGCTTAAATTTTTCTAGTTTGCACCAAAATAGGAACCCAATATAGCATTATTAAGCAGCATATAGCTCGAAATAAAGATTAGGCACCAGAGTGTTGGCAAACATGCGTTACAGAGATTGAATTGTCATTATGATGGTTATTCTTTTCTTGTCTGAAATCATTCTCACATCCTGATAGAGATATTACAAAAGTCTTCGGAAATTAAGCTCAGATGAACTTGAACGATAATATCAATTAAACCCTATTAAAACACTTTTGTACATAACTTAGTTTTCTGGAACTATAGATGCGTTAGTAAATTGAACTGAAAAAATTTCTCATGTGGAAAATTGGTACTCGAGCCCCCAGCAAATGTATACCAGATACACAGCGCCCGGGAGTCAAGCCATACTAGACATACCATCAATTTCACCATCGTTGATGGCTTCAATAATGTCATGTGGGTTTTTACCTTCAACACGACAACCAACTGATTGAGCAGTACCTAAAATTTCTTTAGTAACTGAAGCTAAGGTCTTACCGAAAGACTTTTCTCTCATTTGTCTGGCAATTTCATAGATTTCTTCTAATGGAATGTTACCTGAGTGCTTGACGTTCTTTTCCTTCTTTCTGTCTCTTGGGGCTTCCTTCAAGGCAGTGATGACTAAAGATGAAGCAGATGGAACAACAGAAGCAGCAGCTTGTCTGTTTTGGATTCTCAATTGAACGGTAACCTTAATACCTTTGAAGTCCTTGGTAGCCTTGGCGATATCTTCACCGACCTTCTTTGGGGATAAACCTAAAGGACCAATCTTTGGGGCTAATGCAGAAGAAGCACCAACTTCACCACCGACGGCTCTTAAGTAAATGAATTTAACTTCACTTGGATCGAATTTTGGAGGCATCTTGAACTGGTTATACTATAGATATAAAAGCCTAAACGGTATTATAGAGTTATTAAATAAATTAAATTTCACTAAGTGAGTCTGAAATTTTTTTCTTCCGCTATGCTCGCTGTCCGTTCTGTCTACAGTGTCGATCGATGAGAAAAAGCAGTCACATAACACAAAAACTGCGCTATGCTCTAGCAACAAATTTCAGTCTATTGGTAGCTTTTGTCGCTGAATTGCACTTTTGTCGCGACAATTTGCATCGCTAGCGAGAAAGAATTAGGGGTAGAACCCTGAATCGATGCTATTTCGTCTAATATCGGACTTTTGAGTGAACATTTCAGAGACATAACTTGGGATACTTACAAGTGATACATGAGACTACAAAAATATGTATTGTAGAAAGAAAAATGTATTTCAGGGTAGCGTTAGATACCCACGACATTATTCCAGGATTAGGCCAAGAATTATGGTGCATGTATGTTTTGTAGGTTGATGTAAGGATGTTTGTTTTGGTTTGCATCACTAGATTCGCATTGGACCACTAGCATCAGAATGTAGCTGCAATTGTCCGATTTAGAGAATTTGTTGTATTAGTGTATATTCCTGTAACCATTATATGGTATATGAAGAGTGAGCCAGACACAATATCATTGATGGATTGACCTACAAGACTACATTTAGAAATATTGTGCATGTTATCGTAATTTGCATACATTTATATACGCTTTGTCCAGTACTTATATATAGTGTATGAATCCAAAGATTCCGTACTTCTATCATAGTGATCTACATTATGCATTAATATATTTGTAGGAGTTATATTATGCTCGATGGAATCACAACGTGCCACCAGGGACATCGTCACCGATACGGGAATCTTCGTACAATTCACTGTCGTTGTCGTCAGTGACAGTCGCAGCTAGCTGTCTAAGCATGATTGCCGGGTGTTTTCCTAGTTCTTGGAGTTCTTTGAATATGATCACCGGTTTTTCTGCCAATTTGAGTATTCTCTCTTTGTCACCATAACAGATAACTAGAACGTACTTCAGCCAGTCATCGCGCGGAATATGGTGACGTTTCATCGCTTGTTGAAGAATCTTAAGACATGAGTCTTCTGATGAAGCCCGCAATTGTTTCAAGGGTTCGTTGCTGGGGGGAGCCGATGCGTTAGCTGTTGATGTGGTGTGTACTGATCCCAGAGACGAAGAATGTTGCTTCAAGGGTGGCGGTTTTGTAGTAGTTGCTGAATTGACCGATCCTGCGGATCTGCTTTCCACTAGTTTTGGCTTGCTTCTGTTACCAAGTGAAGAATTGGCCCTCAGTAAAGTGAAATCGGGCTGGTTACGCTCTTGCATTACGGGTTTAGCCACCGAATGCTGCACCACTTTTCCGGTTCCCATCGACAACAAGGAACCAGAAGAAAATCTATTAAAATTGGGATGGTTGGGGCTTGTCAGATCAGAATTTCTCTTAGTAACTGTAGTGTTCACACTATCACTCCGTACTAATGTCGGTTGCAGTGATTGTTGGCCTACAGCAGGACCTTGCGCCAATTCCTTCTGTTGCTCAGTAAACGACAATGCGCTTGGTGACTCTATAGGTGCTGATCCTGGGTCTAACGTAGGCGTGGGAAGTGGCTTCGATTCTTTCACAAGCCGGATTATTGGAATCATATCAGTCTTCAACTTATTGAAATTCTCGTTCAATCTCTTCATATCAAGTTGTGTACCCGGTGACAATGGTGACGGCATCGATGATCTGTTTTGCAGGTACGTTTCATTCAACTTGACCAACATATCTTTCATCAACACAGTCGCCAATGTCAACGACTCGAGCCCAATACAGTTATTATTGATATTGAGGTTATTAAACCGGTATTCTGGATCATTAAGTGATGTGGGAGGATGATTGTGGTAATGATTGGCAATTAGTTCCGATGTAGCTTTTTTTATCTGCAACCTTGTACCCAACTTGGAAATACCTATTTCCTTGAGATGCTCGGTTGTTATAAACGGAAGCAACGAACCCTCTATATTATTATCAAGGAAGCAATCCCCAAGACTTGTTTGATCCCCTAAGTTAAGTGAATTAATATAGTTACAAACTTGGGCTGGATCCCATTGCAAGAATGAATCATTTGTATTTGGTGACGCCATGGTTGACAATTCACTCGTTATAGTTCAATTTTTAGTTTTTATTAATACTGTTTTTATGACGTCTGACACCTTTAAATAATTCTTATGTTTGATATGATGTTTACGAACTCAGTTTGTTTCAGTCATATGAGTGATCTTTCAAATTTTTCCAGATTATGATATTGTTTTACATTGTAATTTAAATCAAATTCATGCAAGGGTTATGTAAAGGATCTTGGACCTGTAACGAAATTCGAGAAAACATATTAGGGAATCTGTGTGTCTAGATTACGATTATTATATACAGCAATGTCATCGTTATTATCTCCTCAAGTCGGTAAGGTACATGAGTACTTACCCAGAATGACTGCATTTGAGTTTGATGGGAATTCTGTAGGTGAAGCAGCTCCAAACGTCGTTTTATTCATCGGTGGTCTAAGTGACGGATTATTGACTGTTCCGTATTTGCCAAGATTGGCTAAGTCAATTGAGTCAATTCGTTCTCAGCACGGTCAATGGGTTCTTGTACAGGCATTGATATCGTCGTCTTATCTGGGATGGGGCACAGGGTCGCTAGAAGCAGATGCGAAAGAGCTTAGTCTTCTCGTAAAGTATCTCAGATCGGAAAAGGGTGGAAATCGTAAGAAGATAGTGCTCATGGGACACCTGACAGGATGCCAAGATTCAATGCAATATTTGACCAAATTGTGCAAAAAAGCAGATGCTCCTGAGGACATTTTGTTGGATGGTGTCATTTTGCAAGCACCTGTTTCTGATAGAGAGGCAGTGGCAGACCATATGGGAGGGATGAAGAAATTGGAATCGTTACTTGAAAAAGTTAAGAAAGAGTATCTTTTGACCGGAAAATCTCAACATATATTGCCCCATGAGTTCGACATTTTCAAGACCCCTGTCACGGCGTATCGATTCTATTCTTTGATGAGCATCAGAGGAGACGACGATTATTTTTCGTCCGATCTCAACTCAGATGACTTTAAACAGACTTTTGGTATTGTTGATAGGCCATTGTTGGTGTTATATGGGTCCAAAGATGAGTGTGTCCCAGAATTTGTTGATAGGGAACATTTGCTAGAACAGTGGAAAAATGCCACTGACACAAAGTATTGGAGCCCGTTGAGCAAGGTTTTGAAAGGAGCGACCCACAACGTTGGACCTACATCTGATGAAGGGACGGTTGAAGATTTCCTCGAAACTGTTTACAAATTTATTGTTTCTATTTAGGGGACCATTTTCTAAATTCTTATTTTGAAATATCCACTCACGCAACTAACAGCATGGTTTAGATAAGACAGTTTATATTCGAAGAATGTATATTCTAGATTTGAGGGTCGGGATCTAAGCGTTGTGATTAATTACTTAACTACTTGTTTATAATATATGAAATTTTTTGGGAATTGTATTTTCAATGTTTTACCATTAACTTCAAGACAGAAAAATTCACGCTCACAGTGAGTCGATAATGTCAAAAACGGGATCAATTACGATCCATTTTGTAGTAAGTAACAAATATTTGAAACTAAGATACGATAAGTTCATAGATGACTGGTATTTCAATTAGAAGATAATTTATATACGTAGACGTATCCTCCAATTGGATCACAGGCCTGAATTCAAAATCCAAGCTTTCGATTTCAAGGTGTGTCCTTGACCTATAAGAAGACACTAAATACAAGGGATTTAACTCATAATAAATTTACCTATAAGAATGTAATTTCCGATTTTATTTATTGACTCATAATATTGACTGTGTATGTGGCTTACTCCATATGATGTTGAAGGGGAATATTTCGCAATTATGGTGTGAGGACAGAAGGTCAGACCATAATTGATATATCCTTTGTGTGGTTGAATGGAATACACATATACAGAAAATAATAGGCCTAGTACTGGTGGGGTATTTATATTACTAATCTAAGTATGTATCTTGAAACATCGACATATATAGAAACTGTGGTGGCTCTCAATAATGCAAGTTGCAGCGTTTTTTCTCAGTCAAAATGCTGCACTATTTAAGCACCTATATTGCCAGTTATATACTTACCATAAATACCTCAGAAACATCAATACGAATCATATTAAAATGGCCCCAGTTAGATACACTAATCCCAGTACCACTTTTGAAAAAAAGAGAGGAGAGCTCTCTGAGGATGGTATTTTAACCGTCCCCAAAAAGCACCACGAGAATTCCAAGCACCCGGAATTTTTACCCACCTGGGATTTGAAAGAATTCTACAAACCATTGGAGTTCTTTGACCACACTGATCCAGGTTCCAGAGCAGATCCAAAACTTCAAAACTTATTTCCAACGGACTCGAAACATGAATTAAAAAACGTAACCCCTAAATTGGGAACTGAAGTTACTGGAATCCAATTATCACAATTAGACGATAATGGAAAGGACGAATTAGCTCTTCTTGTTGCGAAGAGGGGTCTTGTAATCTTCAGAGATCAAGATTTTGCAACTAAAGGCCCTCAATTTGTCTCAGATTATGGTAGGTATTTCGGCCCATTACACATTCACCCTACGTCTGGGTCTCCTAAAGGGCATTCAGAAATCCACGTCGTTTATAGAAGGAATGATTATAATGAAGCAGTGACATTTGCTAATAGAACTAACCTAATTCAATGGCACTCCGATGTCAGTTATGAATTACAGCCACCTGGACCAACATTTTTCTCTGTTCTTGAAGGTCCTGAATCTGGTGGTGATACTCTTTTTGCTGATACTGTTGAGGCCTACAACCGATTGTCACCTAGACTTAAAGATTTAATAGAAGGATTACATGTTTTACACTCTTCGGAGGAACAAGCCAAATTCTCCCGTAAGGAAGGTGGGGCAGAAAGACGTGATCCTGTTAAAAACATCCACCCTCTTGTTAGAGTTCATCCTGTCACAGGTGACAAGATTCTTTACGTTAACCCCGGATTCTCGAGGAAGATCGTAGAATTCAAACAAGAGGAAAGTGATGCCTTATTAAATTTCTTATACAATCATATTGGCAATTCTCACGACCTTCAGGCAAGAGTAAACTGGGAACCAAATAGTGTAGTGGTTTGGGATAATAGAAGAGTTGCCCATACAGCTATTATTGATTGGGATTCAGATTCGAACCATACTAGACATGCCTTCCGGATTACTCCTCAAGCAGAAAGACCTATTGCGGATGTAAAAGAATTGAATAAGCCGGACGAAAATAAGTATATTCCTAAAGGCTCTATCTAGACATAGTACTATATTTAAATGTGTATTCAAAAGCAGTCTCATAAAATTTCTAAACAAATAACTTTCAATAAATATCCGATATAGTGTAACGGCTAGCACGGTTCGCTTTCACCGAGCAAACCCGGGTTCGACTCCCGGTATCGGAATATTTTTTGTCAATATTGTATTGTTGATAACGTGCAAAGGAAGAGATGCGGCTCACAAAATCACATCTCATTTTTTTTTCAGTAGATATTTATTTAGTACTGATGATTAGATTATAATATTTAGCAATACGACATATCAGCAATGGCACCAAGACAGTCGAAGACTGCTAAAAGAAGCAAGGTTCAAAATAAAACCCGTTCAGTGGAATCTGAAGTCGGTTCCGACTCAGCTGCAAGAAATTTATTGATGTCTCAACCTAAGTTGACACCAAAATCAATTGTGAAGGCACCATCTAAGGCAGCTGTTAAGAAACAACAAGCTAAAATAAGATTATATGGAGCACGTAGTGGTAAAGAATATAGGGAAGATCAATTAGATATTCCAGCTTTAAATAAGGCAATCACACCTGGGGTGAAAGCTAAGAAAGGGAAGAAAGGTAAAAAATTTGTGGGAGATAATGATGCATTAACGTTGAATAGATTAGTCAAGTCTATCAATGATAAATATGACCAAGCCAATGAAAGTAAATTAGAGAAATCCAGAAGACTCGAAGAAATTAGAGAATTAAAAAAGCAGGAGCTTGAAAGAAAAGAAGAACAGAAGGAGAATAAATTAGAAGGAAAGAAGAATGAAGTTAAAAGTAAAGCATCACTTGCAAGAGCTAATAGAAGGAAAAGTGCTAAATCACAAAAGAATGAAGAGTCTAAGGCCGCCGGTAATAAAGGTAAAAAGAGCGTTTCATTCGCTTGATATTATCGTTAAGTGAGATCCATTAGTTAGCATTTATAGTTCAATTTCCATGTATATTTAATCAAATTTTTAATAAGCATTTAGTTTAGAGAATAAATTGAGCAGAAATTTCATTATATTAATATATATATTTATGTTTCATCTATGTACATTTCAAATAGTTCACCTATAATTGATAGAGCCTAATCTTGTTCAGGTAATTTCAAAAAGCATAGGCCCGTCTTCTTCTATTTATTTTTTCCTGTCTTTGTTTATTATACCACCACCCATAAGCAATACCTGCTATAGACCCACCTATATGTGCTGCATAATCATATCTACCCCATCTCAAAGCACTACCAGCAATGTTGTATGCTAATGAACCCAAGAATAATATCCATGCCCCACCTGGTACTGGTATAAAGAATAATGCTAGTGGTGCCTTAGGGAATATGTAAGAAAAAGCACCAAATACACTAAATATGGCACCCGATGCACCCAACGAACCAACTGTCAATGAAGTTCTCAATATAGTAGGAATTAGTATAGAAATAAATGAGGATATAACAGCCGAATTAAGATACATAATTGCAAAATTTGTCACTCCAATTACAGCACACAATGATGTACCAAACGACTGCAAAACAAACATGTTAACGAAGAGATGTCCTAAGTTTTGATGAGAAAATGCAGCCCCAACCATAGACCAGCTGGAATACATATTGTCTTTAACAAGCAACCCATATCTTGTAAGGAATCTGGAAAATTGCGGAACTCTCCACATTAAGAATACTGCACCATTCACGGCAATGAGTGAATAAACAAATGCATTTGAAACCGTCTTAACATATGCTAATGGAGTGTTATTAAAAATGTAGGGAGTAGCAAGTGTGGTAGTTATGCAAAAGAGAGCAGTAAATAAAGCTGGCTTTTTAAGTTTGTTCCAATGACTTCTACCATAATATTTGTTATATCTAGACCAAGTGTCACTCGTTCTAAAAGTTCGAGATTGCTGGACAAACTTAAACCCTCTGAATATGTTTGGTCCAAAAGACGACCGTAATATTTCTGTATTTGAACTGAGATACTTAGATTTCTTGAGCAAGTCCAGTGGCGTGTTCTTCGAAACTAACAACGACTGCCTGTATTTACCAAGAGTCAAAGATACAAGGTTACTGTTGCTGAAAAATGAATTTCTTGATAGCTTAAACGGTTTATGTATAGGAAGTTTAAACATTGTTCTTGGTGTTAGAAAAATTGATGCCCAGTAGATTAAATTGTGATATTCAAAAATAATACTCAGTTTCGCGAGTGAAATTATACAAAATCTATGTACATATATTTTACATGATATAACTCTACTAATCTGCAATATCAAACTCATCGCCTGATTCTGCTTCCAAATCAATATTCTTACCCTTACCGGCTAATCTTGCAGATGCTAACTGTTGAGTTGCTACTTGTTTCTTTACCTTCTTTGTCATTCTATCTATTTCGGCTTCAGCGTCTCCAGCATCTTGTTCAGCATATTGCATAACTAATCTTCTACCAAGTAAATGGACACCTTCTAATTGGTTCATTGCATTTTCGGCTTCTTTTAATAAGGAGAACTCAACAAACGCAAAACCTCTAGCTGATTTGTCAAACTTCTTAGGTACTCTAACGGACTTCAATTGACCAAAGGCACCGAATAATTCCAACACATCCTTTCTTGTAGCTTCGAAAGGCAAATTCTTGATAATGATTTTATTAGATTTGTTAGACTTCTCATTTTTAGAGGAAGTGGAAGTAGATCCACCTTGTCTATGAGATAACTTCAATTGTAATTTGTGTCCATCCAAAACATAATCATTCATGGTTGAAATAGCCACATTTGCTTGTTCTTTAGTTCTAAACTCAACAAAACCAAATCCCATACTGAGGGTGCTTCCTGATTTTTTTGGATCTGGTTTGACTTTGACTTTGGCAACAATGAACCCTGGAATAGCTTGAAAAGCCTCTGTCAATCTTTGGGAAGTAGTAGCAAAATTCAAGTTCTTGACAAATATAGAAACCGTAGGACCATCAATTGTATCTTCATCTTCTTCGATCTTAGACTCGCCCATCATATCATTGGCTGTTACCTTAGCCTCGACTGCCTTTTCATCAGGCTTTTCAGAGATTACATTATTCTCATCCAACGAAGGTTCACGAGTAAACAAATCTTTTGGACCCTTCTCCAAATATATAATACTCTTCCCGAACCTTCTATATGCTAATTTTTGGAACGCCGCTCTTGCACTTGGCGCATCACGAAACTCAATAATCGCAATTGTCCCAGCGGGCGGCATCAACATTCTTTTTAATTGGCCATACTCTGAAAACAATTCTCCAATTTCTTCAATAGTTGTACCATAAGGGAAATTCTTAACCAAAATTACTTTATCGTCTCTTTCTTTTTTATCAAATGTAGTTAAATCGACACCTTTATTCTCAAAATACTTTCTGACATCCCCGATGACATGTGCTTCCGCTAAAGCTTGCTTTACCGCAGAATTAGAGCTTTGAGCATCAATCAATTGTGATTTTGAAACGCCCATCTTTGCCGCAACCGAATCTAATACAGCGTCACTATTCATGTATAATGAATTCCAACTAAATTGTGTTTTTGATGCTTGGTCTTTTCTCTTCAATTCACGTTGTTTCTTTAATGGAAGATTCTTCAAGTCAAACTCATCTAGCCTATGATCCTTCTTCTTTTCAGCAGGTAAAATATGCAATAAACGACCTTGAAAAATTTGTTTATCCAAAGCATGATATGCCGATACTGCATTTTCATTCTTAACGAATTGAATGTAAACAAAACCTTTGGATTTACCAGTACGGGTATCAATGGCAACATGCACTTCTTCAAGTGGTCCGTATGTTTCGAAGAGTTCGCGGAATTCTTGTTCTGTAGAAGTGTATAAAATATTCCTAACAAATAAACGACCAGTTTCGGAAATTTTTGCAATAGTTATTTCTTCTGGTGATTGTTGAGGTTCCTCCAAGTGTCTTTCAGGTAATCCTTTAACTGCTTCAGGTTTTATCTCATCCTTGGAAACCAGTTCACGGGCTTGTGGATCTTCTACTGGTTCATTATCTTTCATACGCCTTCTTCTCAATTTTAACCAATCAAGATCAGTAACATTTTCATCATTAGCCAACTTGTTCTCCTCTTCTGGTAGTTCGCTTAAGTTCATCATTTTTTCTTCTTCCTCCTCTTCTTCCTCTTTGTTTGCATCTGTTGGTTTAAAGTCTTCATATTCATCATCACTCTCCCCTTCAGGAGCCTGTAAAACATTAGGTTTATTACTTTCCGTAGGTAATTCATTCCCGTCTTGTCTGGCTAATTCGTCCGCCAATATCTGGGTAGAAGGAGCCCCTGTCCCATCAGCCACATCAAAGTTAGCCCATGACTTCACTTGATGAGATGGCTTCATCACCTCCATAAATTCTCTTAATTTAGGGTTGCTTTCGATTTCTTCATCAATAGTTGATTTATTTGTTTTTTGCTTTTTATTTTTCCTCTCTTGCTCTTCTACCAACCTTGCTTCTTGTTCTCTAAGCTTTTCATCGTTTAATCTTCTTTTTTCTTTGAATGACAAAGGAACTGAAGGATCGGAGAAAGTTTTGGCTAACTCGACATCAATCCTAGCTGTATCTATGAATGATTTATCGAAAAATCTGGCAGACTTTTCTGCATCTTCAAATGATTTATAGCCTATAAATGCAAATCTTCTTGATTCACCATTTCTTTTCTTCATGAGTTTAACATCAGTAACATCCCCTTTTTTAGAAAAATGCTCCCTGAGCTTCTGCTCGGTAAAATACTTAGGAAGGCCCTTTACAATCAAACGAGACATCCTATGATAACGTGTTACTTGATTTTAGCAAATTAATTGACCAGTATATAAATTTCTAGATGTGCCTCATCTTGATGGACTTAGAAAAAAAAAAAATTCTGGAAGCCGCACGTTGCAACTGTTTGTGGTTATCAAGAAGCACCATACACTAGAGTCTATACTTATACTGAAGTAATTAAAACAGTATTATAACATTGAGAGATGATGGAGTTAATAAACCACATTGGTGTAACATCAGATTCAGAACATGGCACTACTTCAATTATCTCTAGAATGAACGGCAGTCTTATATTGTTTTTTCTCTTTGTTGCTGCCTTCTTATACAAGCTCATTTCAACCGCATGTTTGGGTTTACATTATTTGCTTCCAGAAAGTACAAATAACATTAAAAGAATATCTGCTTCTATGTTCTGGGAGTTATGCATTTATTTTTTGGTAAGTATAACTAATAATTTGGGTATGGGCAAGTACTGACAATTTTAGAATATAAATGGAGTGAATTTTGTTGTATCAGGAGACAATATTAATACAGATTCTGCAATTATTATTAGTAACCATAAATCTCTAGCTGATTTCATTGCCATGGCCTACTTGGCTAGGTACACAAATGATACGCTGAATAATGAAGAAAAAGAAAACTCTTTCAAAAACCTAACTCTTCCCAGAATCAATTTTTTTACTTGGTTCAAACTATGGCGTATTCCATCAATAAGAGTATTAATTAACCTAGCGAAATGTGATGAAAACTGGGAATTAGAGAATTCTTTGAGCAAAATTGTTTTTGGAAAGATTCTGAAAAGCAAAATTCCGGAATGGATCGTATTGTTCCCCGAAGTAAATATTTGGACTGAAGAGGATTCTTCTTTACAAAAAGCTCAAGGCGAAAAGTTTTACTTACCAACATTACAAAATATATTATATCCAAGATTTTCTGCATTCTATAATGTGATCTCAACTTTAAATAGCAAAGAGCATTCTAAATTTAATCAGCTTTATGATGTATCGGTTTTATATGAGTCGAAAAGTACAGAATTAAAGACACCTCTAAATAAGCCACCTACAGACGAAAGTAATGCAGTAAGTTCATCAGAAATCCCCCAGCATAAAGCTGTAAATTTAGTATCGCCAAATCTACTAGAAATATTCTCTTCAGATAATCCAATAACGATTCATATACATGTCAAATCCAAGAGATTACTGAGAGTTCCGACAAAGAGGAGCAAAATAGAGAAATGGTTAGAAAATACTTGGGTTGAAAAAGATAAGTTCCTAGACCAGTGGAAAACGGATCTATCAAAAGCGACTACATTTTCTGTTAATAGTGGTAAAACTCCTCAAAATAGCCCAAGTCCAATCAAAACTGGGTTGTTCAGACTGAGTTCAATAAAAAACAGTATATAATTAACTGTATATACTATGTCATCTCAATTAATCTTCTTGAATAAGACTTATAGGTAAGCTTCGAATTATTGACTTCTGATGTTCATCTCTTTGAACCCTATAGAAATGATCTGTGAAATTATCCCCATTAATATGACTCAAGAACTTTTCATCATGTGTGATAACAATTAATTGAAAGTTTTTCTGGTTTTTTCTGAATTCAATTATTTTATTTAGAGCTTGAGCCAATGATTCAGTGTTTTCCAGGTCTAAATTCGTTGTTGGCTCATCTAAAGCAATGATACCACAATTTGCTCCAAAGCATTCGGCCAACGCTAACCTTATGAGAATACTTGTAAGAACTTTTTGACCTGCAGAACATCTACCTCTCATATCCAATTCAGAATCCTGTTTATACATAACCACGCGATAATTATAAGATCTATTACCTTTCGCTTGAACATTGACATCACTTTTTATTGAGATTGTATCAACATCGGTACCTTTATATGTCTGTCTCCATAACTCACCTAATATTCTATTTATATCTTCCATTTTCATACTATGATATTTCATTATTGCATTATCTAACGCCTTCGAATAAGTTTGTATATCGTTTGATACTAACATATTTGTTTGTAATTTAATCCATTCTTCATGGTATGTTCTATCGATGTTCTTGTATTCGTTACTTAGCTCATTTTGGAGTGATGATATTTGATCTTTCATTTGTCTTACCTCGCCCACTTTTCCAGCATAATCTGCATTTAGCTTTGTTAATATATTTCTCAAATTCTTTGACGCCTCTTGATATTCATCTTTCTTGGCTTGGGCATTTGAAATATCAAGGCTATGAATTTGGTTATCAATACCTTCTAATTCTTTTTGAACATTTCTATACTCCAAGTTATCACGAATATTACTTCTAAAATTTGATGATTCATTAATGGACTTTTCAAGGCGTTTTATTTGGGATTCCGATTCCAGTATTTCAGTTTCAACTCCTTTTGTCAAACTCTCAGTCTCCCTAATTGTTGTTTCTACTTCCTTCAATTTTGGTAATTCAATTCGCAAAAATGATTTAGTAGCATTGTAGATACTCAAAAATTCTGAAACAATTTTTTCAATTTTATTTAAATTGCTTACTGCCATTTCTCTTATTTTCTTATTACTATCCTTAGTCTTCCTTAATTCTTCTTTATGAACACTTTGTTTGTCACGAAATTCATCCAAAATATTTTTGATGTCAGTCAGTTTCTTATTCAACTCGTTAATGTTTTTCTCATTTTCATCAATAGATTCTCTAAGATTTTTGAGGTCAACGAACGATCTTTCCATATTACTTATCGCCAACTGTTTATCTTTGATATTATTTTCTAATCTTGCGAGCTCTTTTTGTTTCGTGAATTTTAATTCATTAATTTCGTTAATTTGTATTCTCAAATCCTTAATCTCCATATTCTTAGATTGTTGAAGTTGTTGTAATTCGTCGAGTGGTGTCTTCGATACTCCATACTCGCTTAGCTCATCTTTCAACGCCTCTATTTGTCTATTACTATCATTAATATCATTTTTGATTCTAATAATATCGTAAATAGGATTCTTTAAAGAGTTTAGAGCTTCCATGTTAGATTTTAAATTTCCTAAGCGATTCAGTCCCGTTTCGAAATCTTCCTTTGCATTTAAAGTATCCAGTTTGGTCTTATCTATATGCGACTTAATATCTATAACCTCCAGAGAGAGCTTCCTATATTGAAGTACGTCGGAGTTTATCGCTTTAGTTGAATCTAATTCTTTTTTTGCTATCTCAACATTCTTAGTTAATTCCTCAACATTCATTTTTTTAACATCATCTTGCAACAAACTAACAAAATTCTTTAATCCTGGAGAGTCAAATGACCTTAAGCATAATGTGCAATGTTCATCTTTCTTGGCTATTTCTATTGCTTTGATTTTAAATTGTCGACTTACTTCAAATGTATTTAATGCTTCCAGAGTATCACGAACATCTTCTTCTAAATCGTCTAATATCTGCTCGTATTCATCAATTTCATCTTCAGTAATCTCCTTGAGTATACGTTCTTTGTATTCTCCAATTCTTTCTTCATAACTTTTCATAGTTTTACTGTTTGAGTCCAATAACGCGTTCAATGAATCAAACATTTTGCTCTTGGTGTCTACAACAGCCTGTTCTTGCTCGATCTCATCCGAATTCGAGGATATATATTTGTTAAGTATCTCCTCACATGTCTCAGCCTTAAGTGGTAAAGTTGTTTTCTCTGAGAACAATTTCTCGTTGTTAGAAATAACCTTTGATAGTGCTTTAGATTTATGCGTTATTGCTTCATTCAATAAAGATAACTTTGCATGTACATCCGATTGCTTATTACTCGCAGAAATCTTTTTATTAAGTTCCTCTAATTCATGTTCTAGGTTCAAGAGATCATTCTTATATGAATAAGCTTTAGACTCATATCCACTGGAATCGCTCTGGCTCTTTTTTTCTTCATACTTTGAAAGTAGACTTTCTAACTCAGACTTTTCTATTTCCAAATCACCTTCATTATATTGCAATTGGTCGATCTTTTTCTTAAATTCATTTATTTTTTTCCTCCCTCGCTCAATATCTTCGTTACAATAGTCTTGGTGTTGTTTTTCTCTCGCTATAGAATTAGCTAGTTCCTGAACAGATATTTCGAGAAGTGATTCATCTTCAGAATGCTTATTAACCAAAGCATTATAATCATATTTTAACTCTTGTAGCTTTTTTTCTATGGTTTCTTTAAATTCATCAATTTTTACATCATTCTTTAGATCAACATCTGTATATGATACATCAAAATAATCTTGTGACTTGAGAACAAGGTTTGATAAATTAATTACGTTTTCCTTATAAGATTCTTCCTTCGACTTCAATGAGCCTTCTAATCGTATGAGTTGGTTAAATTCATTTCTCTTGTCTGTCAAGTTTTCATGCAATTTTACATTTTTATCATTTAATCTCTTTATCTGTGAGGCCTTTTCGTTAGTTATATTTTCATAGTTATTCAATTGTTCCTTTAATTCCTCATCCAGATCAGGCAATTTATCAATTGATTTATTTAGTCTATCTATTTGCTCCTTATACGATTTTTGAATAAAGTTTAAATGTTCAATTTTGGATAGCGTTTCATGAAATTGTTGGTTTGATAAGAATAACGCTTCGGCTTCTTTTTCCTTCCCTTCAATATCCATAGTTATGGATGCAATCTCTTCTGTATAAGTGTCTACTTTTTGGTTCAAATCGTTTACTTTTTCATTGATTTTCTTTGCTCTGTTCTTATCTATTTTCAAATGATGGACGCTTTGCTCTATTAATTTAATATCCGTAGTCATATCTTTCTTTATCGTCTTCAAATTATCTAGGACCTTTGTGAACTTCAGAGCCTCAAATATATCGTCAAATCTCTTTTTTAAAACTGAGGCTTCACTTAATGGCCATAGACTATCATCTTGATGACAAAATATAACATAATCCAATATTGCTCTAGAAGCACCTAAGTAAATTGGAATTGATGTATCTAATTCTGCGTTCTTCGTGCTCATTGTAGTCTTCGTTCCCTTGTCCATTACTGCTAACTGACCGTCCAATGTTTTAAAAGTGTTTGATGAAACACCTGATCTGGTCTTCTTTTTGGTTAACTGCATAGTCCTAGTAGTAATCATGGATTTACCATTTGCATTCAAAAACGCCAATTTCACTTGGGCAGTTACAGAACTTCGAGATGCTATTGAAGGATCATTAACAAATGCTCCACCTTTAGAATTCGGAGGCAAATCACCAGTAGTTGCATATTTTAAACATTCAATAATTGTTGTCTTTCCACATCCATTCTGCCCACAAATTAAAGTTAATGGAAACCCGAATTGAATTGTTTCGTGTCTTTCTGAATCAAAAGATCGAATTCCTTGTATAGAAAGTTTAAATAAACTTGACATTTAAGATATGTACTTTCTTTAGTTAAAGAAATTGTTGTAAAATAAATTTTATGAATCGAGCGCCCCAATACAATACTTTTTAAATGCACGTCATCAACATCCCATTAATGTTTAATAATACATCTATTAACAATACTAACTACTAACTATAGGATTAATTTACTTGATATGGGTCTTAGCCAATCCACCAGTAATATCATCAATCGAACTTTCCTTCGAGTCTTCCTTTATATGGACACCTTCCAATTCTTTTTCTAATTCATCCAAATCTTCTTCTTCTTCTTCGCCTTCTTCTTCCTCTTCCTCTTCTTCTTCCTCTTCTTCGCTGTCGATTTCCTCTAAGTCATCTAGTTCATCAAGTTCACCCACACCTCTATTTTCGAAAATTTCATTAACCTTTTCGATAAATGCCGCGTCTTCCTCGAATCTATTACCATTTAATTCTAATGACTTCAACTTTGGTAATTTCTTCTCAATTGCTGTCAATAAATGATCTAAACTTGAAGCCTCTAATTCATTATATTGTATTTTCAATGTTGTGAATTGTTCTCTGATCATACCTTCTTCTAAAGCTTGACATAACTTTAAAGAACCATGAGGTTTCAATAAACAGTCATTAAGGTTTAATTCCTTCAAATCATTCCAGTTAGATAACGCGTTTGCTAATACAACAGAAGCCTTAGTAGTCAATGTGTTATCTTGTAAATCAATGATTTGCAATTTCCTGTTTTGAGATAAACCATTCTTAATCAAATTCATAATCCCACTTGGTCTGATACCGTTTTGATACAATTTTACAACTTGTAAATCCTCGTGGTTTCTCAACCCAATTGACAAATAGTTAGTAGAACCGTTTTCCAATCTGTTTCTACCACAAATAAATGTTCTCAATGAACTCTTACCTTGGCTCTTCTTTGCCTGTGATAACTTGTAAAGTGATTTACCGATTCTTGCACCAGCAAAAGGCCCCATACCGTTATTGGACAAAATCAAGTGTTGAACAGAGACCGCCTTCGCCAAATATTCTTCTATTGGATCAATGGTCTGCAAGCCAAACGCATTGTCACTCAAATTAATCAATTTCAAATAAGAACACTCCAAAAATGCTGGTAATAAATGCTGTAAAGATTGAGGAATCTCAGTATTTAATCTCCCTGTGTATAAATCCGAAAAATCAACTTCTACTAAGCTGTCCTTATGCTTCAAAATAGATGTTGCTAACGCCTCAGATGCTTCAATACCAATAGTGTTACCAGAGAAATCAAGTTTCAAAATCTTTGACTTAGAATTGATTTCTTCTAAATAAGGTTCAATATCCTTTTTAGAATCAAACTTCAACTGCTTACCACGAATAGAGTAAGTGTTTTCAAGAGTTACTCCTAAATCAACTTCAACAGATGCCATTTTCCTATATATTTGTCTCTACATGTAGTTGATTTCCTTTGTATACAATCAGTTAAAAAAATTCCCTGAGAGCAAACCATATTCACGTGATTCGTTTTTGAGGTCGACAACTTTAAAACTTTTCTCATCTACTAATTGATAGTATCTTGATTCCGGCACTTTTAATCTAAGTTAATAATATATAAAATGTCTGGTCGTATTCCAACTCCAAAGCCTGAATCTAAGCTCGAGCAAATCAAGAAAACTCCAGCTTTCACTATTGCTCTTAATGCAACTTTGTTCGCCGCTGGTGTCTTCTTTATCCAATCTCCATTGATGGAAATGTTAGTCCCACAATTATAGGTTAATCAAACGAAAAAAACATGATATATTAGAGGTATAATACTAGGAAAGTATAGCGTGGTATAAACTAAGAAGCGTCTTGAAATGGTATGATATCTAACTGTACATAAAACTTGGTGTATAAAGAATACACAATAAATGTATGAATAATATGTAAAGGTTGTCTGCGTATAGGGTTACTTGTGCCACTGTGGTACAATGTATGTTGTCTTGACTGTTGGTAGATTGATCGTTGTAGAATATTGGCTCGTATAGAATATTCTGGAAACTAGTTGCATTGTTTATCGAATGTGTCGTGGACTCGTATACAATCACTGTTGCCATGGTATTAGGCATGATCCACGGGACATATGTAGCTGGTGGCTACGTGCTAGTTATCAATAGGAAGATAAAAATTAAGCTCATTCGCCTTCAGTACAAACGATCCTGGAATGTCATTCTATCCCACAGAAACACTGTACTACGCGCATCAAAAACGGTTCAGCATTGTCTTTCCCGTCTCAACTATCCTCTGCTTTCTTCCTAATCCCCTGTTTTCCTTCCTAATCCCATTATCTCTTCACTCAATCGCCTATTAAAAAGCCTACTCTTTAAAAGTCACATGATTGTAGTCTTTTTCACTATTGCAACGTTGTATGGCCGTTGAAATGGCCAGAAACTCATTCTATTTAGGATAATTAGTCCTATTGATAGTGCTATAAAACTATGTTGGTCTGAGATTCTCCGGTATACCCATTGTATCGTCAAAGCGATACCAACATAAATAAGCTCATCACATAGCTCATTTTCTCGCTATACAATTTTGGAATTCTCTGTTCCTAGTTCCATCCGCTTCCTATTTCAGACAACATCCACTCAAACCCGTAGAATAATATTCTCACGTGTACCTCATACAACCTACACGTATAAAATGTCCACTAGCACTGGGTCCGAGAGATGTACATAATCACCCCTAGTCTACAAGCCCGAGGTAATACCCCACAGAATTCCAAGATACGAATTAACATATGAAAGTTGATCCTGCACCTTACCCATTCGCAACGGCCTATATGGGCGATACGGTATGCTTCCACCGACTTCTATCGTACGATAAGGTCTGTTTTGCAGGGGTATCATCCTCGCTTTAAAGACATATGGAGCATTAGCTTGGTACCAGCATATGGAACATGAAACTATGTGGCCTGACATCTATGAGTGTTGAAAACCTGACTGAAAAATGTGTCCAAAGTACCGAGCACTTTAGCCTCGGTTCACCCTTTATCAAATAACCTCGGTAACATGTGCCGAAGGGAGTTCTAGTGCGAAAGTATTATGGGCTATTACACCCTGAGTGATTGCCTGGATATGGTTTGTGGAGATCATACGGCAAGGAATTTATATAAAATAAACTAAAAGTTTCATCAAATTTTTGAAGGTATCTTTTTGTTCTCTAGGGTATATACTTTAATTGTAAAATTTACTATTAATTATCAACTACTCATCTATAAAACAAAATGGTTAGTGCTACTAATACAGTGAATTCAGGTGTACCACCAAACCCAGCAGCTCTGATCCAAGCTGAAAGAGCAGCATCCAAATTTGACCCCAAAGAAATGCACTATTTCTTAGAAGGGGGTGAAGAAAGAGCTGAAAAATTCAAGCAAATGATGCAACAAATGGAAAGAGATCCTATATTATCTGCTAATTTTCAATACTATGATTTGACCAAGGATCAACAACGTGAGTTGACAGCTTTAAGAATTGACCGTTTGACCAGATACATAGAAAACGAAAGTTTCGATGACTTCAACAAGAGAATGTCCCTTATGGGAGTTTTCGACCCACAATTATCCACCAGACTTGGTATTAACTTGGGTTTATTTGTTTCTTGTCTCAAGGGTAACGGTACTGCCGAACAGGTGAAGTACTGGGCTATGGACAAGTCAGCTGTATACATGAGAGGTATCTACGGTTGTTTCGGTATGACTGAATTAGCTCACGGTTCTAATGTTGCTGGTTTAGAAACCACTGCTACTTTCGACGAGGAAAACGACGAATTCATCATTAACACCCCACACATTGGTGCCACTAAATGGTGGATTGGTGGTGCAGCACACTCTGCTACCCACTGTACTGTCTACGCCAGATTAATTGTTGGTGGTCAAGATTACGGTGTCAAGACATTTGTTGTCCCATTAAGAGACTCCAACCATGACCCAATGCCAGGTGTCACCGTCGGTGATATTGGTGCCAAAATGGGTAGAGATGGTATCGATAACGGTTGGATTCAATTCTCCAATGTCAAAATCCCAAGATACTTCATGTTACAGAAATTCTGTAAGGTTTCCAGCGAAGGTGATGTTCAGTTACCTCCATTAGAACAATTATCATACTCTGCTTTATTGGGTGGTAGAGTCATGATGGTTCTTGACTCCTTCAGAGTTTCTGCTAGGTTTTCTACCGTTGCTTTAAGATACGCTATTGGTAGAAGACAATTCAAGGCTGGTTCTGCTTCAGACGACGAAAATGCTTTAGAATGTCAATTACTTGATTACCCATTACACCAACGTCGTTTGTTACCATACTTGGCTTTATCTTACATTATTTCAGCTAGTGCTGTCAAGATTGAAACCACCATTGAAACTACGCTTGATAATTTAGACAAGGCTGTTGAAGCCGATGACATGGGTGCTATCATGAAGTCTATTGACAGTATGAAATCATTATTCGTTGACTCTGGTTCCTTAAAGTCTACCTGTACCTGGTTAGCTGCTGAAGTTATCGATCAATGTAGACAAGCATGTGGTGGTCACGGTTACTCTGCCTACTCTGGTTTCGGTAAGGCCTATAATGACTGGGTTGTTATGTGTACTTGGGAAGGTGACAACAATGTTTTAGCCATGTCTGTTGGTAAGCAAATCATCAAGCATATTCTCGGCGTTCTTGACGGTAAAAAGGTCAAGGGTTCTGCAACTTTCTTGAACAACACCGAGCAATACTTAAATGACGAACCAGTATTGAAGTCTGTTGATGACTTGAAGGATCTTAAGAAGGTCTTACTTGCTATTGAAGTAGCCATCATTAGAGTTGCTTACCAAGCATCCCAAACCTTGAAGGAAAACAAAGGTGATTTCGATACCGTTGGTGCTGAAATGGTCACTCTTTCTAAGTTGAAGGCCCACCACTTCATGTTGGACGAATTCTTAAACAGAATTGGTTCATTTGAATCTAAGCAATTAGTTCCATACTTGGAATCTGTCGCTAAATTATATTCTGCTACCATCGTCTTAGAAAAGTTTGCCGGTGATTTCTTAGCCCAAGGTGTTTTCCCACCAAAATTAAACGGTGAATTGAATTCTAAACACATCCCAGAATTATGTAAGGAAATTAGACCTAATGTTGTTGCATTGACTGATTCTTTCCAACAATCTGACATGATAATTAATTCTGCTATTGGTTCTTACGATGGTAACATCTACGAAAACTATTTCGGTGTTGTTAAGGCAAACAACCCACCTTCTAAGACAAAGGCTCCATACTCTGGTGCCTTGGAAGCCATGTTGAACAGACCTTCCAAGGAAGAAAGAGAAAGATTCGAAAAGTCTACTGAAACTGCTAAGATCTTATCCAAATAATCAGCTTAAGAATATATTATTGGTAGGAATATACGGTGCATTATGATCTCGCTATTACATAGATTTTCTAATTAATGAAAACTGTTATTTATTATTTAATTTCTTACTTGTAGACAGAAGAAACAAATGACCTGCCCGATGTTGATTTCTTTCAAGCTTCATTATATTCGAGCCACTTACAATCTCGCTCGATTTACCAAGAGCTTCAAACCTATTTAATAACTTGTCATCTTGGCACGTCACTAATCACGGCCGTTCACGTCGTTTCCTATTAATACTACGCTCGTGGTAATGCACCCCATGTAGATTACGTAAAATCAATCTGCTTCTCCTATAAATATACAAGAACTCTTCGCTGGTGGTTAAAAGCATTACTATTCAAAGAGAACATGAAGCCTATATCTACTTCAGTTAGCATCTTGCTTAGAGCACTCCAGATCATATGTGCCATTATCAATTTTGGACTCGATATGGCGATATCTGGTATGCTATTAGATGCAACCACTTATGGTGATTGGTGGATATATTTTCTAATAGTTTTCCTGCTTACTATAATATATTTGATAGTGGTTCTAGTACCCGTATGCTTAAAACGAGTACCCCCATGGGTATTTTTTATGACCGAAACCATATACATGGTCTTATGGCTAGTGTATTTCGCAGCAATGGTTGCAGCGTTCAAAAGTAGATCCTGTTCCAAAGCGTACTACATGAGCGATACGTGGTGCAATTTGGAAAAACCAGTGATCGCGTTCGGCGCGATTAGTTGGTTGATTTTCTGTTTATCGTTGGTGTTACTTGTGGTATTCACAATTATTCCCTGTCTACGTACTCCAGGTATGCACGGCTTAATCGCACCCACTAGATTCAAAATTGGGGCCTTATATTTGCAAGAGCGCCCTGCAGAACTCACACACGACGTAGAACTAGGGTCCAATACTTCCCATGAAGGACCGGGACAATTGAAAGAGATCCCGACCCCATAATGCTATAGCATTCCAATTGACGAAAGGTCCGACTTGTTACCCGTGTTTCCACGTGCGGGTGATTCCAACCTACTCCACGTCTCCCTGGTTTGAAAACCTGAAACAATTGCATCCGGTTAATTCTGTTAATACTACCGTTGTATCTTAACTAGTAATAATGACTACTCTACAAATACACTAATCCAAGGTTCTAATCTTCGGTCAGCTTATTTTTTTTCTTGCGCCCCTTCTGTTTTTAGAGATTTAAAAGTCGATGCTTACTATGAAGTTCTATTCACAGAAAAGAATCCATTAATGCAATATAATATAAGGCTAGATGAGCAACTGAGTCCTTAAATCTCATCCTCTAATAGTCCGAATATCTTTGAGCGCATTCCCTCTGTAATCCTTATTAAAGTTGAGTAATCTATATTAACCACCTCGATCCGTCGGATACCCTATACTTCCATGCTATTATACGTACATCATTCGACAATAGAACAATTTTAGTATGGTTATTATATAATAGAGACCAAGAATCATAAGCTTCTGGATAAATCGGGTATTGAAGTTAACCTTATTGAACCGCTTAGCCAAACGGAGTTAAAAATAGTACCCCACAAAACAAGAGGAGGGGATCATATATAAAAATTACGCTAGTATTTATTTCAGTGAATTGCACCTTATATACCTTCTTTGTAAAATAAATAAGCATGTTTTCATCAAATACAGTTAATAGCAGTGCACCACCTAATCCATCTAAATCAATTCAAGATGAGAGGCTGCAAAATCAATTCGAACCTACATTAATGCATGAATTCTTGGAAGGGTCTCGTGAGAACTCCCAGCAAATCTTGAGGCTCTATCACCAAATGGAAAGGGATCCAATCTTGTGTTCTAGCTACAAAGATTATGAGTTGAATAGATTAGAGGAGAGAACCAAATCAGCGTTGAGAATCAATCTGTTGAGTCGTTATATTGAGGAAGATTCACCATCAGACTTTCACAGGAGATTGAATTTGCTTGCTGTCTATGATCCTTCTACCGGCATCAGATTAAACATCAATTTGGGATTATTTGTTAATTGTATCAAGGGAAATGGTACGGCGGCGCAGTATAAGTATTGGTGTGTTGATAAAGAGACCACGAAAATAAAAAATGCGTATGGTTGTTTTGGGATGACGGAATTGGGACATGGATCCAATGTCGCCGGATGTGAGACAACTGCCACCTTTGACGAAGAAAACGACCAATTCATCATTGACACTCCCCATATCGGTGCAACAAAGTGGTGGATTGGAGGAGCTTTACATGTGGCCACCCATTGTGTTGTGTATGCTAGATTGATAGTCAAAGGAAAGGATTATGGGGTTACAACGTTTGTGGTTCCATTGAGAGACTCCAACCATGACGTGATGCCTGGAATTACTATTGGTGATATTGGAGGGAAAATGGGACGTGAAGGTGTTGATAATGGTTGGATTCAGTTCTCTAACGTAAAGATCCCAAGATTCTTCATGTTGCAGAGATTCTGTAAAGTTTCCAGCAGTGGTGAAGTTGAGTTACCTCCATTGCAACAATTGGTATATATTTCATTATTAGGCGGTAGGGTTATGATGGCTGTGGATTCATACAGAATTAGTGCTCGGTTTATCACCATTGCCGTTAGATATGCTATTGGAAGAAGACAGTTCAAGAAAGACGGTGATGACGGTAAGGGTGATGACTTAGAATCCAAGTTGTTAGATTACCCATTACATCAACGTCGTTTAATGCCGTATTTGGCGTTGACGTATGCCATGGCGGTCGGGACTAAAAAATTGGAGAATGATCATGCTGCATGTCTCAAGGAATTTGATTATGCAGTAAATTCGAATGATAAAGTGGCTTTGAAGAAAGCTATAGAAACGACCAAGTCATTATTTGTTGACTCAGCATCTTTGAAGTCTACATGTACCTGGTTAGCCGGAGAATGTATTACTGAGTGTAGACAAGCTTGTGGTGGTCATGGGTATTCAGCATACTCTGGGTTTGGTAAGACGTACGGAGACTGGACAATTCAATGTACGTATGAAGGTGACAATAGTGTTTTAGGTATGTCTGCGGGTAAAGCCATCATCGCTAACACGGCGCAAGTGATCAAGAAGAACAAAAAGATTACCGGCTCCATTTCATTCTTATCAAATGCAAAGAATTATATCAATGAAGAATTGGTTTTAAAGTCCGAAGATGATCTCCAAAACTTATCCTTGGTCCTTAAAGCACTTGAAGTGTTAATATGTAGACTTGCAAATCAATCTATTAACGTTTTAGAGTCATTTGGCGACAACAACTGGGATCACGTTAGTTACCAGAGACTTGTACTCTCCAAATTGAGATGCCACCATTATTTATTACAGAATTTTATTTCCAGAATTGATGGTGCTGATGAATCTACAAAACCAATGTTGAAAGATGTTGCAAAAACATATGCATATACTAGTATATTGGAGAATTTCTCTGCTGAATTGTTGTCTTTGAATGTAACATCACCTAAATTTATAAACCGTTTGAAGTCTAGTGTGATCCCAATGTACCTTAAGAAAATGAGAAATCAAGCAATCGCATTGACAGATTCATTCCAACAACCTGATATGGTTCTTAATTCCGCTATCGGTAACTACAACGGAGATATCTACGAAGACTACTTCAAGATTGTTAAGCAGGCTAATCCACCAACCCAAACTAAGGCTCCATACTCTGCAACCATAGAAGCCATGCTAAACAGACCTAGTAAGGAGGAAAGAGAACGGTTCGAAAAGTCCGCTGAAACCGCAAAAATCTTGTCCAAGTGAATCTGTGCCTCGATGGCCCTACAAATGCTACTAGGAAGCTCAAATATTTAGACTTATAGCTACTCTCCATTTATGATTTTGATTAATATACACACAGTTCAAATAAACACTTGCATTGTCCTGTCGGCACACTTATATCCGTCGATCTGTATAGTGTGTGATTCTGTATACATCCCCGATCAATCAGACCATTCCCCATGTAAGCTTTAATATCGTACCAGGCAATATGATAATTCGCATTCTCGTCTTCCCTAAGATCTCTCTCGGTGGCCAAGCTGGCTAAGGCGCGAGACTGTAATGAGTACCTCAAAGTAATCTTGAGATCGGGTGTTCGACTCACCCCCGGGAGAATCTTTTTTTTATCTGCAGGAACTTGTATGTCATTTCCCCCATACTATTTAGGTGCGCTTAAGTAATAGGAGAACCTGGATATGCCGGTTGTATCTTAATTGACCATGTCATCCACAGAAATAAGCTAGGGTCGAGATATGCTAAATGAGCTATGTCTCGTGATAATATAGAACATTCATGACCAAAAGGTTATCTATGCTTTGTTTTATAGAGCGCTTATTAAAGGCCTCATCGCTAACTTAACGTCAATATACCCTCAGACCGATCAAGTCACAAAAGTTCACGGCTCGCACAAAACGAGTGGTAGAAAAACAAAATATATAAATGAGTGAACTCCCTATTCATTTAGAAGTATTTGTATCGTACTAAATTACATACAATTGACTAGTTGTTATTAATCCATATCGTTAAATTCGTTCAGCTGTCTAATTAAATATGAACTCCGAAAAGATCATTGCTATCATTCTTGGTATGTATAAATCAAACATTGGCTTATTCACTCGAAAATTACGATTGCTCGGTTACCTGATATCCAGTCGTAATTTGAACCAAAACACCTAGTGAAAACCAGGCGTCTGACTCGGTTGGTCGGCTGGTGCCATTTTTACATTCGCTTCAAATACTAATTTTACTAATTTTTTAGCCTTATTCTTGCCTCCATTAGCAGTTTTCATGAGAGAAGGAGCTGGTTCTGCTCTTTGTATTAATATTGTTTTATGCTGTTTTATCTGGTTCCCAGCTATTTTACATGCATTGTACATCGTCTTGAAAAATTAAGGGAATAACCCGAGGAAAATAATAGAGTAATTTTAGTTACGTATTAGTTATGATGCTTTCTAGTTAGTAAATACCAAATTCTTATACTGTATACAATCCCCCACTGTAATACCTCCCAGCATGGACCATCTTTTACTACGGTAGACGATACAAACATTAGTTTGCTTGCATGCACCGAATACAGGTCTGTTATTTTATTGTTCGGCAGATATTCCAGTGTTTGTATTGTAATCTCGGTAATTGGTTATCGACCAATTAAAAAAAAAGAAACAACTGCAAATACAGGTACTAATATACACGACCTACTGATAAATATATCTTGCAGGGAACAATTAAGGATTAATTAAATATATATGAATCTACAAAAAACGATATACCAAGCCAGATAGACCATATTAAATGACAGAGAAGCTGGAAGATATAGGGCAGTTCGAAGCATTTTCGTTCAAGAAAAAGCCACTTGTAAAGCATCTCAATAGCTCCAATATTCACTCAGTAATATCGGATATAATACCTCACTCATCGAGCAGGCCAATTTCCGCCACTAATGAGACAAGCAGCCAAGCGAATCATGAAAATGAGGGATATAACGACATTAACTATGACGAACAGATAAGAGCACCAAGGATGAGCAGTATCACGCGAGGATCATTTAAGGATCGGAATAACGCTAACGATGAATCATTCGTGGAACAGTCGCTGGGAAGAGAGGCCGAAGGATTATGGAATGTCAAAGAAGATGAGGTTGATGAAGGAGTACAGGATGACTCTTATATTCCCGCCAATTTTGATTTATCACAACCCACCAGGCGGTTTTCGACGCCATTTGAGGTGGCCACCGATATGCCCGACAATACGATATTGAGCTACACGAACAACAACTACATTTATGAAAGGAACCGTAGCACCTCAAGTTCGAATTCGAACTCTAACAACACTTCTAATTCGAATACCAACACGAATTTGAAGAATTTGAACTTGGATATGCTGCTGGAATCTCCTAATGAAGACTTGCAGCAGACGAGTTTGGTGAATGCCTTGAATAACTTGAGTAACAATGTGACATCACTGGAAAGAAACGAAAACCTGAAGACCAACCGCATCAAACACCGTACGCCCATATCTGCTAGTCATCTATCGGGAGTCGAAGGAACGGATTTACAACAAGTATACCGGTTGAAGAAGCCACTATGCATGCCAGCAGTTTTAAGACCTCAAAGTCTGACACCGACGTCGTCGTCACTGTCACCCAGCATGCCGTGTTCAGCTGAGACCTCTCCCAAGAAGATGAACTATTCTATATCGATTGACTGCGAATGTACTTCATCAGAATGTGAAAGTCATCAACCAGCAGATCCTACGCATAAACATTGGAAGCCCAATAGCTTTACGTCACATTGCATGAAGTGTTTTGAGGCTTTTGGCATTTTTTTTTCGCCTCAGCGTAGAAGAAGGCACCACTGCAGGTTCTGCGGTCAAATCTTCTGCTATGAGTGCTTATGGCAAAAGGGCTCTGTGGACCTGGAAGAAGATTACAAGCCTTCGGTGTCTACCAATGGCAGTGAGGTCAAACATGCCACAGTGCTAGATGCCAATGCTCGTTTTGTCATCCCCATATACACAAATTTGAAATCCAATCCAAAGATTCGCTCGCCTACAGATTTGTTCCGCAATTGCAAGGTTTGCAAGGACTGTGGTTACAACTACCAGATGCTTGTCACCAATGTCAACTCAAATTTGTCGAGCTTCTTAAACGAAAACAAAATCAAGAATTTCAATCTCCCATTCATCTTCATCGAAAACCCATATGTGAACAACCCCAGTTCTAGTTCCACGCCACATAACATCCACCAATTCAGCGACTCTCCTCAAGGTACCCATAAAGACGGCGCAAAATCTTCCAAGGTCGACGCTAATTCCATGCATCCCGATATCCTTCCTAATAAAATCTCCGCCACATCCGCCATTGCCGCAGGCATTACAGCATCTTCGACTAACGATACATCGATCAATAAAGCAATTATCGATGGCTCACTTGCCGATACTCGTAGGAAATCGTCGGTTGTAAGTGTGCCGTCTGATTGGACCTGGAGTTCTTTTTAGATGTTTTGCTGTCTCATGCGACACGGTGGTAGGTGAGATTGCAACCATTTTCTACACTTGCTATTACTACAGAACGAACACTTACTACAGAATCTCCAGAATATGAGATTCATCAATTCCGATTCCTGATGCATTTTGCCAACTATTGACTGTGACATTTAATTATTTATTTTTAATTCTACTTTCGTGACAATACATGTATTTATACCCAATCTAGCATAATTGCTGTAGTAGGTGACGCCAAAATTATAATAGTCGTGTATTTGTGAAGCGAAATTCGAACAATTGCGCTTCAAAATTTCATCACTAAGCGGTTAGCGAGGTTCAAAAAGTTCGCTTCTTGAAATGCTCTAAATCAATTATTAAGATACTATAGTATAGACATCAGAAAATTGTATTCTGAATAGATAAAGTGCCTGGGATATAACGTTAATTATATCAAACACACTTACGACGCGTTAATTATTTTTAAGAACAATTTTAATAACCTGATTAACAGTATTAATCAGATATTAATCTCAAGACGATTCAATTTAAATTCTTAATCGAAATTTACCTTATAGTGATTCATTGTATATTGACTACGGATCGATCATAAGGACAGTTGATATTATAAAAAAAGAAAGAATTCGAATTTCAAACTTCGGATTTCAATTTTCAAGCTTCACTCTTGATACCCACAAATAGTCGCCATGTACCAACAACCAAACCATTCGTATCAGTCGTCGGATTCATTGAGACGATTATCCGCCAACAATCCGTTCAGACAACACAATTTTGAACCACCCAGACACGTCAATAGGTCGGCGTCGTCGCTTGGGTCGGGTCATTCAGCGTCGCAAAATCAAGCGTTTGATGACTGGGTGGAAAAGAATAAACAGCTTATAGAAGAGTCTGACGACGAGGATCTCTACAGTCTGCCCAACCCGGTCGATATGAGTTTGAACTACACTGAATCTCGTGATAATTCTAGGCCAGCAAATGATCACTTCAGTGACCTTGCAAGACCAGCTTTTCCAACTACCGTTAGAGCTGGAAGCGATAGTAGCGTAAACTACAGTGACAATAGGTATGTATTTCTTATGTTTTTATTTACTAACGATGTGTTGGGTGTTTGTTGATTTTGATTATCTAAAGTGGCCGAGCGTTGTCTGTCAGCATTTGAACTTCGCACGGCTGCGCCTATTTTAATAGCAAAGTGCACACATCTCCACTTAAAACACCACTTTTGCTTGCTTATCAACAACAGTGGTACTTTCGAGATAAAACATTTTTCCGTACTACAACAAACACCCTACTACATCCATACTGATAACCCATTGGTATATAAGGATAACTACTAACTAATATTGATAGAAGAATGTCGTCAAATAATCCGTTTGCTTCTGCCCTCAAGGCACCAGACGCATACGTCCATCGCAGAGAACCACCACCAGTCCCACAGGCGAGAACCAATTCAAACACGCCACCGGCACGTCCTCCTAAACTCGATTCTGCCTTACCTCCTTCATATGAAGAAGCAGCAGGGCCTGAGAAGACAAGAAAAGAATATCCTAGGGAAAAACTGGGTTCATCATCGTCTAGACACCACTCGTCATCCAGACGTCATCGCTCTCACAGTGATAGTGGTACTGGTACAGGAAGACACAGTCGCTCCAACAGAGATAAGGAAAGACGTCACAAGAAGAAATCCCAACCAGAGCCTGTTAAAGCTAAGAACTTGGATACCATCGATAAATTGGACGTGACAGGATTCTTCGGAGGCGGTTTCCATCATGATGGACCATTTGATGCGTGTACTCCACATAGGAATAAGAATGTTAAAGCTGCTCCAGTAATGGCATTCCCTGCTGATGGTCCAAATAGCTCAATAAAGGGTGCGGGTGGAAACATTGACAAAAACGAACAAATGAATTTGGCATTTGGTAACTACGATGGAGAACAAGACCAATTAGTGGGTAAGACTTCACCAGTAAGACACCAGAGTAATGATAATCAAGTGCCATTGATTAAGACTAATAGAAAAACTAATGATGTCCCCACATCGTTATTCACACCAAAGCAAAATCCTTCTGTGATGAATTTCGACGCCAATATGAAGGCCGAACCAATACACGGTTCAACCACTGCTGGTTTAGGTTCTTCGACTTTTATCGATGGTGCACCTGCTCCAAGAGCTACCGATGATCAATTTTTAAGTGTCAACGGCGGTGGTTTAGGAAGAAAGAAATCGTTAGTTCAAAGATTACGTAAAAATAGTGGAAGTGAAAGTAGTAGCAGGAGAAGCTCCAATGACTTATATGACAGATCAGAAGAGAGAAGAAACTCTGGTGGATACGACAGCGAAAACGTTGAAGGGTCCGGTAACTCCTTATTAAGAAGAGTTAAGAGTTTGAAAGTGGGTAGAAAATAATCCAAGAAATCCTTCCGGAAATTAATACCACAATAATATTCATAAAGCAATTTATAGATTAATCTTGTGTCTTAATTCTTCGCTTTCTTCTTTGTTTATGATGTATTATAGATTTATTTGCTGAGTCCCTCAGTTGCTTCACGAATTCCCCTAATGACGACTTGTACTAATGATTTTATTATTACCCTATTATTATTACTAGCTTTCATTCATTATTTTCACTTATTATTTTTAGTGCTTCGGTTTTTATTCTAATTCTTACTTTGTTATTATGAGTTAATTAAACTACCATTGGTATTCAGTTTCTTAATGATATCTGTAGCAAAATATGTTCAATTGACGTGTCTGGCTCAAAATACCAATCACGGCTCACAAAATAATTTTCACGAATTTTTCAACTATTTGGCCTAATATATAACCTATAAATTAACTTTGAGAACGAAGATTGTAACTTGCATCTATGTATAGACTAATTAGCAAGGTAAAGCCTAGACAGCTGTTCATTTTGTCGCAGTTAGGATCATTCAGATCCGTTTCGTATACTTTACCGACCATACCTTTGTTAGACAACTTGAAAATAAGTAAAGATGAATTCAAAGGCTTATATTCAAATAATGCGGTTAATGAATTATGGTTTAAGAGAGGCGAGCAACTTGTGGAAGGCTTGAATCAATTGTTGGAAGAAAACAATATCAACCCACCATCAGATTTAAACGAATTAATTACCTTGACCTTCAATAAACCAGATTTGTATGGTATTTATTCATATGCTTCATTAATACATAACTTACAATTCAGTTTGGAATCCTTAAAGCCAAATGAATCAGAAGCTGGGAAATATTCTATCAAGAAAAGCGAGCCAAATGACTTATTGAAAACACCATCAATCAGCCAAACATTTAATAACGAACCAACTGATCCAAACTTGAGAGAATGGATCATTAACTCATTTGGATCAATTGCTGAGTTCCGTACTTTATTATTAAATTCAGCTAAAGGTATCAAAGGTGATGGTTTAGTTTGGTTGGTCGCACAAGCTACTTACTCTGAAAGTACCATGAGAAACAACCAATTTTCAACCAATGCAAATGACTTTAAATATAGTACATTATCGATCATGAATACGTATAATGCAGGTATAGTTGATGATTCTATCAGATCAGGCCAAATAACCAAGTTGAAACAACAAAAACAAGCTAAAATTGCTTCATTGAGAAAGAAAATACAAGAAAGAAAACATATCTCTAAAGACCAAGAGCACAATGAGGAATCTGAAAATGGAAATGAAGAAGATGCTTTAGCTGCTCTTGAAAGTGAAGCATCATTACTGAGCGACTTGACTTTAGGAACTGTTGAGGAGGCAGAAGCTGCCACATTATACTCAGACAGAAAATTATTGCCTTTGTTAGCTATTGATGCATCGTTAAGAAACTATTTACTTGATTACGGTGTTTTCGGTAAACAACAATATTTAGATAATGTTTGGGATTGTATCGACTGGGATGTTGTCTCAAAAAGAGCCCCAATCAGGTTTAAACAATCGTTTGAAATGGATTAAATAACATAAATAGAAATTCATCTTTTGTATATAGAATTTTATATTATAACTACAAATATAAATAAAGTTATCGTGTAATTAGTTTAGCTTTAAGAGCTCAGTTCTTTATGACTTTCTTAACAATCTTTTCAACTTCGTCCCAATCGTCAGTAGGAACTCTGGTCATTTCAATATTACCGAAGTATGATCTAATTGCCATTAAATCTTGGTAAGATTTCTGATCATGGACAAATGATATCGAAACACCAACTCTTCCAAACCTACCTGTTCTACCAATTCTATGTAAATAAGTTGAAGGATCAGGTGCACCTTTTTGGTCAACTGGTAAATCGTAATTAACAACCATGGAAACTGATGCAATGTCAATACCTCTTGCCAAAACATTAGTAGTAATCAAAACCTTGGATCTACCTTCACGGAAATCATCAATTAATCTATCTCTTTCGCTAGTTTCTAAGCCAGCATGTAAAATTGAACATTTGTGACCTTCTTTCTTCATCTTAGCGTATAAAATGTTTGCAGTATCTTTGGTCTTAACAAAAATGATGGAAGAACCAATAGTTAATAAACCATATAATTCGCTTAAAACTTCAAATTTGTGATTTACGGAATCACAATCCATGTATAATTGTTTAATACCTTCAACATTCAATTCCTCTTGCTTTAATTCTAATGAATTAGCATTTGGAACAAATTTTTCGGCATATTTACGAACTTCATCTGGGAAGGTAGCAGAAAATAAAACCAATTGAGTTGCCTTTGGAAGAGTTCTTTTAACTCTAACACATTGGTCTCCTAAACCTTGAGATTCCAACATATTATCAGCTTCATCTAACACAAATACTCTTACCTTAGAGGTATTTATAAGCTTTCTTCTGATTAAGTCCAATAATGTACCTGGCGTACCTACTAAAACATGAGCGCAAGTAGATTGACCTCTCTCCATCGCATCTGGAACAATTAATTGTGATGTAATCTTGGTGAATTTACTCATTGTTGTAATGACTTCTAGCGTTTGTCTAGCCAATTCTCTTGCGGGCGCTAAACAAATACATTGAGTATTTGGGTCACTTTCATCCACTCTAGATAACATGGTTAATGAAAACGCCGCTGTCTTTCCGGTACCCGATTGTGATTGACCGATCATATTTTTAGGGGGATTAGAAATTAACAATGGTAACGCCTTTTCTTGAATCTTGGATGGCTTGTTGAATTTCATAGCATATAATCCCTTTAATAATTCAGGACTCAATCCTAATTCTTCGAAGGATTTAACTGAATATAATGGTGAGTTTGGATCCGCTTGTAAATCAGCTAATTTAACCTTAACTTCGTAACTGGATTTGATTAAATTGCTCTCCGCTTCTTGTTCTTCACTTTTTGTAGCATCTTCTGTGTCCTCTGGTTTGGATTCTTCTTTAGGTTCAACCGCCGGTTTTATTGTTTCTTTGGTCTCATCATTTGATTCATCTTCTTTTGCATCACCTTTTGGTACGGTAGCTTCTGCCTGTTCTTTCTTGTCTAAAGACAATGAAGAAAGCAATTCAGCTGCATCAGATTCGACTCTCGTGTCTTCTTTTGACATGTTTATTATATCCTAGTCAAATATCACACTGACATATCTTATACTATACGAATACAAAATTTCAATATTACTGGAAAAAAAACGATCACGTGATGTGATTTGCAAGCTAATGTATATTAGCTGGTTTTTTTCTTACGAAGCACAATCCTTATTAGCTCAGTTGGTAGAGCGTTCGGCTTTTAAGGATTAAAGATTTCTGTCAAAGAGTCGACCGAAATGTCCAGGGTTCGAGCCCCTGATGAGGAGTCTTTTTTTTTTTTTTTGCTAGAAAATGAACGGTAAGAAATCATCAGAATTCTACAATTGATATAAGTACGAATTCTATGATGTCCAAGGAATATCCAGGATTGATAAAGTCGTAAAAATATATACGGTGATTATGATAATAAATTGTTCAAATGAGACTGAATCACAAAAAAGTTGATGGTTCTCACTAAACAAATATGCTCACTAAAAGAACCGTGTATGTCTACCGATAGTTCTATAGCTTTCATAAACGAACCAATAATTATATGAGTAAAAAATCTTTTGTTAAAGGGCCTTCTGGTTTGCCAAAGGAACCTAACAATGATAAGCAATGGAATTATTCATTAGTAAATATATGGGTGGCTTCGCTTGCACTTAAGTTATTATTATCAGTTGGCTATCATTCGACAGACTTCGATGTACATAGGAATTGGTTAGCCATAACGTACAATTTACCGATATCTAAATGGTATATTGAAAATACTTCTCAATGGACATTGGACTACCCTCCTTTTTTTGCATATTTCGAGTGGGTATTGGCTAGCTTCGTACCTGATTTTGTTAAAAGAGATGGATGTTTGAAGATAGTTGAAAGGGGATTATACAGTTTACCAACAATTTTATTTCAAAGATTGTCAGTGATCGTGAGTGAGGTTGTTTTATTTGTTTCATTACAATGGTATATTAATTCCTCGAAGACCCACACTGAAGCTAGAAGAGCTTTTGTTGTTGCATCAAGTCTCGTATTATCTCCAGGTTTATTAATTATTGACCACATTCATTTCCAATATAATGGTATGTTATACGGAATACTTGTGTTGATGATAAATTCAGCACGGTTGAAGAAATATTTGATGTGTGGATTTTGGTTTTCAATATTAATTTGTTTTAAGCACATCTACTTATATTTAGCTCCGGCAGTTTTCATTTACTTACTTCGTGCTTATTGCTTAAACTTAAATTTTGGAAAGACCAAATCTACAAATATTTTAAAGATAGTCAGATGGAAGAATTTATTCAAGTTATCATCAATAGTCATTGCTGTCTTTTCTATTGCATTTGGGCCCTTTATTTATTATGAGGTTATGCCTCAACTAGTTGAAAGATTATTCCCATTCAACAGGGGATTAACACACGCGTACTGGGCACCTAATATATGGGCAATTTATTCTGCAATTGACAGGTTGTTGATTCAAATATATTACAGAATACCAATAAGTCGGCCAATCTTGTTAAAAATCTTTAAGTTCAATCCTCAATACTTATGGGATTCTAAATTGGTTAATAAGACAACAAGAGGCTTAATCGGAGATGTTGAGTTTTTAATCTTGCCTACAATAACCTCGCAATTGACATTCTTCTTAACATTATTTTATCAAGTTATGGCTTTGATTCCTTTATTTTTACAGCCTACATTTAGAAGATTTATGGGATCATTAACCTTGTGTGGATTTGCATCGTTCTTATTCGGTTGGCATGTTCATGAAAAGGCTGTCTTGGTGGTCATTTTTCCAATGACATTTTTGGTCAGTAGGGATAGGGACTTACTAGGACCTTTCAATTTACTAGTAAGTTGTGCATATATTTCCTTGTTCCCATTGATTTTCACTTGCGATGAATGGCTCATTAAGATAACCTACACGTTATTATGGTATATTGTTTACTACTTTAGTCTTAAAAAGGTTGTGAGATTGCCAAAAACAAATGGTGGCTATGGCAAAGTGATTTTAGACAGAGTTAATAATGGTTATATTTTGGGTTTGGTGCCGATCATTACCATTGTTAGTCTCATGGACTTGTTCGAACATAAATTTGAAATTTTGAGAAAACTACAATTCATGAAGCTATTAATTATTAGTGTCTACTGTGGCATTGGTATCATAAGTAGCTGGAATGGTTTTAGTTGGCTATACTTTGTTGATGAATCCATCTGGACAGATGAATAGACCTGAAATATTCACAATAACTCTAATTAATATGCTTTGCTCTATTTTTACACTGTCTTAATATATATGTCTTGAAAACATTTGTAGAAGTATAAGATAATGAACATTTAGAATTCTAATTATTGCAGCCAAGTCCCTTTGTATCTCTGAAATCAACATGTTGCTAAGAAGGTTTCGTGGTCTAGTTGGTTATGGCATCTGCTTAACACGCAGAACGTCCCCAGTTCGATCCTGGGCGAAATCATCTTTTTTTTTTGTTCGATTAAAGTTACAAAGTTACAATTACTTATATCTTTTCTAAATAGAATTTTTCTATAGTCCATAGGCCCAGTCAGAAAATAGATAACCGTTGCGTGTGATCGCATAGTATAAGCTATCAAATTTTGCATCTCTCGGATAAACTCCGACAGTGCGCATGAAACGATTGCTGTTGCTATATCCCTTTCCTGCATCATAAAACTTGGTGTAGCAACCGTACTATAGGATTACTATAAAAAGGAACGGAAACACTGAAATATTAGTATGAATCATAATCATCAAAAATTTAAAGATAAACAATACAATGCTGCAAAATACGGAAGAAACAATTAGTTTAGGTACATATTTATTTGAAAGAATCCACCAATTGAAAGTTCAATCAATTTTTGGTGTTCCAGGAGACTTTAATCTTACGTTGTTAGATAAAATTGACGAAGTGAAGAATTTGACATGGAGAGGTAATGCAAACGAATTGAATGCCGCATATGCTGCAGATGGATATAGTAGAGTTAGAAGTACCGATTCTTCGGTAAATGGATTTGCATGTCTTGTGACAACTTTTGGGGTTGGTGAGTTATCGGCTTTGAATGGTATTGCTGGATCGTATGCTGAACATGTGGGATTGTTACACGTTGTTGGTATCCCAGCAACTTCTGCTCAACACAAGCAATTGTTATTGCACCACACATTGGGTAATGGTGACTTCACTGTTTTCAGACGCATGTCTTCCTCCATTACGCAAACTACGGGGATGGTAGCGGATGCGGCTACTGGTCCACAAGAAATAGACCGTGTTATCAGGGAAGCTTATATTAATCAAAGACCATCATATTTAGCTTTCCCAACCAATATGGTTGATTTAGAGGTTCCAAAGTCAGCTTTGGACACACCTATTGATTTGTCAATTCCTGAAAATGACCCTGAAACGGAAGACGAAGTGCTTGACAGAGTCACGAAATTAATTTCTAATTCGAAGAATCCTATTATTTTGGTTGATGCGTGCTGTGCAAGACACGGTGCTACTGACGAGGCAAGGAAGTTAATTGATCTCACTAAATTTAAGTTTGCAGTAACCCCAATGGCTAAAGGGGCTAAGTATATTGATGAAGATCATGAAAGATTCGCTGGTGTATACGTAGGTACATTATCTTATCCCTCGGTAAAAGAGCAAGTTGAATCATCCGATTTAATTTTATCCTTGGGTGCTATGCTTAGTGACTTCAATACTGGTTCTTTCTCATATTCTTATCAAACAAAGAATGTGGTTGAATTTCATTCTGATTATACTAAAATTAGATCTGCAAACTATCCAAATGTGAGAATGAAGCATGTATTGCAGAAACTTTTAAAATCAAATAAATTGAAAGAAGCAGCAAGCAAATATGAGCCTGTCAAAGTTCAAAAGGACCCATTTCCTGAAGAAACGAAGGATGAACTGTCTAAAATTACTCAACAATGGTTATGGAGTAAAGTGTCTGGTTGGTTAAGAGAAAACGATATAGTTATTACAGAAACTGGTACTTCATCATTTGGTATAATTCAAACACAATTTCCAAAAAATACTTTGGGTATTTCTCAAATATTATGGGGCTCAATTGGATACACTGTTGGAGCAACATGTGGTGCTGTTATGGCCGCTGAAGAAATGGACCCTAATAGAAGAGTCATATTATTTGTCGGTGATGGTTCTTTGCAATTGACTGTTCAAGAGATTTCATCAATGATTAAGAATAAAACCAAGCCATACATTTTCGTTTTAAATAATAATGGTTACACTATCGAAAAATTAATTCATGGTGAAACTGCTGAATATAATAGTATACAGCCTTGGGACCATTTGAAACTCTTGGAAACATTTAAAGCCGATGACTACGAATCTATAAGAGTTTCCACTGTTAAAGAACTTCTGGACCTTTTTAGTGATCAAAAATTTGCGAAGAATGACAAGATTAGGTTGATAGAACTTATGTTTGATACAATGGATTCTCCTCAAAACTTAATTGAGCAAGCTAAAATTACAGCTCAAACCAACTCAAATTGATTTATTGTATATAATACATAGGGATTACATGAATATGACAATTGTAATTATTATAATCTAATTTTTTGGGTTAAAAATATAATCAGGGAATAACGATTCCCAATCTTCATTGAATAAATCTGATGTCATTAATACTGGAGGGCCACCAAAAAATTCTAAATTTTCGTCGAATAACAACTCAGTATTTGCATCTGCTATCGTCCTATCATAAACATGGTCATTTTTATCCGATGTATTAGAAATTGCGTGCAGTGATGGTCTTGGATTGACTAATGACGTTGCAGGCTCATTCGGTGAAAAACTTCGGTGTTCAATATACTCCTGGCCTGGCAGTGGTATCGATGGAGGTCTCTTAAAGTTTGTTGTGGGTTGAATTTGCGAATCATTTTCAAGCGGCCGTGGTAATTGAAAATGTTCCCGGCCGTTTTCCTGTTGTGGGTCATTTGAAATATTTGGATATTTGGTATTGAATAGATTCTCAGAGTCTCCGTTATTAGTATTCAACGAGCCAGTATGATTCTCCTCTTTCTTCAAATCGTTCTCGTTACTATGACTGTATTGTAATTTTATTTTAATCAATTTGTAAGATTTTTCTGCTAATTTCCAGGTCCGAGAACAACCATGCAATACGCTCATAAAGAATTGCAATCTTTCCTGCTTTTTGTTCACCAACTGTTTACTCGTATTAGTAAGTAAAATTACTGAAATAGAAAGAATAGAACAATAAACCATGAATATTGAAGCTCTTCTTAAACCATGAGTCTCTTTAAACCGACGTATAGCAACATATAAGTCTTCAATTGCATTAGTACAAATAATTGCAGGTGACAAATGGTGCTCCTCTACAGCAGATTTGGAAATGCCAACAAAAGGTCTATTGAGACACAATATAAGGATATAGTAGTAATACCTGATGCACAGAAGGGTTGGATTATCAGCAGTTTCCTGTAAGAAATTTTTGTCCCAAGCCAAGTCTTCGGGCAACGATTCTTTCCATTTCATTATACGCATATTATATTCAGAAAGCTTTTTCATTCTTGACAATAAATTCAAATCATCGTTGTTTTTATCGTGATCATCCTCTGACCTGGTAAAGATATCATTTAACATACTATCTGAAATGTTGATTAACTTAATTACGTTTTTTAATGGATTTGATATTTGAGTATCTTTCTTAGCCTCGCAATTAGGGTCAAGATATCTGTAGTCATCTATCCATTCTAAATCAGGTAAATCATCAGTTTCAGGTATAGTAGCATCAGATATCTTCAATAATGAAGGCCTGCCTAATAATAAGCTTATGAAATGATCGGCCATATAACTGCCCCAATAAATTCTGCTTCTAATAGCCACATCTAATGGACTTAGATCATCATGAGACTTTAAAAACCATACCTCTGGGTTTAATTGAAAGCCAAGATCAAAGCCCATTCTCATAGCATTACCACTGAGCATCCATCCAGAAGAATTGGACCCATCACAAATATCATAAAATGCAAGCAATAAGAAACTCTGTAATGACGTGATTGATGGGTGGTCCAATTGTGATAAAAGAGAAATTCTTGCTTCATTATAAAACTCAATGGATCTCGAGTATATTTTATCGTCGTCAGACATTCTTGATCCTAAAGCGCAAATACTCAACACCAAATTTCGTGAACAATATAAACTGTCTGGTTTGGGATCAAAAAAATCAATCAAGAAGGCTTCTCTAAATATGAACATGTTATGGTCAGGATATTGCCAAGTAAAGAATAACTTTAAACAATGCAATATACTGGGATCTTTATTAAAGTTGTTTATAGATGGCTCTTCTCGCTTTGATGGTGCTTTTGAATTCCTGGTTATTAAGTCATTATCGTAAACACTTGTAGGTCCATAAACCGACATACTAGAATTTTTTATATCATGTTTTGTCGAGTTGTATGCATAGTTATCTATTTCCGACGAGCTAGTATTATAATCCTGAAAATCCTTGCTAATAAAATCGTTTAGATCTGTAGAATCGATTAATTTTTGTTTTGCTTCTATTGAGCCAAGTTTTTTAAACTTTTCGAAAAAATCCGTTATATTCTCTATTTGTTTTTCAAGATTAGAAACATAATTAGCTGGTGGTCTCTTTTTTCTCATGTCGTTAACAGTCTTAATGCAGTCAGCACCAACTTTTGTACAATTTGAACATGGAAATTCAAAGTTGCATTTAATCTTTCTTGTCCGGCATCTTTGACAGGACAATAATCGAGGGTTTGTATTACTGTCTTTTCCCTTGTTATTCGCCTCCTGTTTCCTTTTTTTAGGTACTGAAGACATATAGTAAGTGTTACCTTCTTGATATCTGGGGATAAAGATGAGTTGAAAACAAAAAAAAAACTACGGTGCGAATGTAGAATAAAATATATTCCTAAATCAAATAACTAATTAAATTAAGAATAAAATTTGATAAGTTGTATAAATTACTGCAACTATCCCAACAACTATTAAAATATAATCAAATATTTTAAAAAATTTACCCTTCCAATCATTTTGTCTATCAAATTTATAAGTTTTCAAATGAATCAAGGGCGGATAGATATACACGAGTGGAATACATGCAAAACATCCGTTGAAGGAAATGAATTTATCAATGTTATTTGCATTCAAATATGCGATTATGCATACCGAGCTAATTAATATAGCTCTGATTAAATTCTTGAACCACTTAATTGACGTACTATATTTGCCTGAAAAGTGATATAATTTACCTTCATCATCCTTTTTGCGGGCAGTTGTTGTATTATCATTGAATAAGTTCGAATTGAAAATTAAGGATTCTAAAATCTTAGTTACTGGAAACAACTGGAGGGGAGCTGTTAAGAATACCGCTAACGAGTAAAGTAATGATATGAGTTGGACTGATAACTTACCCTGCGGTAAATTCAAAATAATGATTGACTTTACTTGATCACCAAATGTTGAATATCCAAGAAGACCAATTGCCATGAATAATGTCGTTATAACACACATACTAATAGATAAAACCATAGGGAATTTCTCTGGTTGAGCCATCGAAGATTCAATCGGTAGAATCAATCCAATACCTTCAAATGAAGTAACAGCGACACCGATTAACATTGACCAGTTACTAGAATTGAAATTGACTATATTATCACCCATACCTTCAACAGAAATTTTCATAATTGAAAAATAAAATATAATTATTAACCCTATAACAATGAAAACCGACGATATCAAAGAAATTATAGATAACTTGGCTAAATTTCTAATGAGAACCAAAGGTATTAATAAAATACATTGGAGAATAACTATATTCCGTGTACTCACGTAGTTGGCAGAAAAATGCAAGTAGTTTTCGATAAAAGAAATCACATTTTCTGCTGTAAATAAAATATACGTAGCCACAAATCCAATTTGGGACATCAATATGGATATTAAAATGCAGATTCTTAACGGTTTTCCATGAGTCTTAAACCCCAATTCACCGAATGACGATTTGTTTAATATTTTTTTAGAACGAATTAAAATAATATAACAAAGGAATGTCAATATACCAAAACATAACAACATTACAGAAGAAAACAAAAGACCTCCATTAGAGAAAGCTTTAGGTAAAAACAATATACCTGAACCCACCAACGCTTTAAAAACCAAGAAAAACGTTTTGGGAACGTTGGCTGCACCCTTCTTTTCTGGTCTAGGTCTACGAGTAGGAGGTGTCCTACGTTCATTTGATAGCAATAAAGACTCTTCATCAAATGTTTCCTCGTATTGTTCTTCATTATCATCATCATCAAAATTCTCCCCCGCAAAACGACCATATATGCTCAAAAACTCAACAAAATTTCGAGTCAAGAAATTGGGGGGCTCCGTATTTTCCTGCAACGACTTGTTTATTAAAAACTCTCTTCTAAATCCCCCTGGAATATTTATGTCGCTGGCGGTGGATTGTCTTCTAGACTGACTTAAGAAGTTCGAAAACGAGGATGATCTCGTTCTCCTTTTCAGGTTCGCCAACTCCTTGTTGCTTACATTTTCAAGCTGCAGGTATAGATGTCGAGCTACATCTCCTCCTTGTAATTTTAAAGTATCTTCTTGGTTCACTAAATGCTTATTTATGGTTTTCAAATTAGCATTCTGGGAGTTGATATTCGAGATTTGCTCCTGATAACTTCTATCGTTTGAAGAGTTCGAATGATACGAATTTTCGGACGCGCTATGTTTCAATGTCCCTGGTGCTGTATCATCCATTGTCTGTGTATTCAATGACTCGATACTGTCTTTTTTGCTCATTTGCAATTAAAATATATTATTATCTTATCAAAGCCCATGTTAGCTACTCATAGAATTCACCACCTATTTTGGTCGTGCGATTTACGAATTCCTCATTGCGATGCCTTCCACAGGTCGAATAATTCAAGGCCCTAATGGCTCTTCTTCATGGGGTCATACTATTAAGAATTGAAAATATGCAATACATCTCTATTTCCGGACTATTATCCATAGCGCATTTACGGATCGTTCTTCTGATGATACATGGAAAAACATACTGTCTACTCCGCTGATGGCGGATAAAGATATTTTCCTGTCATCTTGTAGCATTATGAACCCCCTCCTTCGGACGCATTTCCAAAATAGAGAATGCCACTTTGTATGACCTAAAACAGAAACTAAGTACGAGATCCTTGCACCAAGCCAAATCATGGCGATGCTTTTATGAATTAATCACCCATTGCAACCCTGCACCACTTTGCCGTTCCAGGCGGGTTATTCTTGGTAACCAAGTTTCTCCATAATTTCTTCGCCAGCGTATTGTACGCCGTAATTTCCTTGGAATAGCCTGCATCTCTTGTATTGAGTGAAAGCCTCCTACCAAGGAAATTGGCAAGCGTAATAGGTTGAATGCTTACCATTTTCCTTAATAGCCGTCTCGTAATTTCCCGGTAAACGAATTTAGTCACCCCTAATTGGTCTTGTGACCGTCTCGAGCACAGTCTGGCTCGTGTAGCCGGCCTTAGCTAGACGACGACATTTCAAGACTTACGGAAGTTTATTAAACCTTATTTTCCTTATGCATAGAAGTAACTTCCACTGCGCCAAAAGTGCATTTATCCATTTGGGTAATGTTCACTATCCCCGCGGCCCATTTTTAAGGACTTAAGTCGTATTTGCATCTGCTTTAGCCATTTGGTATTTAAGCAACTAATTTCCAAATATTTACTTTGTTGATAAATAGTAATATACTATTAAAAGTTAAAAAAACGAATTATACATAGTTTGTGTTAATATCATACAGGTTTAACACGCATTCAAGTGTACATGGACAGAAACTACTGGATAGCTACTGGAAAAACAACATAGATCTAGTGTGAAAGAACAATACAGCTAAACTACTGGATAGAAGCAAAGGCTCTCACTAAATAAAGAGACAATTACGAAGTAAAGAATACATAAAACTGAAAGGAAATCTATAATAATAAAATATAATACCACTAAAATGCATATCGGGTTCAGTTACGACGATTTAACGAACTACAAAACAACAAACGCTCCAACCTTCACCCAAAACATAGACTACATGTCAGAACACACCATCAACGAATATAATTTGCATCAGTGCTGGAAGCGTAATAATTCACTCAGGGTGCGGTCCCAGCAGGACGATATCAGTTCCGTGATACCGTCGAGCGCTTCCAGGCGCTTGGAAAATGCATGCTGGAGACGGTGGTACAAGCAAATGAGGGAATTACCTGAGGTGTCACCTAGCTGTATCAATTGGAATAAGGATGAAGACATCACCTGGTTATACGGCCCCAAGTTTGATACGGATGATTTAAAGATATGCTCGGACCATTTATCGGTTGGCGCCTGTGATTCCGCGAATGCGAAATGCGACTCGAGACACAGCTCGGTAACCTCCTTATCGTCAACATCCTCACTTCGCACGATGGACAGTGATATTTCAATGGATTTTGATCGCGCGCAGGATCCTCGGCTCAGTTCCGCCTCAAAATCTAAACCCTTCAAAAAGGTCAAATTTAGCTACATAATAAACTCTCGTGAAATCATAAATGGCATGTCCATTGACTACGGTTTTTTGGACGAAATGTGTTTATAGTTACCAAAAGTATATATACCAAGTATGTACAAGTCATATACCTTTAATTAATAATCGTCATTACTACTCGTTAATCGATAATGTGTACTCAGCGATTTGCTACTTTTTGCTTCCCGTATCCTGTACTTGCATATGTCCGTAAGATTAATGGCCCGGTATAAATGTCGTTTCTTTCGCCGTACGCTGAAAAGTTCCTCCTGACCGCCCACCTAGTTCTTTATACCAAGGATCTTGGTATACTTCCGCAACGACATTTTGTATGCGCAAGGTTCTCGGATTTTAGTCTGCCCGCATGAAGGGAACTACCGACGTACTTGTTTCGGGAGTGCTGAATGCATGAGGTTTCCCGGCTAAGGTCATTTCTTATTGCTCTTTTGTTGAGCATACATCAATTTGACGTGATGAAGAAATTTGATGTTAAAGCTGAGAATTCGGTGTTAGGCCCCTTACGTTTACGGACCCACCAAATGGTTTCAACTAGCATACCATTCCCAATATACAGAGGACGAGGTTCCGAAAATACTAGCTATATAATATATTTGCTCTCGAAGATTCTAATTTTTTCAAGATTCTCCTCCCATGCCAGAAATAACAAGCCCTATCATTCATTACAAGCAAAGGCTGATCAACCAAGTACTAAGTACGGCACCAAGCTATCACTAACAGGTTATAGCAATCAAATATAACAATGCCAACCCCGGAGACATTGTAGGAAATAGGGTAGTTATCGCAATGAACAAATTTTAACAATAACAGCGCGCAATGACGAATTTAAGCGCAATTGTGCAATTACTTCTACTCGCAGAAGCTTCTATAGGCATATTTTCTTCTCTCATTTGTTGTTTATATTAAACCGGATGATTAAGACAGTCGTATATACAGAACAAAACTTCTAGATTGGTCCCCTTTTCCAAAATTACCCACATCAGTTTAATGTCCGGTGGGTGAGATTCATTTGATGGGTGAGATAACCAACCGAAGATCGCACAGTATGGCCCAGTGATCCTGGCACCATATACTTCTGCCCCATCTACGTTTGTGAAATAACATTGATATCCCACCTTTTCTAAAGCAATTCCTATTTACTAGTATTCTATAGCAAGTTACTGTATGAAATTTAACGCCTAGTTACAATAAGTTTTATGAAGTAATTGTGGTGCATATTAGAAATTGATAAATAATGTTCTATTTTGATTTCCACCATAACTGGAAAAGACAATGTTTTCCGGGCTTCTGAAGAGGTAACATTGGTAACATTATAAGCATTACTCCGGTTGAATCATCTTTTTTGTTTATTTCTCAATTCTTCTTGCAAGTCCAGGTTAAATTTTGGCAAGGAATTAACATTGTTCATAATTTGTACGTTCTGTAATAAGAATTCATCATGATTTTTCATTAATATTTCCAATGGCTTCTTCAAAGCTTTTATCGATTGGGTTAGCGATTTATATGGATCCTCTTGGCTTGACATGGAGCTGAATTTGTATAGTCGAAGACGTGTTTTATTCTCATTTTTGTTTTTTTTTTGTTTTCTCATCAGATCCAAATTTGTGTTTTAGTTCTGCTTTCTATACTGTGTATATACTGCTTTCGTATTATTTTGATGAATATTACGTGACAAATGAATAGCGATGACGATTCCATATTTAATGATGATTTAAACGACTCAGAAATTACTAATCTTATCCACAATATTCCTCTGTCGCTGTCTCTGTGTCTGTCCCTGAAGAATAAGTTACAAAGAAATCTATATGGAGAGATAATTCCTCAGCAGTTCGTTGAAATTGATTCATCCAAAGATTATACAGAGTTACCTCCTACACACCATGCTCTTAATTATGAAAATTTATCCTCATATATTTATCCCACTAACTTTGAAGTTCGTGATTATCAATTCAACATAGTGCAGCGTGCGTTCTATGATAATTTATTGGTTGCATTACCTACGGGTTTAGGTAAGACATTTATTGCTAGTACTGTTATGCTTAATTTTACTCGATGGTTTCCTCGAGGCAAAATCATCTTCATGGCTCCCACAAAGCCATTGGTAGCGCAACAGATTAAAGCATGTTGTGGGATTACAGGTATCCCAACTTCAGAAGTGGCGATTTTGTTGGACAAATCCAGAAGAAATAGAGCAGATATATGGGATTCGAAGACGGTATTTTTTACTACACCTCAAGTGGTTGAAAATGATTTGACAGCGGGTATTGTTGATCCCAAACAAGTTGTTTTATTAGTGATTGATGAAGCTCATAAGTCCAAAGGTAATTATGCTTATAACAATGTTGTAAAATTCATAACGAGGTTCAATATTTCGTTCAGAATTTTAGCTTTAACTGCTACGCCTGCATCTGATGTTGAAGGTGTTCAAGAAATTATTGATAACCTTTCAATTTCAAAGGTTGAGGTCAGAACAGAACAGAGTATTGATATCACTAAATATATGAAACAAAAAAAAATTGAGAGAGTAACTGTCTCACCCTCCGTAGAGATATGTGAACTTGTTGATATGTTATGTACTGCAATTCAACCGGTGTTATCAATGGCAAATGAGCGAAGAATATATGATATGAGTGATCCGCTGAAAATCAATGCCTTTCAAGTTATTGACGCTTCTCAAAGATTATTAAAGAACCCGACTATTCCAGAGGGTCTAAAATGGCAGAACTATTTCATTTTACAGATTTTGAACGTAGTAGGTCAAGCATTGAGAAGGTTAAATATATACGGAATAAAATCATTCTATAACTATTTTGACCAAAAACATAAGGAGTTTACAACAAAATTTAAAAATAAAAAGTCAAATAATCAAACAGCAGCCCGATTTTATTTTCACGATAACATTAAATTAATACTTGATAAGTGTAAAGAGTTAATTGCAGATGATAATTTTCTAGGGCATCCCAAGCTTGAAATTCTAATCAACGAATTGGATGAATTCTTTAAGGAAAATGAAGTAAATGATTCTAGAGTAATTATTTTTACTGAATTTAGAGAATCTGCACTAGATATTGTAAGTTCGATTGAAAGAATAGGAAATAACTTAAGACCGCATATTTTCATAGGTCAGTCTAAAGAAAAAGAAAAATTCGATGAAGAAGCATATTTAAGTAAGGGAAAAAAGGGTAAGGCGAAAGGTAAGGCTACAAAAGGCAAGCAGAACAGCAGTGAGACTTCTGAGAGATCAACTTCGCGTACGAGTTCAGAAGATGCTCAGATTAAAGGTATGAATCAAAAGTTACAAAAAGAATTAATTAAAAAATTCAAAAAAGGTGAATATAATATATTAGTCGCGACGTCTATCGGTGAAGAAGGTTTGGATATTGGTGAAGTTGATTTGATTGTCTGTTATGATTCTACCAGTTCTCCGATTAAGAATATTCAAAGAATGGGTAGAACAGGTCGTAAAAGAGACGGTAAGGTACTTTTATTATTTGCTGGAAATGAAGAACTGAAATTTGATAAGGCAATGGCTGGATATGAATTTATTCAACAGCATATAATGAATGGTAGGCTAATCACGTTAGCTCAAAGTAACCGCATAATACCGAAAAGTTATAAACCAATAGTTGAAAAGAAGTTTATTGAAATTCCTGAAGAAAATACAGAAATTAAAGCTGAAGAAGATGAGGATGAAATTATAAGAATCGCTACACTGTATATGAATAATAAGGGCAAAAAAGTGGCCAGTTCCAACTCCAAATCTAACTCCAAATCTAAAAAAATTGAAAAGAGGTTTTTCATGCCGGATAACGTTACCACTGGTTTTCAAAATGTTACTAGTATGGTTAGAAAGACTGATAGTGATAAATCAATAGCAGACAGTAGAAGAGAAAAAGATCTCTTAGATAAGCTTTTAGATTCGGATACTGAAGATGAATTACTAGTTCAAGGTAGAAAGTCACCTGTAAAAGAGAATCAAACCAAAACACCTAACTCGGCGCATATACGGGAAGAGGGTTCTAAGCAAGAGATTGAAAATAATAGCAATGAATTAAATGGTAGCTCTGAGAATGAAAATGATCAAAATAAAGGGACTGCGGTATCATATCCATCATATTATCGTCAAACTACTCCTACGTTAGGAATAAAACGATTATCGCCGCAGGTTAGTATGAATATAAACCTAGATGCCCCTGCTGTGACTGAAGAAACTGCACCAGTGGTAACAGAAAAACTGAGTCTGCCGCCAGAAAATATTGCTAAAAAGAAAAAGTCACCAAATCTAAATTCAAGTAACTGGGAATATGCACCTAAACAAAAGACCTTGGGTTTAAAAAGAAGGAAAGCTAATAGTATTACCGATCAACTTAAGCAGCACTATAGTAGAGTAATTAAACCTAATACAGCCTATCAAACAATCACGGTTAATGATAATGAAAAATTGATCGATGATGGCATAGACAACGGGCAATTGCATAAAAATAATAGTAATAATAGTTCAGGGACCACATCAGATGACGCGTTTGATGAGGCTGATGTATTTGATGATGGTTTGGATGATGAGCTAGTATTGATCGCGAACGATAAACTATCTTCCTTTGAACAGTCATTATCGCCGAATATTCCAGCGCCAAAGATTTCAACACCAAATAATGCTTCGGACGAAGTATATAAACATGAATTCTCCTCGGGAGAAGGCGTTTTGAACCAAGAAGAAATGCTAGAACTTTATACCTCATATTTTTCTCTTTTGGATCCTGCTGATAGAGTTGATTTTTACGATCCCTTGAACTTCAATCAAAAACAAAATACATCAATAAATCATCGTGGACGAATTGGCCATAGCCAAGTCTCTAGGAGGCTACTTCAATCTTCAAAATTCATAGGGACAGTATCTACTACAACTGCCAAAAACATGGTGGAACGTTACACCCGAACATACAATAGAATAAACCATCAAAATATTAGGCATATTGTTCAAGAAATAACGAATTCCAGCTCTCAATAACGATTTTATAGATATAAACATGTATATAATTCATGAACACTTCACTTCAATTACTGCAAAATAAAAATGGAATGATTTCTTGTAAAAAAGCTCTATTACCCGGATAAATGTCAATTTTGTATAAAAGCGCACAATCTACCTTTAAAATGGTTTCACCATTTCCCTTCTTCTCTTCTTCTTTATCTTTATGCAGGGGCATTACGTGTATCAGTGAGGATTCGTCCGAGATCATGTTTTTGCTGGTTGAAAACTATAACCTGACAGCTCCTTATTATTATGGCTTTATGCCTTTGATATTAAGGGAATTTTTGGAATTCTTCTTTTAGATTTGACACTTCTTGAAGGTCATTATCAATTCTTCTATATCAAAAAGAATACAGTGAGGGCATTGTATTTGAAATAGAAGAATTGAAGGAACACTCTTCTATTTATAACAGTTTTTATTGCCTTATGCCTCGCTCGGTTTAATGATGCCATGATTAAATCTTGAGCTGGATACAGTTATTATCAGCTTGATCGTAAGATTGGGCATATAAATGAATAATAATTTGTAAGAGGTCAGAAAAATTAATGGTTTCCTTTGAGTGCGATGACACCAATGTTGTATGACAGGATGGTGGCATTGTAATTATAAACCTTTACATTTATTTATTGTAGCTACAGCGTAGGTTGTGAACGAAATACATCAAATCTCAGTTTTGTGTTACAAGTAGCACTGAAAAGCGATTCGGGATGAGCATTTGTTCATCTGTTCAGAAGAGAACAGCGATTAAGAAATACATTTAGTAACAGACCGTGTAACATGTTCAAGAAATTCACGAAAGACGATGTTCATTCTCGCTCTAATATTAAATCTTCTGCTCAAAGAGGATTAAAGTCTAAATTTGTTGCCCAATTCAATGATTTAGAACCAGTTATCGACAACATCATACCGAAGAAATCTCAAGCAATTCTTATTAAATGTGAAGATAAGATCCAATTATACTCTATTGACAACGAAGTTGTGTTGTTTCAACACTTTGATGACTTGATTCCAGATTTGAAAGTAGTCCATAAATACCCACAATGTTTCCCAAGAGTTCAAGTTGACCGTGGTGCCATCAAATTCGTTTTGTCGGGTGCCAATATTATGTGTCCTGGTTTAACATCCGCCGGTGCTAAATTGCCTGAAGAATCATTGCCTGAAGATACCATTGTAACTATATATGCTGAAGGTAAAGAAAACGCCTTAGCTGTTGGTAAATTAATAATGAGCACCGATGATATCAAGTCTAAAAATAAGGGAATTGGTATTGAATTAGTACATTACTTGGGCGATGGTTTGTGGGGATTGAAAGAATAATTATAATTTGCTTCTAAATAGATAAATAGCTCTATGTATTTAATGTCACGTATAATTTCTGATTATCCAGGAAATCAAAATTACCAATTGTTGCAATGTTGTCATCTAAATATTGCTTGATCTTATTTTCTATTGCATCTTCATCTTCATTGATATAGTAGAAAACTCTAAATTCCAATATGGATCGATTAAGGTTTCTCGAGATAACGCCCTTCAAACGCAATATCGAATTATCTGTCAAAAATATACGTTCCATAATCTGATGGCTAAACTCGGAATATATATTCAACTTTATCTTCTTTCGACTAAGGTCATTTCTTTCTTCTCGGGACTGGTGTATATCTTCAATATGATACTTGTTCAATAATAATTGCCATCTTCTACTTTTACGATCATAATTATAATCCCCATTTCTTACTTTAGAAATAAAGTAAAGTTCTGCATTTGTTATTTCGTCATCCAGTATAAAAGCCCCATTCAACTTATTCATTTTGCATCCTTTCTTAATATTTCTTTCTCCCAGAAATTCAAATCTTGCAATCAAGTTTATGGTCATTTCTTCTATTGATATACTGTCAAACACTGGATTACCATTAATTCTAAGTTCTCTCAAATCGGGAAATGCAAGGTACATTTTATCAACAGTATTCCAGGTATCTATTTCGTTGTTTCGTAAGTCAATGCAATTAATATAATTAAATACTATATCTTGCAGGATATCTGAGATACAATTATTTGCTAGGTTAATAGAACTTAAAATATTAAGCTTATTTTTTAGATGAGGTACAGTATGCAACCTATTAAATGATAAATCGATATTCAATAACGAATCATGACTAATTGATACATTAGTGAAAACTTCGTCCTTGTATCTATTTCCAGCCAATGTAATATCTTCTAAACTTGGAAACTTAGGCAAAATTTGATGTATAACCTGTCGTATAGTTATATTTGTTGACGCAAGTTTTATGGAGCGTAATTTGTTATGAGGTTTCTTGGGTATATCCTCGTCATTATTGAAAAATCTATTTCCGCTGAGATTTAGTTCTGTCAAATGTTCAAGTGGATCTATAATATCCCAGATATCATTCAAATCATTAAACAAATTATAGCTCAAATCCAAGCTTGTAACATTCTGTAGACTATTGAAAATTCTATTAACCCTGTCAGAACTATCGAACGAAGTATATATATATTTCTTCTCAAGAGATATAGATGTTAAGTTATTGAAATCAGATTGAATTTCATTCAACTTTTCAAATCCATAGCTCTCTGCAACCTTTGTCCCAAACATGATTGTACCTTGAGAATCAACATTTGTACTGGAATATTGTCGTATGAGTGCTTCAACGAAGTCATATCTCTCTTTAATTATTTTCTTGTTATTTGCTTTAATAAAAGTCCCTGCTCCGTCAACGTCTGTCTCAAAATATGATATACCTTCCAAAGTACCATTATTCTTCCCTCGTTCTGATTGATCCCACTCGACTCCTAAAGCAGTCACGTTGGAACCCCATATATTGCTAGGCAACTGCCCAACATATTTAACAGTACCCAATTGGCCATCTATTGTTATTATTCTATCTAATTTTCCATACATACATGTGTCATTCGCTTACAAGTTTATCGGATATGAAAATGAAAATCAAATTTGAGGTTCTCTGCGCTCTTACATTGTCTACAAAAAATTTTTGAATTTCCAATTAAGAATTTGATCTATAGAACTTATTTATGATTAGGTAGAAAGACCAAAATTGTCACCCAATAATCCATCTAAATCGAATTCCTTAGCCCAAGTACTAACAACAGTAGTTTGTTCGATTTTTGGAGGTTCTTTTTCACCTCTCATAGAACTTTTCGGACCATCAATATTTACGTCAGCTGCATCAATACCATCACTGGTACTCTTTGAGGCTTTTGGTAAAGTCCAGCCAATAATTCTGCCATCTCTCCAATCATTTAAAACCGACATTGCTGCAGCTTCTAAGTTTGGAATACCACCCTTTCCCAATCTTCCTTTAGTTCTTGCAATGTGAATTAAAAATTGTTTGGAGAACTCATTAAGATCAGTAGATGGTAATGGTGGCAACAGATAATACTTCTTTAATCCATCAGCCATTTCAGAATCCTTTGAAAATTTCTTTAATAACATATTAACAGCACCCATTGGATCAGAAATTTGTTTAGGAGGAATTGCAGATAATAATGCCAATTTTGCTTCTTGATTAGATTTAGACTTTTTGCTGTTTGTAAGTTCATCAGGGAATACTATACCTGGAGAATCCAAAACCTTCAATTTATTATCGATCTTAACTTCCCTCATCGATGTGGTAACACCCGCTTGATTCCCAACAGGACAAGCTTTGGTGTTATTACTATGTCTATTGGTTAAAGCGTTAATTATAGAAGATTTACCGACATTCGGGTACCCAATTACACCTACTATGATAGATCTCTTTAAATTCGACTTAGTAGCATAACTCTTTAAAGCTTGTAATAAAGAATTTGCAGTCATAGTTGAAGTTAAGTTTTTATTAAATGAATTGGAGTTAGCACCTGATGCAGCTTTAACTGGAACAGTTGGAAATGATGATTTTAAAAAGTTGAGCCATTGATTTAAAGCATTAGTTGGAATCAAATCAACCTTATTCAATACCAATATTAATCTCTTTCCAGGGTTTTGTAAAACAGCTTGTTCAACTTTTCTTGATCTTGTTGCTTCTGGATCTCTAGCATCTAACACATACAACACAACATCGGAAGCTTCAACGACAGTCTTGAAAATTTTGTCATATGCCTTACGAGACTTGTCTAATTCACTTTTATCCTCTTCATCATCTTCAGCATCACTTAATTCATATTCAACATCTGCATCAGAATCGGTCATCTCATCGCTTTCTTCTTCAACACCATCGTAGTCTTGAGCTGCCTGTTGTGCCGATTCTAATAATGCTGCTAATCCACCCTCTTGGTCATCGTCTTCATCTTCTTCCATCACATCATCAACAACTTCTCCCTTAGCTAAAGCCTCTTCTCTTTCCTTTTGTCTCTGCAATTTCAATTCATCCTTTCTAGATTTGTCTAGTTTTCTACCTTCTTCTAACTCTGTAATAATTCTGTCCTTGTATGGGAAGCTGGCTGGAATACCAGGATCTTTCTTATTTCTTGATTTCCAGGTGACATCTTTCTTCGATAATTTTTTATTCTTTCTATTTTGTGCAGCTGCCTTCTTTTTGATACCTTCCCTCATACGGGTGGTAGATCTCTTTGATGTTGGCTTCTTAACTCTCATCTTTAGAGAACTTTAATGATAATCTATTGTTTGCTTAAATTGATTCACAAGTTTGTTAAGTTATCTAATGTTATATATGAAAAAAAAAAAATTAGAGAAGAGCTGCACCATCGTGTCCTGCACACAGTTCAAAGATTAATTTGACTGCAATAACGTCTAATACAAGGTAATGGTGATATATTCGGATAATAGTGTTGATTCTCTACTTATCAGATAACTATTGAATTATATATATTGGTATTATTGGACATGAGGCATTTCCAAATTTTTAGTTCAACCTGATATATTTATGCTAAGTTCTTTCCACCTCTCCTATTTGCTTCTCTCAAAATTTTTTGCCCTCTGTATAGAACTATTACTTGAAGTCCTAACTAATGAATCCCAACTCCTATTATCTCCATATTGAAATAAGTTTCCTTGATTTTTTTTAGGCAAAGAAAAAGGCTTATTCATAAAGTTTGTAGGACCAGAATGTATCGAGTCACTATCCTTCCTATCTTCTGATTTGTCTATCTCAGATAAATTCATCGTTGATCTAGTCCTTAATACCGATAGGTCGGGCATATTCTTTGGAGTTGTTGCACTGGAAATCATTCCT